AATTTTATATATTAAACTATATAATAATATAAATAATAATGCTATTTTATAAATAGTTATAAAAGCTATTAATAATATTATTAAATTAAATAAGTTAATTTCTATGCTTTTAATTTTTAACTCTTATTTATAAATATTATATAAGTTATTATTATTATTATTAATATAAAAGTAAGCAAAGGCTATTTTAAAAGCTATAAAGATATTATAAAAAATTATAATTAAATAATAAATGCAAAATATATTAAATATTAAGGTTAAACTTATTTTTAGCATAAAATATTTATTATAATATAAAGTTTATATATAAAGAGAAAAAAAAAGATAAAAGGGTTTATATAAGGTTATTGCTATAAATAGCCATAATATAACCTTAAATATATTAAATAAAGTTATAATATTTAAATTAATAATTATTTAATTATATTATTAAAATAATAATAAAAAAATGCAACCCTTATAAGTAAAAAACCTAGTTATAAAATCTTAAATATAATTTATTATATAATTATTATTATTATTAAAAATAAAAAATTATATTATTATATTATATATCTTAAAGAAAGAAAATAAAAATTATAACTTAATAATTAAATTAAGATAAAATAAAATTATTATAATATTAAGCTTATTATTTAAAGAGTTTAATAAAATGGAAATTAATAACCTTATTATTAAAAATATTTTTTAAATTAAGAAATGATTAATAAAGTAATATAATAAATATTATTTTTTTAAGTCCTGCATAATATAAAAAATAAAAGGTAAAATTATAAAACCTTATAAAAAATCTTAATTTATTATTTAAGGTTATAATAATAATAAAAAAAAGTTAATTTTAATATAAAGCTTAATTATTTAAAGAATAAGCTAATAAATAATTCTTATATTTACCTTTTTATTAATTTAAGTAAAAGGTATAATTTTTATACTTTAAGATATTACTTAAACCTATTCTTAAGTAAAGTTAAAATTATATAAAATAATCCTTGCAAAGCTATTAAAAAAATTAAAAAATAAATATTCTTTAAATATAATTATTTATATTATTTAATTCTTATATAGCATAATAAAATTTAGTATTTATTAATTTAATATATATTAAAAATATTATTAATAAAAGCTTAAGATAAATTACTTTATATATAATTCTTACTTAATAATTATAAAGCCTATATAATTTTTTAAAATAATAAGTATATAAATAAATAATATATTAATTTTATTTATATTAAAATTTTAAAATAAAGAGGAAATTAAAATAAAAGTTATAAAATTATAAGAAAAATTAAAATAAAAGTTAATATTTAAAAACTTAATAAATTATAATAAGGGTTATATAATTATAAATATTATTAACTTAATTATTACTTAATAAAAGGAATAAGTTAATAAACTTATCTTTATTAATATAATAATTAAAGATATTTCTTAAAGATACCTTAAATAAAGAGCTTATAAAGTATATATAGCTTTAATTTATTAATTAAAAGCTTTATATAATCTTTTAATAATTATATAAATATAAAACTTAAAAATAGGAAATTATAAAAGCTTAAATATATAATTATTATAATAAATAAATAACGTTATATAAGGAATTAAATATATATCTTTTAATTTTAAAATAATAAAACTTTTTATATTTATAAATAAATTATTTATAAATAATTAAGACTTAATATTTTAATTTAAATATATTATTATTTTTATAAATAAAATTTATAAAGAAATTAAAAGATTTATAATAATAAGTAATATTTTTTATTAATTATTAATAAAGTATAAATATATTATTTAAAGCATATTAATAAGTAAAATTTATAATATAATAAATAAAGTAAATATTAAAATCTTTTTAGCTATAATAATTAAAATAATTATAAAATAACTTTTATTATTAAATATATTTTTAATTATTTATATAAACTTATATAATTTATATAAATACCTTATAAAGCTAAGAATAATAAAGGAAAAATGCTTTATAATTAATATTATATTATTATAAAAGTTATATAAAATAAAAGAAATTATTAAAATAAGGTAAATAAATAAAAAAGATAACTTTATTAATATAATAATAAAATTAACTTTAAATATTATATTATAAAAGCTTATTAATAATAATAAGCTTTATATATAGATAAATAGGTTAATTAAGAAACTTAAAGTAGCCCCTTTTTATTAAGAAAGGAGCAACTTGCTGCTAGCACCTTTTCCTTTTAATTTTATTATTATTAATTATAAAACCTTATATCTTTTAAACTTAAATTTTTAATATAAATTTTAACCTTTTATATTTTAATTAAAACCTTTTTAATACCTTATTATATATAAAGATAATTTTATAATTATTAATATTATTAATAATTATTATTTTAAAATTAACTTTATTATTATTATTATTATTTATTATTATTTATTAATAATAATATTAAAATTAATTTTTATTTAATTTATTTTTAACTTATTAACTTTTCTTATAATTAAAAAATAAATTAATAATTATTATATAATAATTATAAAGTTTTGCATTATAAATATTTATTTTAATTATTAAATCTTTATAAAATCTTTTTCTTTTTATTATAATAAAGAATATTAATAATAATTTGCAAAAGTTATTTAATATTTTTACTAATATGCCTTATAAGAATAATAATAATAAGCAAAATTATTTAATAAATATTATATTTATTACTTATATTAAAAATATATTTAATATAATTATTGCTATAGCTATTATTAATATAATTAATATTAAAGGTAGCCTTATTATAACCCTTAAATAAAATTAAGATTTCCTTATAAATATTATAATTATAACCTTAATTAATAAAATAAATATTATAATTATATTTTTAATAAGTAATAAAATAAAAATTAAAATTATTATTAACGTTATAAAAAGGGTTAAAATTGCTTTAATTAATAAAGATAAAGATAAGCTTATTAATTTTATTAATTTTTATAATAAGGTTATTATTAATAATGCTTATTTAATAAATATTAATAAAGACATTAATAATAATAATTTTTATTTACTTATTTATTTATTAAATATTAATAAGAATATTAATAATAATAACTTTTATTTATTTAATATTAATAATAATTTAATTAATATTAATAATAAAAATAATTAAAATTAAGTTAATAAAATCTTAATAAAGATTATAAAAATTACCTTTAACTTTACTTTTATATTAAGCATTAAAAAAAATAAGCTGCTTATTAAGATTAATTCTTACAAAATTATTAAAATTAATAAATTAAAAGTTATAATTATAACTTAAGTTAAAATATTTTTCTTAAATAATGCTATTATAATAGCTATTATTTAAATTATTAATAACTTTTAATATTAAGATAAGTAAATATCTTTTAATAATATAATTAAAAAGCTATATATTTATATTAAAAGTATTAAAACTTTTAATATAAAATTATATAATATCCTTAATAATAAGAATTATTAATATAATTATTATTTTAAATGCTAAATTATTATAATCTTTATAATAAATAACTTAATAAAAATTTTAATTTTAAATATTTTTTATATATATTAAATTAAAAAGATTTAATTATTAAAGAATTAAATTATTATATTAATTTAAATTTAAAATTTTTTATATTAAATTATTAATAAATATATATAAAGCTTATATATAAAGAGATTTATTAAGAAATATATATTATTACTTAAGTAATTTAAGCAAAAAATAATTATTAAGAAAATTAAAAAGAATAATAAAAAGTGAAAAAAGAATTTAATAAATAATTAAGCTATTTATAATACTTAATTTTAAGAAAATAAAAAGTAATTAAAAAAGATTAATTTAAAATAATATTAAATATATTTTAATAATAAAAATAAAAATAAAAATAATAATATTTATATTATAAAAATATATAATAAAAATAAATATAAGCTAAAAAGTTTAATATTAACTTTATAAGCATTAATTTTCCTTATAAAAAAGAAATTTAAAATTAAGGCTTTTATATAAAAGTTAATAATCTTTATAAAAATATAATTTTAAAAATTAAGTATTAAGAATAATAAGTATAATATTTAAGAAATAATATAATAATAAAGATTATAAGTTTAAAGAATAATATAATAATAAAGGTTATTAAAACTTACTTTAAAACTTATAAGTTATAATTTTAAGCTTTTTTAATAATGCTTTCTTATAATAAAGATTATATATATATAATATATAATGAATTATAATTTTAAATTAATTATAATAAGGATTATATATATTTATTAAAAAAAGAGAAAAATTATAAGTATTAATAAGTATAATTTTTATACTTAAAAGGCTATTTTAGTTATCCCCTTTAAGGCACATAGTTTCTTAGAACTTAGATAGAATAACACCAATATATGATTGCTTCCCATACGATTATCATACGTACGAGAGACCTACCAACAGCATTCATGACTGGTGTCAAGGCAGATTGCGAGGCTGGCATTGATCGAGTCATGGAGGGAAAGTTGGACTTCCAGTCAAGATAGCCGCCCACGGAGTAGGCGGCGTAGTATCAAGACCCATTTGTGCGGCATAGATTTAGTGTTGGTTGAAGAGGTAGGCAGCATCGAGCACGAGTCGCTTCCTGACTGGACAGCTGCTACTGTAGCTGCGAGCGGGTACGGCTTTGAGGGCAATATCTTACGTATAGTTTATCCAAAGATAGAGATGTTGGTCATGCTTTGCTTGCCAGGGCTGGCTCATAGATATTCTACTTGGTACAGCAGGTTTGGCGATCTAGCAGGCTACACAGTGGCAATAACAGCATTGACCGAATGTACACTGTACCGCCCTTACTGTGCCGCCACCCTTGTAAACAGCTTGGCCCCAGCTCCCTCCCATCTTTCCCGCCGAAAGGACATTTCTGACCTGGCGACATTGCCTCTCCTCATCTTCAGCCTTCACCTTCAATGGTCTTTTGAATTGAACGATCACTTTGCCACTGCTTTTCCCTCCATGGCGACTCTCTTCCATACCGAGCAGGTGCTCATCGGGCAAGTTGGCAAATACAAGATCGTGAAGCAGTTGCAGAAAGCAGTTTGGCTTGCCAGGTACCCGCCATTCTCCCCGTCTCATAACGATCGGACGCTTATCTTTAGGACGCTTTACTGATGAGCGCCCTTGCAGAAATCAGGTTCACAAAGATGTCATTGTAAAGAGTGTGCAGGATCATCCCCGTGTAGCCAACGAGCGTGATGTGCTCAAGATCTTTACACCGCGGTCCAAGCATATCCGACCGTTGCTGGATGAGATAGTAGATCCTGCGGAACCCACGACAATCGTTCTCAGTCACTTGCAATCGACGCTCCTACAAGCTTCAGTTCGGCAGAAGCTGAATCGCACAGAGCTTAAATATGTATGCCGTGGCGTTCTGGAGGCTTTGGCGGTGATGCACAGCGAAGGTTATGTACATGCAGGTGAGTGCCCGCGACGGCAACGCAGCACACCTATCTTTGCTAACTTTAATGGACGCATTATGCCAGACGTGAAAGCCGACAATATACTTGTCAACGAGAAACCCGATCAGACCAATCGCTTCACCGATGTACAGCTAGCCGACATGGGCAACTCGTATCCGGAGGCTCACGAATACGCTTTGGAAGGCCAGCCTATTGGTGCGCCAATGTGGTCTAGTCCTGAAGTTCTTATGCACTTGCCTTGGGACACAAAGACGGACATTTGGTCTTTCGGAACACTGGTAAGTCCGGCCTCAAGCCCATGGAGTGGCATGCCACTAGGTACAATCTAACTTCTGTGCAGTTAATCAGTCTCATCTACGGCCGTGATTTCAACATTTTTGACCCTCAAGATGTTCCCACTGACCCGCTCGACGATTACAAATTTGCCGTCCTGCGGAGACAGGTCGAGATATTCGGCCCTTTCCCTGTCAAATACCAGGAAATAGCAAACGAGGATGTGATGGAGCTCATTGTCTGGATGCTGGAGAACTTAAAGGAGAGCAGAACCCCTTTTCAGAATGTTGCGGATGGTGAGATTAGCCGAAAGGACAAGGATTTCATCAGCTGGATTATGCGGCTTGATCCTCGAGACAGGCCAACAGCCGCAGCCATTTTGTCACACGGGTGGTGGCACGGGGAGTGAGGAAGGCATGATCCCTTGGCAGGTACTTGGCAGCCCCCAAATGCTGCGGCCGTGTAGGTCCTCTGATCCTTCCAATCGGCTGGCGGCTTTAATTTGTATCGAAGTATGCGAATTATCTTTTGCAGTAAGGATTTGACTGCACTGAGCTCTCTGAAGTAGGCTGTAGACAGGGTCTGTGCATAGACTGTGACTGTCTTCGTTCTCTCAACAGTAGTGCTCCAGCAAATGCAAGACAACTCCAAATCCCGAGGTCGAAAGATTACCCAAATATTTCACTTTACATGGGCCAAAGAGCTTTAGCGGCGGCTCTGACCCTGTGCTTGAAATCCAAATCTTTGGGATCCGCACACCTTGTCCAGCGTTAGAAAACGGCCGGCATATGTCCGGAAGCTGCAGAATTACTGCTTGCTGCGAGGTCACAGATCATTGGACCCATTAGGCTGAAAGATTTGATCTGTTCGACCGTGCAGCAAGCTGATCACTTCAAACCCTGGAATCCTCGTTTCGAATCACTCTGGACTTGACGAGCCAAATTACTAGGCTTATTCTGGCAGCATACCAAGGCCGTTGTATTTTCGAGCCTGATTCTTGTGTAACAGCCACGTGCGAGAAGATTGCTCGGCATAATAATGACGTGAGATAGACTCCAAATATGTGCCATCCGAGCAGCATCGGTGAGACAAAATCGCTCATCTGAGGCACCATATTTATTTCCTGTCTTCTCTTTTGTTCCACCACAGCTTGAAATTATCACATCCTCTCTGTGCCCAGATCCCTAATACCTCTTTCTTCTCATCCCTTCATTAAAAAAATATCTCAACCCTTCCCTCGCATCTCCACAGTCCGCTTTTCAACAATGGCAAGCAAGACGTCCAATCTCCTCATGATATTCCTTCTAATACTCGCTACCTCTGTGGGGGCGCGAAAATTCCACAGTCGGGATGCCTACGTTCGTGGGGAGATTGCCTTTTGTGAAGGAAATGTTTCGGCCCAAACTCCTGTCACAGACGGAAGCCAATGCCAACCAATGCTGAAATGCATCCTAAACAATGCTGACCAGGCGACGCAAGCTCGCTGGAGTGCAGGAGCTTCCATCCTGGCCTTTATCCCTGCCACTGCGGCATTGATGAGCAACAGTATCGACGATGTGGTCCTGGTCTCTGAGGAAAGCGGACTCCTTGCGCTGGCACTATGTCTCTGCTCCTTCACGGCCTTCCTACCCAGGTTTGGAGGGGAGCGGAATCGCCATGAGTCAACGGCATCAATTAAAGAGGAACTAAGACATCGCATCAAGCAGGCCTGTACGAGGCGAGATTCAGCCCCAAACAGACGACATTTACGGTGGTCACATCGTGATGTCCTTGGAGCCATCATCGCACTTCTTGTGGCATGCTGTGGGTTGATATGGTACCCCACCGTGATGATCCTCAGAAATGGCGTGGTAGTTTTCTCTTGTGAACCCCAAGTTCATATTCCGATCTGTGAGTGAGAATGTTTCTTTTTTGACCATCTTTTGTATCTTTGGGTATGAATTGAGAATTATACTTTTTGTTTCAGGGTTGGGCTTGGTTCAGCTGCTGGGACTGTCCAACGTATTGCTCAAGAGCGTGTGCATCCAAGTCGAGAGGATCTCATTATTCCAAATAACGACTCCGACTGCCTCCCAATTTAACACTCATGCTGCATCACAGTCCAGGCCACGGACGGTTGTCTTACGATGTCGAAAGGAGGGCATACTACCGCAAGCCATTCGAGCAATGACTTCTCTCGTCAGTATTGCTCTTTACGCTTACGCCACCGCCGTGCTAGGTGGCATGATGATGTTTCCAGCTTCGGATGCCGTCAGGGCAATGGTCATGTTTGCGGTCAATACTGGGCTGGGCCGCATTATAGGCAGCTACGCAATCTCGCAGGACCACTATTGGAGGACAACCGTAGTTGTAGATGTTGTGCGCTGGCAGATGGACGAGCTCCGAACGTACGTTAGGGCAGAAGTACGAAATGCGGCAGCTGGCAGTAGGCCATAGTATGTAGGATTGGGATGTTTGCAAATTTAATTGAGAAACGACCTAAGCTAGTTTACTTAAGCTTCAACAGTCATAATATATTCAAATTTGTATTGCAACACTTTCGAAGCTATATTCGCTTATAAGAAGCTCAATACACTCGTTATAATATGGCAGTGGCGAGACTGGCTTCGTGCGGTGGTGTCCGCAGGGTACAAATACCTCTTCCCATATACTCATTTACAAGTTTCTAGCCAATTAATGTTTCTTCTTGCATTCTAAGCAGACCTCCATTCGAGATATCGCAACCATGTCTTGCCGTAGTACGGTAGAGCTCGTATAAAGTGTGCTTTCTACTGCCCCTTGGCACAGGCGAATCCTTGGATTTGCAGACAGCACATGCCTGCCTCACTCGTGACTGTTTTTATAATATGCTTAGCTAAAATTCTTAATCGAGGTTTATCTATTGAATTTATTACAAATGTAAACTTATTTAATTTTCCTTCGTTATTGCAATTCTTATTTTTGAAATGTAAGATTAAGTTTCCTACCAGGGGGAGGGGGGTTTTTTATCAACATCGCATCAGTATATCAATGGAATAATAACATAATAATGACATGCAATCAAGGTTCTAACATGCTTTTTTTATATATACATTGCATTATTTACACATCACTAATATATAGTCATTCCTAATATGCTATGACATAATGTTAACTCTTAACATAGAGGTAAAAAAAAACCTCTTTTTTTTCTCATCCCCAACCCAACTACTTATTTACTCTTTACTAGCTTAACTATTTACTATAAAAGGATTTATAAAACTATAGAAATAACTAAAAATAAAACTAGGTTTGGTATTAATAAGGTTTAAACCAAAGCTTTTAATATAGATTTACGGTGATATTAGCTAACATTAGCTAATATAAAGTCAATATTAACATAAAGTCAATATAAATATAATTTAAAGCCTTAATATAATTTCCTTTTAATAATATTGCAATAGCCTTTTATTAGCATTTTACTAAAATTACGAAATTTCAATTAAATGTTAAAATATAAGTGCATTGCGTAACCCAGTCAGAAACCCCCCTCCCCCCTGGTAGGTGAGTTAGTTTAAACTTGAAAGAAGCTAACCTATGCATGTGCCATGAAGTGAAATACCAATACTACGACACCTTCAATCCCTGCTATAATGAGCGGTAATAGGAATGTAAAGTCTGTGCAAGTTGATCCCAATCCGCCGTTCTCCACGAAGTAATGGCAAGAACGTATGGGCCGCCATCTATGTCTAACCACAATGTATGGCAACCCGACATGGTGAAACAGGAAAACGACCGAGAACAAACCAATCCAGAAGCTCTGAGCTCCCACCGAGGAATCAGTCGCCACCTTTTTGAGCAGCCAAAAATGGGGAACAAAATATGACAACAGGGTCCAGAGCCACGCGAACCCAAACTTCTGCCCGACAGACATGTCCTGCCAAACACTCCGAGTGGAGTAGACAAGGACAAGAGGTAAGACGAGAGCGTACAGCAAGGTATGAAGGATGAACGCCCAAGCTCGCACAGCCCTGCCGGCAGCGGATGTGGCCCTCGTGGCGCTCGAAAACGGAGACACACGGCCGCCGCGCTCACGAAGTATTGTAGCCGCCTCAGCCATCTTGCGACTGTACAGCTTTGCCGCCTGAGACCTGCGGGCATCCGTGTACGCCTGGTAAATCTCTCGGTGGGTCTCAAGATGAGGCCCCTGAAATGCCGGCGGTCCGAACATGCTGTGCAGTTCAGTCAGCGCATCTAGCCGCTCTGGCTGTCTGGCGAGGATGCTACGGGTCCATGCCTCCCAGTTATCCCTCTTGAGCGCGTGCTGCAGCGGCGTATCGAGGCAGTGTCTCCAGGACCCGTTGACCTCCCAGCCCCTGTCCAATAATTCCACCAGCGCCTCGGTGTTCGACGAGTCTATCGCCATCTTGAGGTACTTTGCCGAAAGAGAATGGCCACTGGCGATTTGAGTGTCGATGACGCTCCACAATGCTTTCCGTTCCGGGTCGTTCCGCAAGATGTTCCCCGAGAGTAAAGCGTTGTACTCTCCTGGATCTAATGGACACCTTCGCCATTCGGGTTCTCCCTTCTCCTCAAGAGTGGCTGTATGATGCCCTCTGAAACGATGGAAGCGCCACCATGACTGGAGTCTCTTCCATTGACTTCGTATTGGAAAGCCCCGTCCGAGCGATCTCTGAGAGAGCATATGCTTCATTACGAACTGGCACTGCTCGTATGTGCCAGTTGACAGGACTGCGTCCGTGACCGTCTTGATGCCGAAGTCTTCGAATTCAGGAAGGAAGCTAGAATGTGGTGGGACTGAAAGTTCCCACCAGCAGCGGCTGTTCAAAAGCCTGGGATACTTCTTTATCAAGATATCCGCGGCTTTGAGATCGAGATTGTGTACGGCATGGATGAACAAAGCCGGGTATATAAGATTCTGATTTCTGACCTCGTCGATAATTCTAGACCTGTGTTCATATCAGCTGGGCAATGCATACGCGACGGTATGACGGTGCGGGCTTACAGAAAATATGTGTCTTGATGGCGGGCTTCGATTGCAACCTTGAGTAAGTACCCGATGATTTCTCGACTATGGGTGTGGCCGTCGGGGAGAGGGACTCTTCTATCCCTGCCTACGAGCAGCCGATAGATTAAAACCCACCAGGTGGGGCGGTCAAAGCATTCGCCAATCTGGCAGGGATATTCAAACCAGTCCTGGAGAAAAGAGGCATCGTCGCGAAGTAATCGGTTGAAGATATCCCGGAGGCCAAACCGGATGGATGTTTCAAGGGGCCCATCGCCTAGACCATTCCCGCACACCACCCATTCCGGAGTTTTCGGCTGCGACTCCTTCGCTCGATTCAAAAGAGAGCTGACCGCATCCAAACTGCCCCCGGCAGATGCCTCTCTCAACATTTTCGTTTCCAGAGAAAGTCCCGGAATGCGGCTCGATTGATTCGTGGTCGAGGCCGTAGCTGTGAGGAAGTCGAGTGTGCGCTCAAGAACATCAGCATAGTTGCTCCCGTACATGATCGCACGGAAGAAGTCCTCTGGAAGGTCCATCGCCGATACTGCCACACTGCTGAACGGAACTTGGTACAGCCGAAGTAGTTTCTGGCCTGCCCAGACCTGAACATTGGCCAGATTGATCGTCTCCGACTTCCTGTGCGTCCGTAGGTGAGCTGTTAGGAGCTCCAAGACGTCGATCCGGAACAGAGATAGGGCAACAGCCAAGATGCGGCGGAACCTAGATCCTATCTCGCAAATGTGGCAGATGGACACTGATGACTTGGAATGAGCGGCCTCTAAGAGGCTGGCGAGAAGAATGGTCTTGTTGTGCAGGATAGAGTTGAGCACCGCACAGCAACGGAGTCCTTGGAAGAAAATAAGCGCCCCGTTGTCTTTGCGCATCGGGAGAGCTTCGCGAAGAAGGTCAATGCCCTTGTCGACCAGCGGCAGAACAAAGCCGACTGCACGTTCCTCCTCAAAGTGGGCCAGGAAATGGAGTGCGGTCTGACAAGACTTGTTGTGTGCAGAGGCATTAATACCTGGGTGAGAAATCAAGTATCTTAAAATCTCAGGTTGTCTGTGATGAGCGGCAAGTAGCATAGGGGTATTGCCCCAGTCATCAACACTGTTGAGCAAACTGGGGTCGCGGGTGATAATGTCTCGAAGTGGGTCCACTGAACCGGCCTCGATAGCGTCCCGTACATGGCTAGGCACTGGCTGTGGTATCGACGGCATCGACTGTACATTTGTGTTACCCACCTCAAAGTATTTCTGGAACAAAGCGTTGGCATCAGGCACCATATCCTCTTTCTGAACTGGGTCGGACTCGTCGGTGGTGCGGACTGCCGACCTTGAAGGCCTCAAGATGTGTTCTTCTTGATCAATGATTGTTGTCTCTTCGTTGTCCTCAGCTTGAGCACCAGATACACTAGTCTCAATTTTCGACCTAGCATTGTTCAATGATTGCTGATCCCCAAAGGTGAGCCCTTGCTTCTTGACGAAAGCTGCTCCATCGCGAGATTGGGCTTTCAGTGCGACAGCTATAGCCTCTTGCAGTGGTTTGAAGAGGTCTTGGGCCGCAGCGACTCCGAGTTCACGAGCAACAGAAAGCCATTTCAACGCGGCATCAAAGTTCCGCGGCACGCCGAACCCCGAAAAGTAACAGATGGTGAGTTCCCAAGCTGCAGCTGGCTTTCTTGGGTCTTCTGACCTCTCGGCTAGGTCCCGGAGCGTGTTCACGATGTGCTCCTTCAACTGATGGCTGCACCTGATAAGGGTATGATATCCAATGATCACCTAATTTACCTAGATTAGAGAGAGGCTCAATACAAGGAGGTGGGAATCAAATCCGCATACCTTTGCTTCAGCATCCAAAGGGTACCGGCATCGCAGGGGACTTGGACATAGGCATTTGATCACTCGTGGCCTGGTTTTCGAGCTTGTAGACTTCAATGACACAAATGCAGTCTTCCAAACTCCGAACCTCGGGGATTAACTGTACAGTCTTATGCAGCATCTGGGCGACGGTACCGACTTCGATATCCGAATCATCGTTGAACTTGTCCTCCTTTTCAATGAGCATCAGCAGTCTGCAAAGAATGCTGCCATCTTCTTTGAAACTTTGCACGTCGTCCATGTCGGTGTAGAATGCACGACCAAGCATGACTGATAGCATGACCAGTCCAAAAGAGTAGTAATCTGTGGCCTTCATCTGAGTGAAAGTCATCTTACTGTGCTTGGTAACCTCAGGGGCGGACCATTGCGGCGTGAAGGCCGGGAGCCTCTCGCCCTTGTCAGCTTCTAGAACAGAGTGGCCGAAGTCCGTGAGCTTTAAGGAAAATGAGTCCCGCGCGTCTTGCCGGGGGAAGACCAGAATGTTCTCGGGCTTGACGTCGCCATGTACGACGCCGCAAGCATGCAGCACGGACAGGCCCTCGGCAATGTCGCGGCAGAAATCTAGCTTAGACTCGAAGCTCATGCTCACAAACTTCCAGTTTTTCCAGAAGTTGTCCAGAGCTCCTTGGGGAGCGAATTCCTCAAGAAGGATGGGACGGGGTATCGTCGCGTCTTCGTCCTCGAAGTCCCAACCTATGCCACGAAGACGGGCAATGTTCGGGTGGGATTTGAGAGATACATGGGATCTGATGCGCAGCTCGGCGATGAAGCTGTTGAGACTGTCGGCTTTGTTCTCGAGAATGCTGTGCCTCGGTCGTTTGATGACGATGCCTTCTGAGTACGGCCAAAAGGCGCCACGGCTCAAGCTGGATGGTGCCGAAAGAGCTACCTGCGCATGCGTCACGAGGCTTGTATGCCCCTTCCCCTGGTAAGTCTCTAGTAATGAAGGATATTGTTTGACAGGCACCAGGTCGTCACTCTGGGCTTGGTATATCTCGCAAGCGAGAGAGATAAATGTGATGAAGTCGGGTGCTGGTCCGTCATTGTCCCGGGATCGCTCGGGAACGGTCGTGAGCCTGGTGAAGTTGGCTCGGGTCTGCGAGACAGCCTGACGAAGATCGTTTAAGTTGACGCTCCCTTGTGGAGTGAGACTCGTCCTGGATTCTGTGAAGCCACGATCCATCACTGCGGTGGCTCGGTGATAGGGTGGAGGTGCCAGGCAAGTACAAGGTTATACAAAATACGCTGCTAAGAGCCTGATGTGAAGGTAAGACCAACGTGGGCCTGAATCGATGACTTTATAATGCCGCTTTCAGCGGCAGACACTCAGTGGCATCAAATCGGTTCGCACAAAGCGGGGTTCAAGCAGGAAGAACGCCTCGTACTGATCACTCGCTCTCATGATGGGGATGGATGCAGGGGAGGGTTCACCTGAGCCAATCGAAGTGCCGCAAGCCACCGTCAGCATTGCACCCGAGCTCTTTTTATACTTGGGTGCCTGCATACAGCTGAATTCGACACTAGTTTCTTATATGTGGCGATTGGGAAAGCCCAGCTGAAAACATTGTCTGATTAGCGCTGACAATCTTCCATTCTAACTTAGGCAAAAAGTCAAAGGCTGTCACCGCAACCACTCACACGCGTCTCGGTGCCTCTGCACATCTCGAGCCCCTTCTTAATCTTGAGGCATTCTCTGGTCATAAGTAATTCCCTACCCCAAGTCTGTGCAGTATGGAGATTCTTGGGGCGGTAGGAGCATCGGTACAGCTGGTCCAGGTTGCCGGCACCTGCTTGTCCATCGTCCAAGAGGTCAGGAGTATCTCGCTCGTCGCTCGAGATCAGAACGCTGCCCACTTTGAACTTCTGGTTCAAGCCCTCAAGTTCGAAAAATGGTGTGCGGCTTTGGGCATTCAGGGGATGCTGAAAAATGCCAAGCAAGGGCAAGATGCTTGCCGTCATTCGATGGAGGACCGACAGACTCGGTTGGGGGAAACCATTAGGTCACAACTACGCTTGGAAAACCCGAAGCTCGAACAACTGACTCTAGAGGCGTTGAAAGACATGAGAGAAAAGTTTGCTGAGACTACCAAGATCATCGCGCAGTACGCGGGAGCGTCAACACCAGCCGAGACACCCACTAATGTTTCATCTATCTCATTGCAGGTGCCCAGGAGTAAGAAGACATCGGTGATTTCCAAGCTTTTGCGCAAGGAACCGAGGCCGTCTCCGTCCAGCACTGATGCGTCGTCTGTGCTAAGCGCCCAATCGCAGCCCAATGCTAAAGGGGGCCCAAACGTGTTGATGAGAACCAAGTGGGTGACCTCAGACAAAAGCCGAGTCGAGGATTTGTTGAAGAGCATTGAGAGGACGAACAACTTGCTGGTCGTCCTTCTCGACCCAGAACATCAAGCACACATAGACCGTCAGACAGATATGACAATCCTCGACCTGGTCGATCGTGACACCCTCGAAGCAACAACAACACGCCCAGACCTTAAAGCGATGGGCAGAATCAAGCGTTGGCAGAAACAAGAACAAAGCGACAACGGGGACGAAGATTTAGCCTCGACATATTCGTCTACAACCATCTCGAGTCCAGCCCCAACACGGGTCCGGACCTACCAAGTTCGGGACTTCAAGAGAGAAAGCCTTCCACACGGCGAATATAGGACCTTGACTTCTTTGGAGGATAAACGGGTCATGGTGGAGTGGAAATACTACAACCAAGATCAGCCAATTCGCCTTGAACGGACTATGCGATTGGGAGGGCTTGTCGGGCTCTTGAACAGGAACGAGGTTTTCCAGAAGTTCATGACGCTTCCTTGCAGGGGTCTCGTCTCGGATTCGATAAACTCCAGGATTGGGCTTGTATTTTCAGTGGAAGACCCCGGCACCAGTCGCTTAAAATCTCTATACGACTGGATCCGGAATACTCCAACCCCGGCTCCACTCGGACAAAGGTTTCAACTCGCCAAGAGCCTCGTCACCGCGATCCACCATCTTCATTCTGTTGATTGGCTTCATAAGTCAATTCGAAGCGAAAACATCGTCTGTTCTTGGGCACACGAGTCCACTTCGAAGCTCAATTATTCGTCTTCGACAGACAAGTCAGCGGCGGTTCAGAACAGCAGCCGCGATGAACAAGATGATGGCCCTGGGGCGGCCAGCGCCAGGGAGACCCGGATTGAAGCACTCCCCCCCTTTCACCTCGTTGGCTGGGATCTGTCCCGGCCGGATCACCCGTTGGAGTTGTCCGAGACGTTGTCAGTGTCTACTGCCGGATTTCAGAACAAGCGAGACGCCATTCTGCTATACAGCCATCCGGAGATGCATGCCCAGTCGAAGCCAGGCAAGAGACCTCGTTACCGTGCCCAGTTCGACATTTACAGCCTCGGCCTGGTGCTTCTGGAGATAGGACTGTGGAGAACAATTGGGGAATTACGTCGGCATTGCAAGGACGACGTGGAATTCAGGGTCAAGCTCGGGACCGAGTATTGTGACAAACTGCTGCCGAAGGTTGGCGAAGTGTATTGGCGTGTTGTACAGCGGTGCTTGAGGAACGAATTCGGCGAGCCCTCAGACCGTAATGATGAGAGTGAAGAATGTTTCTCGTTGCAAGTCGCATTTGAGAAATTTGTGGTGTCTAAACTGGAGAAGTGTTTTGCATAAAACGGACACTTAAACAGAGGTTTTTAAGTCGACCCACCCCTTTGCAGACTACCCACTTCATAGAACTTTGATTTTAAGAAATCTTTTTCTTCTTACAAGCAGAATCATAAAAAGTCAGCTTCAGGTTCAAACGCCTTTCCTAGCCTACAGATCTAACCAACTGACCTTTAAAGTAAAACATGCCAGTAGAGCTCCAGGTGTCTCCGTAGTATCCTTTCCCCGTATTGAATACCAGAACTGGGTTTAAACCTAATACAAATCTAGAGATGCCCATGGTAACCCGTTACACTTGCATCTACATCGCGAGTCTGCCCTTGTGTCTCCAGATCAGAAAGGCTCGACCCAACAGCTTCTTCTGTAGTCCCGAAGTTTCCCACGCGCCTTAAACTAATCGTCATCCTAATGGCCACAAAGACTGAAAACAGAAGGAGAACTCCAGTTTGAAGCCCGATTAGAATAGCTCTCCAGTAGATGTTCCTATCAGCGAACCAAAAAGTCAGGCCGAACAGAAACGCCAGGATCGACCAGTCCAGGAGGATAACAGGCGTCCACAGGAGGCAATAATCCCTCATCAACAGTGAATCGACCGTTTCAAACCAGAAGATGAGCATCGTGGACAGCATTATGGATATGACTGCAGCAATCGCGCAGCTGGTGAATAGGGCCTCGGATGCATGGCAGAGCAAAGTGGAGCTAGGATAGAAATCGTCAAATGACAGAGCACCGACAGAGCTGCCCGCCGTCAACGCCGCCACAATGTTCAATATGGGAAGGGTGTTGAGGAGTCGCTTGAATATGGTCCGGCGTCTGTCGTCAATATATGACACTGATGCGATACTATGATCAGCCAGTCTCAGTGCTCCCTGGCTTATCGTTTACATACTTTGAGAACCGGACTTGGATAAAGATGAATTTGGCACCGGTGGAGGATGCAAAGTGACAGTGTGGCCATCGGCTTGTTTTCGTTGTTTGTGACAGATGCTGCAAACGCCGAGCATCTTGATTGTATGTTTCGGGCCCCTTCTGTGTGTGACTATGATTAAATTGAAGCTGTGATAATCGCACTGTTGTTTAAATGAGTTTCGAGGTAAAGGTTTCATCGGCGAGGACTCTGGAGAAAGAATTGAGTGAGCCCCTTTACGTAAAATAGTTGCGGTGCATGATCGACACGGTGTTTGCTCGTTCGGGGATGCGTCGGTAGGACAGCATATTGGGGGCTTAAGTTCTATTTTTACGGCTTGAAGATAAAATTTCGTTGAGAGACCATCTCCCGACCAATCGGCCTCCACGAAAAGAGAGTCTCTTGTTCCTTGTGTGTACCCAATCTTTTTGCTTCGAGACATTGGGGTCTATTTTACGCGGCATCGCACAACATTAGTGCCTGGGTGGCTGTTCAACGCGGCTTATAGCACACTTGGGGCACATGCAGCGGTGGACAAGCCACGGACTCATCAAAGTGGTGCGTGACTCCAAGCGGATTGCTATTCGGGTCATCTTGTGGCTCGATGCTAATGAATTGGGCTATCACTATTCGCAAACCGACCAAAGGTCTGCGGCTTTTAGGAGTCCACTACCTACGTAGAAAGAAGGTGGAAGAATCGAAAACCATGAAAAAATGTCAAATACTTTTTCACTTGTTTTCCCTTCTTTCCAGGATATGAACTTACCTGTCCTGTATCTCAGTGGGATCATGCGTCAGTAGGCCCGGGTGCACAACAGCAAAGATTCTCACTTAGATGAAACAAGGACTAAAAACGCGGTACAACTCGGAGACCATGATTCATATATATATATAAAAAAAGGCATCAGCAAGGGATATCAATCCGGCCTGCGCAACAGACGGACGACCCATTGGAAAGTAGATATGCAACCATGAGTGGTGGTAATGTTCTCCTGATCTGGCTGGCTTTCTCAAAACTCGATCTCCGGTGTTCTCGACTTATACGCAATGAGTGTCTCGGGGTCTGGCACAAAACGGCTGGCGAACCTGCTCTGCGGCGGTTTGTCCAAAACCTTCCACTCGTAGTTCAACAAGAGCTGGATCATGGCGATTTTGATCTCATTGCTCGCAAAGAATCGTCCCGGGCAGGCAGGCAAACCGTGTCCAAAGCTCAGGAACTCTGGGCTAGTACTCATGAATTGCCACCGATTCTCCTCTCCTGGCTTTTGGCGCATCCTCAAGAAGCGATGGCCGTCAAACTGGTCCGAATCGGTACCGAAGATTTCAGGGTCCCGCATGTGGAATGTAGGCACTGTAATATGTGCCCCCTTCCTACCAGGGGGAGGGGGGGTATTCGTTTAGATGCTGCAAGCAAGTTAATGGGAAAGTAATATAATAGTGATATGCTATTAAGGTTTTGATAATATGTTTTTTTATATGCCTTGCATTATTTATACGTTATTAATATATACTCATTCTTAATATGGTATTAATATTAATATGATATTAATATAATGTTAATATATAATATAGGAGCAAAAAAAAACCTTTTTTTTTCCCTTATCCCTAACCTAACTACTTATTTACTCTTTATTAGCTTAATTATTTATTATAGGAAAATTTATAAAATTATAAAAATATTTAAAAATAAAACTAAGTTTAAAGTTAATAAGGTTTAAACTAAAGCTTTTAATATAAAATTATAATAATATTAGCTAATATAAAGTTAATATTAATATAAAGTTAATATTAACATAATTTAAAGCCTTAATATAATTTGCTTTTAATAGTATTTTAATAATCTTTTACTAGCATTTCGCTGGAATTATAAAATTTCAATTGAATGTTAAAACATAAGTGCATTGCGTGACCCCGTCAGAAACCCCCCTCCCCCCTGGTAGGTTGGGAATAGAAACACCGTCCGATAAAGTGATAGCATTTTCAACTCGTCTGTTCATCATATCTTGCGTCATGTGAGTTAACTTCACTTTTATATAAATCAAAGGATAAAGTCAGATAGGGAGAGAAATGGACTCACTTGGACCTAGGATGTTCAACCGTTGACTTTCTTTCATGCAGCTGTCTAACAGCTTCAACTTGTAGAGACTGGTCTCATTCCATTCTTTGTCCTCCCTGTAGACCGCAATGGCCTCTTCCCGAAGTAGATGGATGTAATGCAGATTTTTGACGAGGTCGTACATAAGAGCAGTTATCACTACAGATGTAGTGTGGATAGCAGCCACAATTAGGAACAGCTGTCCAGAGACGACATGAAGGGACGCCCGGCTCTAACGTCGTCCAGCCAGGAAAGCGAATCCTGCGGCTTCGAGACATCTGGTCGTTCCGCCATCCGAAACTTGAGCTCCGGCTCGTTGATATTTCTGGCATCCTTGATTAGGCGCTTCAAGTAGATGAGCTCGGGTATAAAAAGGTGAACGAAAGGGCGCATAAATAACGGCCATGAACGAAGAGCATCCTGGGCTCTCATCATGACAATTGTGAAAGGAATCGAGATCTCAATCCAGTCGTTATTATGACACAAACGTTCGCCAAGGAAGACACGGGCGCAAAGACGCGCGGCGATCTGTGTAGCTGTCATGATGAATCTAGTCTGCGTCCAATCTGTGTGGGTTAGTCGTGTGAATTCTTCTAAACGCAAAGAGCTATACACGAACCTTTTGCAGGCTGAATATTCTCCTTCATAACAGACACACATTCAGAAGACAACGCCTGCGTCAGTCCTCCCAGAGCTTGCGTGAGATTCTTCCTGATTGCTGTTTGTATAATATCATCTTGGGTGCCCGTTTGAACGACGTCCAGACCAGGGTAATTCGTCAATCCTTGCTAATGTTTGCCAAAGTTAGAGCCAGGACACAGGCCTACTGGAGTTGGAGAAAGCTTACACGCTCAATGAATCCACGAAAAGAAAGGCGGGGATCAATCCGAATTTCGTCGCAGTAATGTTTTGGTAGGACGATTGTCGGGCCCAGGTTAGTGAGAGCTTGAAAGGCCTGGCCATCGGTCTAAAGAAACGCTCGTCAGTTTTGGGGTTGCTGTCGCGGGCGATCGTGTCAGCTCACCACGCGAAACCCTTCTTGCAGTATCTCCACGGCGTTGTTATCCCATTATTTTTTGGTCTTCATACCGAACCAGTCTCCTGCCACACTCCCTATAATCTTGAATCCGGGATACGGTTGATCATCGCGGACAAAATACCGTAGAATCCAGTACTAGTAGAACACAATAGTGATAAACAAAGTGATGACCTCGGGACGACGGAGAAGCTCCAATATGTACATCGCAACGACTATGCTGAGTTTTGGGTAATCTCTCCCGACTGTGGTGGCGTTTGGATGTTGGCCCGTGGGATAGTCGGCTATAGGGGAGAGGGTGGATTGGGTTATGAAGGTCCACGGGTACTTAAGAGAGACGAACATGGTAGGTCTGGGATACTCGGTTTTTCGCAATTGATACGAATCCGAGTTCTGCCCAAGAATTCCCATGGTTGGAAACCAGATTGCGACGCTAAAACCCAGCAATAATGCACCGCCTAAATCCTAAATTCAAGCAAGAGTCTTTGAACCCTAGCAACTTAGGCAAGTCCTTGGACCAGTGAGGTCCTGGGAAGATCTCGCATTCTCTTAAAAAGCGAAACCAATCAAGGATCTTTCGGCACTCCCTTGCCAAAACCCCTACAGGTACAGTAAGTAGCACCAGGGGCACAGACCGCGGCGCCAACCAGTCGCCTCAACCTGTTCTTGGCACGTCAAAACGTCTGCCGATACTGGTAACGCCACTCTTGGTTCAACCCGGAATGGTGGCTTCTATTTTGAGGCTGGTGCGTGCGAGCAGATTATCAACGGCAAGATTAAGATGGCACAAGGCTATATCGAGAGGTTCATGAAAGCCAAGGTTATCCTCTCCGGCGGCCGCGAGGAACATTACGATCTTATCGTATTTGCCACCGGTTTCTCCAATATGATAAACTCTATGCGGAACACCCTAGGTGACGCTATTGCTAACTGATGTGGTCCTATTTATGGTGTCGATGAGGAAGGCGAACTAAAGTTGGCGTATAAGGAGTTTGGCGCGCCAAACCTATGGATTATGGTTGGATATCTGCCGTTCTTGAGGTTCCACTTTAAGAGGGTCGCACTGCGGCTTAAGGCTCTCCTTGAGGGTGTAGCCTGTGCACCTTATAAGGGATAATATTTCTTTTGTGCATTTATGAGACAGAGAAAGTCTTGAGCCACGCAGTCTTACTGAATAGAATTTTGTATGTTTTGGTTCTTTCACAAGCATAGTATAGCCCCTTTGTCTTCAGATTTCTGTTGCCCAATCTGGGAAGACCTCCCTATCTCTCGGCGTGCTAGCAACATTTCGATCGCGAATATGCTCCTCAAGCGGCAGCTCCTTGAACTGGCTCCGGTTGCCCATATCTACACCCCTCTTCTGTATCAACCTAGCGAATCCCAGAGTCTGCTTCTTCCAATCATCGTGTGAGATTTTGCCTCCAAGGTAGTCGGCGAGAACCATAGCATCGAAGCAAGCCTGCGACGTCGACGCCACGGTATGCGGCCGGAACCCCGCGAGGGCGTCCCCCACCAAGATCACCCTGCCGTCCATGTACTCGTTTGTGGGCGTGATGACGTCCGTGATCGCCTGCACAAAGGGCGCCTTCGTCTTGCATACGATCTCTGCGAACTGCGGCGGCAGCCTGTCCCGCGCGATCTGCTTCTGCTTCTCCCAGGCCGCCGGCGGCATCATCCCGGGCGGCATCGTGATGTGCCTGCGCTGGCCGTTCTTGTCGGTCAGGACCTCCTCGAGCTCGTCTGACCCCTCGGGGAAGTTGGTGTAGTACACGAAGTTGACGAGGCGCTGGCCCGGCTCGGTGGTGCCGTTCTTCCCCGGGATCAGGTACGCCAGGATCTGGACCCCGCTGGCGTGGAAGAACGTGAACCGCTCGCTGAATGCATCTTTGGCTGCCTGGCTGACCTCGCTCTCGGGGACCGTGCCCCTCAGGGCGCAGTAGCCCGTGAACTTGCGCTGGACCTCGGGCTCCAGTATCTTGCGGATCGTGGAGCTGGGACCGTCGGCACCGATCAAATAGTCGGCCACGATACTGCCTTTCTCTCCGTCACCAGACTCCCATTCCACCCGAATGCCCTTGCCTTCCGGCTTGAACCCCGTGACCTTTCGGTCGTGCAGGTGTACTGCTTTGCCCTCATTTGGTAGAGGTGAAGGCGTTTCACAATAGTCATTCTTGGTGTAGTCATAGTTTGCCCGCATAAGATTGTATGTCAAGTCCCACTGCCGCTGGTCAGAAACAGGCCAAGAACCTTGGATGGGGTTGGGATCACTTACTGATGTCATGTTCTGTTCCATCTCCTCAGTGTGGATGATGTTGCCATCCTTTTCGAGGTAAAGCCGCTTGCGGGAGCTGACTGCGACGGGTCTATCACATCGTATATAGGTCTTGAGAAATCTGAGAGTATCGCCTCCAGCCACTATTCCAGCGCCTTGATCTTGAAGCAGAGGTGTCGGATTTCGCTCTAATATGATTGTGTCATGACCCAGACTCTTCAGCGCCAGGCCAGTTGCAAGGCCTCCCAGCGACCCTCCCGCCTGAGCACGGTTTTAGTATTGAGGATCCCATCTGGACGTTGCCAGAGATACTCACAATGACGATGTGCAGTTTTTGTCCCTCGTCCATTTCTTGTCTCTGAGAACTCCTCTCTGGTGTGACGCTAGCGAGTACACCATATGCCGAGAATTCGGCACGCCCAAACAATGCGCACTAAATTTTAGTTGATTATGCCGTGACGAACTTTTCCTTTCTAGAAAATCGATGAAGAAAGCAAAATCAATACCCCGAAGTCACTTGGAATTACCTGAGCGATTCAGAGAGTCTGGTGAAGTGTTGAACCCTGAGCCTATTTCGGACGCATCTGGTGGGGAAAATTGGTGACGTCAATCAATATAAGCAAAAGATGCTGAAGGTTGCATGAGCCGGCTGGAGCGGGGAATCAAATCTCGCCACATGGCCAGAGCTGATGAAGCCTGTGAGACTAAGACGGCACTTGAGTTGATCCAGTTTGTGCAAAAGTATCGACAATGTTGAGCACAGGATTTTTGAGGTGCTGGTGCGTTATGCAGAATAACTATTCTACAGCTATCATGGCACAAACCAAGATGATTCCATGATTTGTTTAACTCCTTTTTGAATCTAGGAAGCCACTACATGGGGGCTAAACTACACATTAGGGTGTGGGTGCATCTATTCTCTCTTACTTACTAGTAGTATTCAAGTTGTTATGGGCACTAAGGTCTAGGGATGACATTCCAGGGGATTCATGTTTGACAGATTACTCAGTCATAAGAGAAATTAGAGAATGGTGCAGCCATGGACTCAGTGAAGAGCCGAGGCATTCAGTATGGAAAAAGGAATTACGTAGATCGTAGCGAGTAAAGAAACAGCTCGCCTCGACAGTTGGATCACATGCACATATGGTACAAGCACCAGACGTGCATTCTCAAAATTTCTCAGCCAGAAGCTCGGGCATGAAAGTAAAGGAACTGCGATCTTCATAGATACCCTATCTAGCTCGCATCACAACTAATATGTGTACCTAAAATCCTCTTGCTTCTTGTCTGTGACGTCCGCGAAACCCTCCACCACGTCACGAAGTTCCTCCGGCTTGCCATACTTCTTATCCCTGCGCTTGTTCTCTGCATAAACATTGACGAAGTATACCAGAAGAAGTGCGATGGAAACACAATATGAGACCAACATTGCGATGACTCCCCTTGTGTACTTCGGAGCATCTTTGGAAATGAACGTCTGGGGCCCAATCAGATTTCCAGCGGCATAGCCTATGGTCACAAGGCTGAAGGCTATCGACTTTTTGGTTTGGCCAGCTGTGTTTGCCTGGGGCAGGGAGATCCCAACCACGTAGGGTGCTAATGTAGGTCAGCCAGCCATCAAGATGCTCGGGCTATTTGGGTCGATACTAACGCCAATAGAAATACATGAAATACAGGCCGACCAGTTGCCCAGCCACGTTTGACTGCGGAAGCCCGTACACGAGCGCCGTGCCAAAAATGGGCAGCAGCAGCGCGGCACAAGCAACGAAAGTCCTTCGGTTGGTCAGGCTGGCGATATAGCTGAAGAACCAAGCGCCGAAGGTCGCCACGATTCCGAACGGCATGGTGAGTAGGCTCGCTTTGAGATTGCTGAAACCTAGGTCGGAGATGATGATTGTCCCGAAGGCCTGTAGTCCGCCGTTGGGGATGTTGATGGCGATGTTGAAGAAGAATATCAGCCAGATCCTCACGTCCAAGAGGGCCTCCCGGACTTGGTCCCATTTCCACACTCTGTTCGAAATGCCGGTCCTGTTTGACGCAAGCCGCTCCACGGCCCAGAACTTCTCTTCTGATGTGAGGAACCGAGCGTTCATCGGGCTGTCCGGGAGAACGAGGCAGAGGAAAAGCGAGTAGAGGACATTGATAGAACCTGTGATGAGGTAGAGGTACTGCCATTTCTTGAGAGGCGCCGAGTCTGGAATATAACCAACCACCCAGGCGAAGAAGCCATTGAAAACTGATGAGAAGTACGCGAATATTACTACAAATCTCATTAGCTGAAAGCCCATCGGATATCACCTTTTCTAACTGAATTCAGCCTTACTGGCGTTCCTCTGAGGTTGCTCCTGCTTTTTGTAAAAGCTGACCACGAGCATAGTCAGGCTTGGAGCGATCGCAGATTCTACGAAGCCCATGAAGAAGCGAAGTGCCATGAAGCCTGCCCAAGTATGACAGACGGCATACAACATGGTAATAATCGACCACAGTAGAGACGCACTGCAGAGAAGCTTCCCCGGCGGGAATCTGTGGACAAGCCAGGTGGTCACCACATAACCGCACAGTTGCTGTTCACGTGTCAGCTCTTGCCCTAGGAAGGAGGTCAAGGGACGTACGCCAAGAGGCAGGATGCTTCCAAGCCAGCTGTATTGCTGCCCATGCATGTTATTGTCTTCTTGGAAACCGTAGAGCGAGGCAGTTCCGATTTCAACCTTGTCTACGGCCCCGAGCGTCGCGGTAAACAAAAGCTACGTCGTGTGAGCTACTGTGAATTTGTGGCATTGGGCCAGAACAAAGACTCGGACAGTGATTAGTACTTACCAAGGGAATCATCCAAGAGTCAATCTTCTTCCGGAGTCGCTTCTCCCTTTCCGGCGTCAAGGGTTGGAATTGCTCGGCACGAGTGTCGGTCAAGTATTTGGCGGCATCATCAGTGGCCTCCTTGGGCAACTTGGATCCGCTCCCATATCGAATTTCGCCCTGCGAATAAGAGAGCACAGGATGGATTGTGGTCTCACTCTTATCCTGGGCCTTGCCATTCTGAACGTCCGTGGGGTTGGGCGAAGGAGGAGTCATAGTTGCAAGCAGTCACCCCGATCGTAGGAATGGAGATAAGTCGAAGTATGCCTCGAATTGGCAGAAGCATTTATGGTTATGGAATATGGTCTAGATATCTAACGCGGGACAAGCAGTAAGCTTGCGTGGCACGATCTTGTTCAGGGGCCTCATCCTCAGGGGTATCGGCATCGGAGGAGGAACCATTTAAACATGCCGAATGAGATAAAGAGAGCTCCTCACGTCAGACTCCTAGTTGTATCCTGACATGGCTGCTCTCATCTGAGACCTTCGGGTCGTACCCGAGACTTTCAGGTTTCTTGCTTGAACGACCAGGCACTGCTTCTGCGAAACATGCCCAGTCATATCTTGCCAAGATGGAGACTCAGACATTAGAACCTTGTCACCACGCTGATCGGACAGATATCTTGATGCTGATAGGCAACGCCGGCCGGCGTAGTCTCATTCAACGTTGTCTGTTGATAAATCGGAACCGGCAATGCAGGTGTCAATCCCTTATCTAATGCCTCCAGTTCTGTTCGCGGGGTGCATGCAGCAAACACCCCTTGCGGCCAATGGAGCAAGTTACCGGTCAGTGCAGCACCCACTCGACCCGAAACTTGAATTGCTTACGGCTTACGGGTCGAATGGCCTATGGACTCAATGCCTGATTGTAATGTCGATCTCCCCGCGTCGTTGCCATACATGCACTGCGACAACCGCGTAGTGTCCTGTAGTGTAACTTGGGGTATGTAGATCGTATCGAGGCAGCGATTACAGGTGCCGGCACCATAGCGATCACGGAGGAGGAGCGCAGCGGTCCACAGTCTTGCACACGGATTCCCATGGGCTATGGGGGACTTTGCGGCCACATTGAGTACATAAGTGTTTTGCCAGACCTGTGAGTCGTGACTCGATTGTGAATGGGCATATACCGTTGTGCCAGCTTGATTCTTATCAACGATACCGATTCGAGGCTCCAGAGCAGATCCTTGATCCTCAAGCAATATGGGAGACTCAGCTGGCGTAGTCTCGGTGCCACCGAAAAGCATCAAGTTCGCCATAGGTGCGTGGTTATCAATCTCTCTAGTAAACCGTAACTAACAGAGGGTCAGATCGTGGCGGGACATTCACAGATGTTTGGGCGTCGGTTCCAGGACAAAAGGATATCGTCCTCAAGCTCCTTTCAGTCGACCCGGATAATTACGACGATGCGCCCTCCGAAGGGATCCGAAGGGTGCTGGAGATCGTCTCGGGGCAGGAGATCAGTCGTCGAAGTCCCATACCGAAGGATCTCATCCATTCCATACGTATGGGAACGACAGTAGCAACAAATGGTAGTGTACCGGTGCCCCAACACCCTCGTTAGGACCCATATCTAATGAAAGTTTTACAACAGCACTGCTCGAGAGGAAAGGCAGGCGCCATGCCTTCATTGTAAGCAAGGGTTTCGGTGATCTGATTGAGATTGGACACCAATCTAGACCAAAGCTGTTTGAACTTGGCATCAGAAAGCCGGAGCTACTTTATTCAGAAGTTTTCGAGATCTCAGAGCGCATCACCGTGGAGTGCTTCGACGAAGACACGACAAACTCGCGGCCGGCTCCAAAGGAATCACCTGGTCTATTCGTCAGGGGCATCACCGGGGACATCCTCCGCATCTTGCAACCCTTGGACGAGGCAGAAGTCACCACAAAGCTCAAGACGTTGAAAGCTAAAGGGATTGACACTTTGGCGGTCTGCCTCGTGCATTCGTACTTGTATCCCAAGCATGAAGAGAGGATCGCAGAAATCGCCAAGGGCTTGGGCTTCAACCATGTCTCGATCTCTTCAGAGGTTGGGGCGAACATGATCAAGATGATATCACGCGGCAGCTCAGCCTCGGCGGATGCCTACCTGACTCCAGAGATCGTCCAGTACGTGGATGGCTTTGCCCGAGGTTTCGACGGCGGCAACCTTGACGGAGTCTCTTGCGAGTTCATGCAGAGCGATGGCGGCCTTGTTAGTCATAAGAACTTCAATGGCCTCCGGGGTATCCTGAGTGGCCCGGCAGGTTCGTTTAGCTTTCGTTATGACCGCTTTGGGGACCGTACTGATCACTGGGCCATATTTAGGCGGTGTTGTAGGGCACGCGCGGACTTCTTACGATGGCCAGTGTCCCGTCGTCGGCTTTGATATGGGCGGAACATCCACAGATGTCAGCCGGTACGGCGGATCCTTCGAGCTTGTCTTTGAGACTGTCACGGCTGGTGTATCGATCCAAAGTCCTCAGTTGGATATCAACACTGTTGCCGCAGGAGGAGGAAGCATGCTGTTTTGGAAGAACGGAATGTTCAAAGTTGGCCCAGAAGTGCGTATGACTCGACAAACAGAACGGATTCCCTGACTAACTTGCACAGAGTGCGGGAGCACATCCAGGCCCGGCTTCCTATCGCAAAGGCGGTCCACTGACGGTCACCGATGCCAACCTCTTGTTAGTCAAATTCTGAACCTCATGTATATGAACTTGTGACTGATACCAAGCAGCCTGGGGAGACTTGTCCCCGAATACTTCCCTGCCATCTTCGGTCCCGAAGAGAGCCTCCCACTTGATTCCAATATTGTAGCGCAGAAATTCAAAGAGATCACGGCGAAGATCAATGCCGACGCGGGGAGATCGATGACACCAGAAGAGGTCGCTCATGGTTTCATTGACGTTGCAAACGAGTCGATGTGCCGTCCAATTCGAGCTCTGACCGAGGCCCGAGGATTTGAGACCGCTCAACACAACCTGGCTACCTTTGGTGGCGCCGGTGGTCAACACGCCTGTGAGATTGCAGCCAAGCTGGGCATCCGTCGGGTCGTCATGCATAAATACTCAAGCATTCTGTCGGCCTATGGAATGGCTCTTGCGGAGGTCGTACAAGAAGCAAGAGAGCCTAGCTCGGAAAGTCTAGGAGAAGACGCATTGGTGCGATTGGAGGAGAAGTTTAACCTTCTGAGGCAGCGGGCGTCTGATGGCTTGCTTGCTCAGGGAATCACGACCTCATCTATCGTACATGAGGAGTATTTGAACCTGCGATATCATGGCACCGACACCAATTTCATGATTCTTCGACCCGCGGATGGCGACTGGCTGACTGCTCTGGAGAGGGAACATTATCGAGAGCTATCCTTCACTTTCCCTAGGTCAAGAAGAGTCCTGGTCGATGATGTCCGCGTCCGTGGAATCGGGAAGAGTGGGGAGGTCACCAAAGACAGTGACACTTTGATCCAAGAAATGAGCGAGCTTGACTTCCAAGACCACTCCAAAAATGTCAATATGATGGTAAGACAAAACCCACGCAAGTCATGCAGAGAATATCAGACAGCTAAGCCCCTTGACAGAAAGAAGTCTATTTCGCAAATGGCGGCCGCCAAGAGACCAAAATATTCCGTCTCGATGACTTGAAGCCTGGGAGCATGATTCCCGGACCGGCCATCATCATCGACAACACTCAGACAATCATCGTCGTACCCGGAGCAAAAGCCAAGGTGCTCACGTCCCACGTTGTTGTCGACCTAGCTCAAGAAGGATCTCGAGTTATTAGTAGCGGCGAGCTGGTTGTTGACCCAATCAAACTCAGCATCTTTGGCACAGGTTTATGGGAATAGCAGAGGAGATGGGCAGGACGCTCCAAAAGACTAGCATCTCGCTGAACATCAAGGAGCGGCTGGACTTCTCGTGTGCCATCTTTAGTCCGGATGGTGAGCTCGTGGCCAACGCACCGCACGTGCCAGTGCACCTCGGAAGCATGAGCTATGCGGTGCAATATCAGCATCAGCTACACCGCGGAAAGCTGAAGTCGGGTGATGTGCTTGTTTCAAATCACCCGGAATCTGGAGGGACACACCTGCCAGGTACGACTCTATTCTGTTCTTGATGGCTATACGCTTTGGAACATCTACGCTGACAAGGTCTTGGACAGACATAACCGTCATCACACCGGTATTCGATGACGAAGCCAAGACGATTTGCTTTTACACTGCATCAAGAGGTCACCACCTGAACATTGGCGGATATAGAGGCAACTCCATGCCACCGTAAGTCGGATATAGCAATCTTCTATTCGAAGGATCAGGCTGATTTTGAGAACTAGTGACTCTGTTGAGCTCTGGCAAGAGGGCGCCTCGATCAAGTCATTCTTCCTCGTGAGAGATGGCCACTTTGACGAAGAAGGCATCACAGCCATTCTTCTCGAGCCGGGCAATTTTCCCGGCTGCAGTGGCTCGAGAAACCTGGGCGACAACCTATCGGATCTCAGGGCTCAGGTTGCTGCCAACACCAAAGGCAGCAACTTGATCAAGGACTTGATGAAAGAGTACAGCCGCCCAGTCGTTCATTTCTACATGAAGAAGATACAGGAAAACGCCGAGGTGGCTGTCCGAGAATATCTCAAGTCCGCGTACCGACGTTTCGGGTCCAAACCTCTGACCGCCACGGATTATCTGGACAACGGCTCGACGATGACGGTTGCAATCAGCATTGATGAGACGGGCTTCGCAACTCTGGACTTTACTGGCACCTCGTGCGAGATGCTTTCCAACATGAACGCCCCACCTGCTATCACGTACTCGGCTCTGATCTACACACTGCGCCTCCTCATTGGCTCTGACATTCCCCTGAACCAAGGCTGCTTAGCCCCAACCAAAGTCATTCTCCCAAAGAACACCTTCCTCAACCCTTCCTCCAAAGCCGCAGTCTGTTGCGGCAACACCCTCACCTCGCAACGGCTCGTGGACCTCCTGCTCAAAGCCTTCCAAGCCGCCGCCGCCTCCCAGGGGTGCATGAACTGCTTCGGCTTCTTCGGCAACTGCCTCGAGCCAGGTGGCAAGGAAGACACAAACAACCAGCGCGATGACAGCAGCGGGTTCGCCTTTGGCTACGGCGAGACCGTCTGCGGCGGCGAGGGCGCGGGCCCGACCTGGCACGGCGCGTCGGGCGTGCAGGTGCACATGACCAACACGCGGACCACGGACGTCGAGATCATCGAGAAGCGCTACCCCGTGCTGCTGCGCGAGTTCTCCATCCGCGAGGGGAGCGGCGGCGGCGGGCGGTTCCGCGGCGGCAGCGGCGTCGTGCGCGACTGGGAGTGCCGCTACCCGCTGACGTTCGGCATCATCTCGGAGCGGAGGGTCCACCGGCCGTTCGGGATGCACGGCGGAGGGGCTGGGGAGAGCGGCGCCAACTATTGGGTGCAGAGGTTGGAAGATGGTGGCGAGAGGTGGGTTGACATTGGGTCGAGGGGCCAGATCAACATGAAGACTGGTGACCGCTGTGTGATTCACACGCCTGGAGGAGGTGGCTGGGGAGTGCCCTGCGATGAGGCAGCATCCTCGACTGACTTGGACGAGGTAGTAAAGGACACTGACGGACCCCCGCACGTGAAGTCCGCTTATCCGCGCGCAGCTGGGAGCTTTCATAACTTCTCTGCCGCTCAGGAGGCATCCTCCTAGGCTTGTGGCCCCAGAGACGGCGGGGAACAAAGGCCAAGTATGCGCTGTTTTCGTTTGCAGGGACAATTCCTTGTTCGCAGAGAGAATTCTTGGGTTCCCTCCAGCTTGGAAGATGAGAAGAATTAGTGTGTACGCATGTCTGTGATACGTCCACAGCTAGAGTTGGTTGATTAATCTTCAGACTCCAGCCGCTACATTTTCGACCCAACATCTCAGCGCAGGTCATCAACAAGCACGATCAAGCAAACTTTGAGCGTACGCATGAAGGATGTAAAATCGTGTCATCGAGAACCCATGTCTGTCCCTGGTAATCCTCGCCACGCAGGGGCGATCACGCACGACCTATGCCCAGACGTACTGTGGAAGCTCGACAGCAGCAGACATGCACCTGCTCTGGCTCAGCATGCATCTTCATAACCTCAGAGAGAGTTGAGTCAATGATAAGGAAGCTTCAGCACTGTTCTGCATTCTGTTGTTGTTCGCCGCTGTCACGGCACAAGAAAGCCTATTGCGCTAGACACCAAAAAGAGGGACGTTGTAATGCCGAGAGCATTAGCGTGGCTTGCGCCTATATACGTACTGTAACAGCCGCCACCCTTCAAGGTTTATCATCCCAATAAACTATCAAGGTTGCGGCTACCTTTCCGCTAAATACCCCCTAAAATAAATCCGAAGGTACTATTTCAAAATTATAAATTAAGTTATCCCTAGGTTTCGGCATTACTTAATTCTTTCCAATAGGGAGACACGCCCGTAGAAATCCACTTAATTTTCCGACGAAAAGTTTCTTGCAATGCCCAGGCTCGAACTTACAACCCCAATAGAGGCATTACAAACTGTCACGGCATAAAAAAGCCTATTGCTCTAGACACCCAAAAGAGGGACGTTGTAATGCCGAGAGCATTATCGTGGCTTGCACCTATATACGTACTGTAACAGCCGCCGGATGTACAAGTTAGCCACGAGGCTGCGGGTCGGCTGCCGTATTCCGGTTAACTTCGGGAGTTCGTCATGACTTACTTCCACTGTATAGCACTCTTGAGCTAAATGTCGGCGACACCCGCGAAACTTTCCATGTGTTGAGCCAGGATGTAGAGAACGGAAGTACAATAAACTTTGGAAGCCATCACCCAACTGCAACGTATTTTTGGGCCGTGGCATCCGCATGTTCACGAGATACTGTTGACCACATTTAGGATCTTGGAGATATACCCAGGACGAGACCTACCGATTGTCGCTGTCATGTCCCGCTCACGAAATGATGTGCACCAAATCTCAGTTAAATTGACAGCTTTTGGTATCTCATTTGTATTAGGAATATATACAGTGCTTGACTCAAACCAAGCACATACGGCCATAGATAGAGGAAAATACGGGATCCCGTCCGCTCTCCCATAGTCAAGCCTCTGATCGCTGGATTAGTAGTTGGGTCGGTGACGACCAGCGAATACCCGGTGCTGTATGTGTTTTGGGATTTTTTTGGACTTTTTTTATTGGACTGAATCGTTGGTATTTCTCAAATTGCCTTGTTACTAAAAGCTTTCTAAGTCAAACAATAACTGTAATGCGACTCAGAATAGGTGGTAGCAGAAACGGACGTTCATGCACCCCCTATTCGACAGCTTTATTTACCCTGAACCCGGTAAAGCAACTTTTATAGTTACTGAAGGACCGGATCCTGTAGGGGAGGGTGCAATACGCGGCGTTGCGTCACGGAGATCGGACCCCTAGCCATGTACGAGTCAAACCTTTTCAAATCTATCGGGAATACGTCCTAGTCGGACTCCGTGACGGCGGAACGGGCTGTGAATATTTAACGTTTGAGCTAGACAACCACCGAGCACAATACGCAAATACTTAAAGTCTCGGAAGCATCCCAACCTGTCTCCATCATCTGAAAATGCAACTTCTTTAGCCATCACATTTTTTTTCCGAAGCACAGCAGCTTGTTGTCAACATGGGTTTCAGGGTAGTCATCGCTGGTGGCAGCGTTTCTGGCCTAACTCTGGCGAATGCGCTAGAGAAGTTTAACATCGACTACATCCTGCTCGAAGCGTACCCCTCCATCGCGCCTCAGGTTGGGGCAAGCATTGGTATGCTGCCCAATGGCTTACGAATTCTCGATCAACTGGGATGTTACGAGCCCGTGCGAAATATTTCCAACGAATTCTACCTCAAGTCCTGTATTAATGGACCGGATGGCAAGCCTCGCTCAAAGGGCTCCACCGCCGCAATCCACCACATGGAAAAGCGGTTCGTGTGTCTTCACAACTAGTCGTAATTTCCTTGCTCTGACGTCGTCATAGTATCGGTTATCCCTCCATCTTTATCGATAGACAGATGCTGCTTCAAGCTCTGTACGACAACTTGTTGCACAAGGACAGAGTTCTTACTAAGAAGAGAGTCACTAAAGTTGATATTGTCGAGGGAGGCGTTCAAGTTTTCACCGAAGACGGTGACTCGTTTGAGGGTGATATAATAGTTGGCGCAGACGGCATTCACAGCACTGTCCGAGACGAGATGTGGCGCATCGGACACCAACTGAGCCCGGGCTATTTTCCACCTGACGAGCACTCAAGTTAGTGACGGCTGCATCCTGCAGATTTTCCCGGCTAACATCAGCGTCCAGGAGTCCCCGTCAGCACCAAGTGCATTTTTGGAATTTCCAAGCGGCCCAAGGGCATGCCCGACCTAAGCCAACAGACATGCGTGTACGCTGGACGAAGTTATCTCATCATTCATGCGCCAATGAACCGCACGTATTGGTTCTTGTTCAAGGCAGTCGAGAAGACCCTCCGTGGCAAGGACATCCCGAAGTATTCCAAGGAGCAAATGGAAGACTTGGCACAAGAACATGTTGACGATAAGATCTGTGAAGACGTCACATTTGGCGCTCTCTACAGCAACCGCATGATGTCGACGTTGGTTCCCCTGGAGGAGTATGTTTTTGAGAAATGGCATTACAAGCGGATCGTCACCATTGGAGATGCTAGCCACAAGGTGAATGAATCTTGCAAGCACATCGTCATCTAGGCCGTCGCTAATGAAAACAGATCGATCCCTTGTCAGGCCAAGGAGGCAATGGCGCCATCGAGGCTGCGGCGCTCCTAGTCAACGCTCTCACCGACATGCTCGAGAAGAATCCCAAGCCATCTGAAACAGAAGTCGAATCCGCCCTGGCCCAAGTCCATATCAACCGCCACAAAAGAGCAGTGGATCTCGTGTCACAGGCTCATAAACTTCAGCTGATTGCGACCGGCAGATCTCCTGTCTCCAACCTCGTCACTGATCACTTGATGCCTCTTTTAGGCCCAGAAACCTTCCTCAAGATTGTGACCCCCATCGCAGCGGCTAGCCACCGCATCAAAAGGCTTCCGATGCCTAAGCGGTTCAGAATCGTGCCTTTCAACGACGAGCTACCGGCGCAGCCTATCACAAACAAAGCGGCGTACTGGGCGCCATGGATCGTGACTGTTGGCTCTCTGGCAGTATTGCTGCATCAAACTGCTCAGCCATCGACTTGCACTGCGATCGCCGATTCTTTCATGGCTCTCCAAGCGCTCCTACCCAGCCCTCAAGATGGCCTTCATGCATCTCGCAAGTTGGTCGCATCCGTCATCAGTGCCGAGAACAACGTCGAGACTATCCGACTTCAGGCCAACCTCTTCACCACCCTAGCTCTTTGGCTTGTCGAGGGCAATCGCCACGGCAACCAGCTGGCTGTCATCACCTGGTAGGCCTTCTGTCAACGTTTCCAATGACTTACAGACACTAACCCATAAAAGGCCCTCAGCATGCGTCGTAGCCTATACCGTCTTCGGCCCCAAAGCTCTGCTGCCCTCCCTGGGCCTCTCCACCCTCCTCCTCGGCTCCGGCAACATTCCCGCTCGCCATGTCCCGACCAACGTCGCAAAATCCATCCTTCCCGCCGTCCTCGCAGGCTATGGCATCCCGACCCTACTCGCTTCGCTACCAATTCATAACCCTCTGCTCCGACAGAGCGCCACCATCGCCTGCAACTTTTCCCCGCTCATCACCACTTGCTTGTCTAGAGTCTTTCCATCCACCATCCAGGCTATCAAGAACCTCATCAGCCCGCCCAAGCCCGGGGTCGAGATCAGGGAAGAGGATAAGGAAGCTTTCCACGACATGTACAAGAAGACAGACGTCGCTCCGCTCAAAAGAACGTATGCTTTCGCCGCCGGTATCAGTGCCGTCGTGCACGTTGCCACTGCGCTTTATAGCATTGGCGAGACGCCCGCCGTTGGCTCAGGCGGGCTCTTTTCTGGAAGCAGCGCTCTGCTCGGCCTTACCTCGGCCGCTCTGTCCACATACTTCACGTACGACATGCGGTACCGCGGATTCCTCACAACCAAGCAGTCATTAGCGGCGGGAGCGGTCAACTTTGTCAACAATATCCTCCTCGGACCCGGTGCTGCTATGTCGGTGTTCTTCTACTTCCGGGAACACGTTGTATCTAACCTTGGCGACTGAGGCAATTTCAGGCCGCCTCAAAACGATCCCTGTCATCTATCGCTTCTGTCAATAACTCTTTCTCTTATTGTGTTCCAAGTTTTCGTACCTTTCCTCGTTTTCTTTTTCGAACAATCACTTTTGTTTCGTGGGACTGCAAAAATAGACAAAGACTTAGACTGCTTTTCGTCAGAACCATTTGTTACGGATAGACCACTTGCGCTCACATAACTGTCTGCATTAGAATAAACCCATCGGCCTTATTGGCCACTCTAAACAAGAACGTTAAGACTCCAACGCAAGGACTCTACAAGCGTGATAAAGGATTGTGACTAAATTAGGTCAGATCCAAACTGCGGATGATTGGTCATGCAAATTGACTACCTGACGGCTTCCCTTTGTTGCAGTAGGATGGGCGCCCAGCTCGCTTGCCCACCCCACGAGGGCTAAACAAGTCGCCAGCCGCATGCTCTAGCCACCAACAACATTGTTCTAGTGACCAACAGCAAACCAACAGCGAGCCGGGGTCCATTCAGCTTGGAAAGCCTTCCACACAGTAGATTATCTGTCACGGCCTGCAGCGCTGACTGCAAGGTGCATACGATGTCTAGATTGCATGCACCGTGTTGCCTGCTTAGGCTACCCCTAGGTACTGGCGTCAGCAGGAAGTACCGAGAAGGGTTCCTTGCCCCTGTACATCAACCGAATTATCGCAACGGCCTGCATTTCTTCAAGCAAGGATTAAGCGGATGCACACCCATGATTCTTACAAATTTCAATAGCTTCCCCTCGCTTCTGCCCAGTATTCCGCCTCGATCATATTTTCCTTTTCTCACTTCGACCCACGTCAGTTCCACCGTCTCACCTCCAAAATGTCTCCGATCCGCGACACACTCATCAAAACAGCCAACAGCTACATAGAAGGCTTCAACACCAACACGGCCGAGGGAGTCATAGCCTCCCGCACGGCAGACTGCAGACAAGTCATCCGCCCGTGCAGCGTCCCCCCGCCATGGAACGACCCACCCCGGACCAACGAGGAGTACCAGGCCTTCATCCTACCCGGGTTCAACATCATGCGGAACATTCGGATCGGCCTCGCCGAGGGGGAGGACATGCTCGTCGACGAGGTGTCGCGCAAGGTCCTGCTGCACCTCACGTCCACCGGCGAGTCGGACTTTGGGCCCTACGCCAACGAGTACATGATCGTGCTCAAGATGACCGGCGATGGGACGCTGATCAAGGAGATCGTGGAGTTTATTGACAGTGCCACCGTACGGGACCTCGCCGCGAGCCTCGCCGAGCATGTCAAACCGGAGTAATGGTGGGGCTTGGGGGCGCAGAGGGAGGCGATGGTGCATGCCGGTTGGCGGGCATTCAGAAGATAAAATGTCCCGTTCAATGGGAATGTTCATCCTATAGCTGAGGCTGGAGAGGAGGATACGATAAATCTTGGCAGCGTGTTGCTGGCTTAGTTATTTTCGCGACGTTTGGATCGCTTCGATGGCTAGAATAATTTAGTTCTCTTTTGTTTGGGATAGCATTGTGCTTAGTGTGTTGAAGCGCGTTAAAGCCTTAATTGATACGGGTGCAGAGAAGGTGTCCCAGTATGTGAATATATCCACGAAACTCTAGGTCGGCTCTCTCAGAATCCTTGTCAGTGAGCTTTCTGAGGCTGAATTTTCCTGTTTCCTCAATCCGACAGCACCTATATTTCAAGGAAGATGATGACAATGCGCTTAAAGCTCGAGGCATCCAAAGTCCTTCCCATCATATTGACCCAAGCCGCCTGCCTGGACAACTATATGACTGCTAAATAGCCGCAGACTTTGACACTCCCACGCCAATCCTCTGCGCTTCGAGGCTACTGGCATCCGTGTCTTGTTGAGCCTCACTCTCAACTTCATTATTGCCGTTGGAGCCTTCGTCCTTTTGACCATAATAGAAAATGGCCAAAAGTGTACAGGGCACCGTGAAGCCCCACAGCGCGAAGCCAAGGATCATCTGTTTGAGGTTTGAGACTGACGTCGCGCCGACCGCATATGCCACAACACTCCCAATCGACTCCCACGATCGGAGGATACCGGTAGTGCGCGCAATATCCCCGTCGTTCTGGCCCCCCTTGATCTCGGCCATCAACCAATAGATATATGTCTGCAGGACCTCGTAAAAGAACTTGAACAGAAGGTAGACAGCAAAGGCCGAGTTGAACCATGGCCCACCACCGAGATCTAATGTGGGAGGATCTTCCATCTTGGATAGCTCGGACTCTATGACCGCGTTCCACGTCCAGGCACCGGTCACAAACACCAAGACGAAGATGTAGACGCCTTTGCTTCTGGTGGAACGAGAGAATCGGTTCCAATCAAGTATTAAACCCGTCACCAAGTCACCTGCCGCCCCCACAATGGCGGTAAGGAAGGATGCCAACGCCCTGGAGCGGACAGTGAAATAGGCTATGAGTGACTGGTCAGCACCGTTCCTTGAACCAGAGCTACAATTTTGAATCACTGAAGGGGATATAAAAAGGACCAACTTGTAAGGTAATTGCTCTGATATGTCACACCAAATTGTCCAGCCATGAACACAGGTATAAGCATCAGCATCTCGCGGTTCCGCAGTTGTTTCCAGATAGCGCGAGCCTCGAAACCAAGGGTGGTCTTCTTCATGTAGGGGATTCTGGTGCCGTCCTGCCTGGTGACATTCTGCGGCTGAGAGAGCAGCAACGCAAACGGTGCTCCGAGGGCCGAAATGGCCACTAGGCCTTGGTACGTGGTGTACGTAACCTTTCCAGCATGATTCGTGTTTATGTTCAGGGCGAGGGATATGGCACCGCCTACAAGCGGACCTAATTGTCTAATGCACATCCATATAGCGACGTATCTGTCTCCGTAATTAGTCATGGTGATAACCGAACGATCGATCCATCGCATGGAAATCGTCTAGATAGACCTACCTTCCTCTTACCGTCTCCTCAGGCCACCCGACTGCAATTGCTGCTTCGCTGGCCCAGAACAGTGACGCGCCTATCCCACAGGAGGCGGCTCCCAATAACATAAACCATTGGTTTCCATAACGATTATTACAATATAACCCGGCAGCATATGGAGTATAAAATGCCGCGCCGATAAAAAGAGTCCATTTGGCCGTGATTCTGTTAGTAATACCGCCTGCAATTACACAACCCACAGACATGAGGCCATAGGTAAGTGCATTGGCAGCATTATTCAAGAATGGCTACGCAGTTCGTTAGCTAGAGAATGACAGTGGCGGGGGAAGTATTTTGTGGCTGATACGATTGCAGAGTTAGAAAGAGACTCACTGTAGCGTTGCCACCGGCTCCCAAGTTGTTGAGTGCGGTCCAAATACCGGGCTCGCAGAAGGCTACCAGCCCGACAACGACGACCTGAAAAAGACATGACCTGTAAATGCGTCCTAATCGGGCAGGTGCCATTTTGAACATTGAAAAGACGCCAGGAAGCAGCGGATTAGAAGGAGAGACGTGCGTGCCACCCAGTGTTCATCCGGGCAAATACCTCAACTTTATTGTAAAACTCGTCATCACGGCTGGTGGTCGCCATGTGCAAATCTTTTACACCAGGGGTAGCCCAACCGAGCTTATGGGAGCACGCCATAGCTCTGGGTCGTTTGCGCAACGTTTTCCATAGCGCCAGGGGCACCAAAGAGGCCGACTTGCCTCCGATTGCGCTGTTTATGCTGCCGCACTGAGCACGTGATGCCCCACGCATATGATGTTCGTTACTCGTTCTTGCGATGACATGCGGCCCCATACAGCATCATACCATATCCATCAGATTATCATATTGTACAACTTACGCCGTCAAGGTGCAAGAAAAGTCGCATTGTGCCGATTGTGAGGCTATCAATCGGAATCTCTGTCCGGCATCGTCTCCAGACGTGTACTCGTTGTGACGTCCCACCTAGTTATAAAAGCCTAGAGATATCAGGAACAACTCCAACCACCCCCCTACCTTATGTCGGCATGGCGAATGGAAGACTAAGTTCTCGAGTCTAAATTATACAGACATTTGAAACAATAAGCTTCTCACGGTATCAATAGGGACAAGGCGTCCGGATGTTTACTTTGCATCACTAGCACAATTACGCAAACCGTATGACTGGGAAATATCAATGTTCCGGCTTGCCGTTGCTGTTTTCTGGAAATCGGCAATGGAGTCCACAAAGTGTTCTCCTTCATATCAATGGGGTACTCTGCCAATTCAGCCTTCTCGCCTTCCGGGTTTTGGTGCCGTGCGGTACTTTACGGCAGTTCTATTCTTCTATTTACGCCGCTCAAGTTACTTTTTCCGTAGCTAACAACGTCGTTGGCGACATGAATATAGAATGCCGTTGGGACTTGGGACCCCTTCCTCCCCCAGGTACTTTCAAGTATCTTCGCCGGCGTATGTCGCAAGGGCTAGGGTTAGTAGGGACATGATTCGCTAGTCTACTAGACCATGCAGTCCCTGTCAACAAACGCGCCTGCTGTGGGGAAGTCCCAAAATCTCCACTTCCCACTTCCAATTCCATTTCCGTCCACATCATCGACGGCCGACGCCACAGCTCAGACATTTTGGCTAACATTGTAACCAGGGACTTCAAACAGCAGTCGTATTCTGCTTGAGCTCGACTGTTCCAGCAGTGAAGGCCTTCGTCGTCTCTCTCGCGTTCTCGACAGCCCCTTTCTCCAGCGGCTGCGGCGCAGCACCAGGCCTGGTTGCCCCGGCTACTACGAAGCCGCGGCCGCTTTTTGCGACCAGTTTGTACACAAACAAACTCCCCGCAGCGCGATCAACATTTAAGCACGGCGAATCTCCATCCGCAGGGCTCCACCAAAGTCTCGTCTAAACCTCTTACAGCCGCATCTGTTCACGACGGCATTTTCCTCCTTTTCAAATCACCACAATGTCGTCGCCGGAGCCAATGCAATCGCCAATCGAGGCCCTCGAGACGGCCCGACGCGAAAGCCAACAAGCTTCGTACAAGCAGCTGCACGCCACTCTGCAAGAGCTCAACCGCCTCGATGTACCGGTGTTGGAGGACTCGCATCTGCAAGCCCTCGGCATCCGCAAGCTCCCCGATATCGACGTCGACGAGCACGCGCCATTTGACCCAGAACCTCTGTACTTCCGCCCCTACCCTCTCGGCGGCGTGGACGACCTGCCAAGTTTCGTCGATGACGTACTCCACAAGCGGTTGATTCACACTCAAGATCAATGGAAAAACCCTTGCATGGAGTCTTATTGCCCGGGTGAATATATACCCCATGGCTTGCACTGTTCATGTAAGCGGTACAAGTGGGCCGCTTCCAAGGCTGGGAAGTATGGTGACGGCATTTTGGGGAAGACAAAGTGGCAGTACGTCAAGTGAGTAGTCCTGCAGCTGTGCACCGTTTTGATCTTGGAGGTCTTGACACTAATGCTGATCCCGATATAGCTCTCTGTCAGATGAAGATGACATGTATCTGGAAGAAGATGTCTCCAACAGGTTTTGTCGGGACGGGGAGCTCCTTAACGCATACGGCACTCCTGGCTTTTACGAATTATGTTCGAGAGATCGCTGGGAGACAGATATGAGCAAGCCGCACATGGGTGTTGTCGTCTGCGATTCGTCTAGGAGCAGCCCGGCCACTCTAGCCAGCGAAGTAGCGGCTGCCATCACCGTGCTCAAATTTCGTTTTCGCCGCGGCGATTTTGTCAATTTTCACACCATACCTGTAAGCCCTCTCTCATTTCCTCTTGCGCAGAGCAGGCCATGACTAATTTGGAACAAGATCATCGTCTACAGCTTCCATCATGACGAATCTGCTCGCATCACACAGGCGTATTGGGATGGTGATGGTCTCGTGATTCGCCAGTCAAGGCTGCTGAACCTTCGCGGTGATCAACCCACAAGCGACGCATACCTGTTTATAAGATGGCTGGCCAACAAGCCGGTTGGGGAGACAGCCTACCAGGTGCCGCAGGACACCAGAAACCTCGGCAATGGCGAGAAGCCGCGGCCGGATTGTGCTACACGCTGGGACATTAGCGTAAGGGCTTGACAGTATCGTGTGGTTGCAATACTTGAATTTGGAAATATGCCGCTTCGCTGTCATTCGCGCCGCATAGCAGCAGACCAGTTGGGAGCGATTTGAAACTGAATCGTTTCCTCCAACAGATTGTTGGGGGCTTCAGAAGCGCCCGGGTGGTCTACAGGGAGAGGCCTTTGGCGCCGTCCGTGGCCGCATCGTGGCTGGGCAACAAGCGCCTGATGTAACCTTGCCCAGACCGTACTCCAAAGCATACCCTGGCTTGGGCTCGTCCTGATGCAGGCTGATGAAGCGACCGCGCCACCTAACTGCTCATCTAGCGTGTAACAAAATGCAAAAACCAGCCAACAGCGACTGGACAGTACGCTCACGAAGCTGGCTGTTGGCCAGGCAGTCTGGCCAGCTGGCCGGCATGCAGATGGCCTGGTTCATATATCTTATTTTTGGACCGAGGCGTATATGGAAATACTCTCGAATTTCACAGCAACTGTGCTCCCTATTTAGGGAGGCTGCAAGCCTGTGAGCAGGCTTCTCCACCCATCCACCTCTTGGAATCTTTCCGGTAATTTTGTCTTGCTTGATGTTGACTTGTGGGCTGCAATAATGTCTGCCGCATCTGCGTCGCAGTCTGCGACTGCCTTTGAAACCAATAAGTGCAACCCCGCAGTTCGGAGATTTGTCGACCGGAATCCAGAGACTTCATCAGACTGGAGCGACCTTGTCCAGCAATGGATAGGAAGCGTCAGAAGTCCGGCTGGTACTCAGCTGGAGCCAGAGTAAGCGGGTCCAAGACATTTGCACATATCTATCAATAGCTGAACCGACGAAACGCTTGATATGCTTGTAAAAGCATTGCTGATTGAGTTTTGAAGATTGAACAAAGGTTCCCATCATATCCGTCTTTGTGGTTTGAGACGGTGGAAGGCCGGGGATGAGGACGCCAAAGGATCTGGTCTCAACCTTGAACATTTCCTGCATCTCCGCGCTCTCGTTAAGCGACACGAAAACGAAGATCTTCCACTCCGTGAATTGGTTGAGGCCAAATACGCGGAAGCTGCCGAGGTATTTCTGGGAAACTGGCAGGATTTCGACAACTATATTTCACAGGTTCCCAGCAACGATCCAGCCTTAGATGTTGACAACCTTGGAATGTTCGCTGGGGCAAAGTTACTGCAGAATCAAGTACTTCTGGATGCATACCTGGGTACTCCTCAGGATGGGGCGGATTCGTTCCAGGACTCTGTTACAGAGACTCCACTGAAGAAGTTCAAGCCGGGTATCAACTTCAATATGGAGCCTCCGGACAACGATGCCGCCGACGAGCAGATCGTGAACCAAGCTCTCATCTCATTTGCCTCTGCACTCACACGAAGATGGATGGTCCAGAAGACACCAGCGGCTGCTTATGCTACCAATCAAACTCCGACCAAGGGCGGCGGTGCAGCGCCAACTCACGATTGGAAAACAGTTGCAGACTGGACAATGGCTCGAGACAGATTCCACATTCGAGAACGTAGGAGGAAAGATGACAGGATTCAAACGGGACACATGGAGGGCTTGATGGCCTCAACAAGAAAAGACAACCTTGAGGTCCTGGCTGACAATCATTCCTACGCACGCGTGATGACCAGTGAGACGGACGGGTCTTTGTACTGCATAGATGCAGGTACGACGGAGATCCTCGCAATAGTAGAGGCCAAAAAGCGTCTACGGAGGAGAAACCGACTGAAAATTGAGTGGCAGGAAGCAGCTGAAATCTTGGCCTGGCTCAACCTGCGGCTTCGAAATGAATCTGTACAACATGGCGGCAAGGGCAAGGGTCCTCTTACACCAAGGAGGGGAATGCTGAAGGCGAAACCAGCCGCAGGAAAATCTCGAGAAAAGTCCCGGTAAGTATTCGAACCAAGCCTTCCATGATTCTGCGGAGCGAATGCCTTCGATGTTACATGGCCGACTCTTCTTCACAAATGGCGGCACCCAACCCATGTAACCCGGTTGTGCGGCGGCAGTTTCTGACCACGTGGCTCATTCTGTACAACTCATGTCATTTCCATCTATTTATCTAGCCGTCCTTGCTGCGGCTAAGTTACTCTCGCTGACATAGATCCTTCGCAGTTGCCTTCTTGTCGCTCAGGATCGGGAGGAGATATATCTCCTCATAGGAGAGTGGGATGCACTATACGAAGACTATGCCCTCGAAGGGAAGTTCTCGGATGCGCATCTCAAGACGCTGAAACGATTGGATGCGACAGGCGATCCGGCGCAAGCCGACGCTGGCTTCCTGACTTTGCACGTGTATGGGCCGTATGGTGGAGTCGACAGAGGTTTCTCGTCGCAAAGCAAATCAATGAGGAAGCTGAGCGCCAATCTGCTAGCTTTATCTCTTCACCTCAGCCAAGCATCATGCTCCCCTGCATCTCGACGAATTTCCCCGGCCGCGTCCATTCAACTTCCTGCACCACGTGGCACCGGCAGACCGTGCTGCGCAGGCTGCACGTGCGACTGCCGCTGCGGCAAGACTCCCACCGGTACCCCTGGTGCCTCTAGGTCTCAATCAGAAAGCTCAGAGACTCGGAGAGGAGGACGAGAAGCCAGCCGTGGCGGGTCTAAACCAAGAGAACCCAGCACCAAACGCGCAGCATCTCGTCCTAGCCAAGACTCGGGGAGACAAGACACCACTCCCACGAGGGATCAGCGCTCCGGTTCGAGGAGACCTGACGAGGGACGTGCGGCCTCAGTCAGGGACCAGTCGGTTCCTAGAGCTGGCCAGGCCCAGGCTCACGACAACCTGCCATTGCGAGGACGCCGAGCTGCCGTCGATCAGCAAGCGAGCTCGAGTGATGTCCAGGCCCGAACTGGCCGGTCAAAATCGCGCGGCCGAGATGTTGCTATAACTGGACATCACGGCCAGCCACCAGCAACTACCGCCACAATGCCGCGGCCTCCTCCCCTACCACAAGCCTCTGGAGCATCTGGTCCGGTTCCGAGTCAGCAGCAGCAACAGCAATATCAAAGCCAACGGCCTCCTCGTGGACAAGCAGCTCAGGAGATGCAACTACGCCGCGACCCACGCCAAGCTCCCATTAGCTCGGGGACCCAACAACAAGGCGCCGCGACTTCCACTCAAACGCATCCGCACACGGCCCGACCACAGGTGCCTGGCCAGATGGCGGGTACTATCCAGCATTCGCAGCATGATCCCTTCCACGTGCCCGGGCCTTCGTATCAAACACAGGCGGGGCCATCGTCATTCAGCACGCCGTCTGGGGCTGCTGTACCCCCCGACGTCAGAGTTCCGTCCCAACCGCAGCAGGAACCGGATGAGACACCGGTCAAGAAGAAGAAGAAGGATAAGAAGAACACACCAATTAAGGACATATTTTCACTCGGGAAGAAAAAGGATAAAGGTGACAAGAAATAGGAGTAGTTGGTTTATCCGCTTACCATTGGACGGTAGTGACATCAAAAGAAGATAGATTTAGACACAAGCCAATGGACTGATCTGTTCTGATCTCGGGAATCGACTGAAATAGCGGCCCATAATCATATCTAGGTAGTAAGCCATGTCTCAATTAAGTACTCCACTGCACCATAGCATTCCTATTTCGGCCCGTCATAGAAACCCGGCCGGCCAGCCTTCTTACTGATTCTGCCATAGCAGAACTTCAGCCACCCCGCCATTCGTAAGAGAGATTAGTGTAAGAATTGAAATTTGGGCCTCCGTGGCTAATTCTTCATCGCGGATATGTGCCCAGGTGGATATGAGCTAAGAAATTACACAATCTTGTTAAAGTTATCATTGCACTCTCAGGGCCTTTCGAACAGCGGGTGCCATGGAAACAGAAAAGCGAGTCAAGTGTAAAAGTCTCTCAGATAGAGAAAGAATTAAAACGCCTAACGCTTTGCCTTTCTATTTAAATACCTAGTCATGAACTGTAGATCATATTTGTAGCGCTTTGGTTTGACATTATCTGATGTGATTTATACCCAGCAAGTTTATCAAGGGGGCATGTGATGAGCCTTGAGTTGACATTAAGACTAGGTGGTAATTTGCTTAATTATATATGGCTCCTGTGCTACAAAGACAGGACCTTAATCCCTATCGCTTCTTGCCTTTAGAATGAATTACTAGTACTAAATTCCTGGAAAGAGGGAACCAAGCTAAGGTAGACTTGATTTCTTTGTTGCCCATTTCACATTTCTTGGTATCCAGAATATTCCTTTGATACCACAGTGATGAGTTTCACATGTTTTCACATGTCTCAAGACACCAACTATACTGGGAAAAGGTTTGTGTAACATGCGTTTAGCTCTGTGGATGCGGGTATTCGGGCTGGGGACAATTTCATAGTTTTCCTCTAATCCACTGCTTCTCGTTGATCAATGAATACACTCAAGTGGAGCAACAACCTTGTAATGCCTTATGGGGTAAAGAAATACATTTATACTGGGAAATCTGGAATGAGACAAGAACTTATATGCTTTGCAAGGCAGGTTTCACATTAAGCAAGCTGTTCCAGTCCTGAATGACCGGACTCCAAAATTCTTTCCGCCTATACGGTTGTCCACATAGAGGCAATAGCTACCATCAAAAAATGCCGAACAGAGAGACTTCGATACATCTTGAGAACAGATCGGCAGAAAACGCTCTCGATGCTGTGGACTTCGGCATAGGGATGGATGAGGTCTATTCTCCTCCGCCAGGGCAAAGTCCTGTAGCTAAGTAAGTTCGTTTCCAGAGCTAATTCCACCAGATGCAAAGCAGAATGGCTGAATATCATGTCAGAGTCATCTTAGTACATGGGCTCTTCGGTGAGCCATGGAAAACATGGGCGGCAAAGGCAAAGAGCCCAAGAAGTGGCTTCCTGGAAGTCAAAAGGCCCCCTAAAAGTTCTCCTTCTGCGGATGTGCCGTCCAATTACAAGGATAGACGCTCTAAATATATCTTGTGGCCGCATGACATGCTTCCATCAGCTGTCGAGAATGTGAAAGTGTATAGCTTCGGTTACGACGCAGATGTGGAAAGATTTATGTCATCTGCTGGGTTGAATACGGTACGGCTGCCCTCTCCGAAAGTCCAGTCGTTACCAGATCATCTGGATCCTTGGGTTGACAAGTTTTTAAGTCCACCAACATGGGAGAAATCTCTTCAACGAACTCTGTGATCTCCGGGGCAGCCAGGGCAGCCAGGTAAGGCGACCAAGCTGAACAAACCCACATTGAATCATTTGAACCTTCAGTCAATATCAAATAGTCTACGGGCCTTAAATTTGATATAAATCCCTTAGGTACCCACTATTATCATTGCGCACAGTCTCGGAGGGCTTGTCGTGAAAGAGGTTAGTTGCATTGCTCTGCCATTCTAGCCTTGGTAGAGCCCTTATTAAGCTTCGTCAGGCCTTGAATCAGGCCGCGCACTCGGCCCAGCAATACGAGAGAGATATGGTATCCGAGATAAGTGGAATAATATTTCTGTGGACTCCACACAGGGGATCAAGTGCAGCAAGTTATGGTCGCATGGTCTATCTGCTCAGCAAGGCTTTAGCTTCCCAAAGTGCCAACACCAAGCTCCTAACGGCACTCGAGACGAACTCCGAGACTCTCGACCGAATATCGACGGAATTCTACCAGACACTCGACACATACAGAAATCTGCGCATTGCTTCCTTTGCTGAGGAAAAACAGGTTCGCTTCGGTATGCTTGGTATGCAGATTGTGAGACCGGATTCAGCCAAGATTGGCCATGCCCGTGAGGCATGGGGCAGCATATCCAAGGATCACCGCAACATGACGACGTATTCAAGTTTACGAGATGATGGCTTTGTGAAAGTGAGCCGGAAGATCAGGGAATGGGTGCACGTTGTTGAGACGCCAACGTGTAAGTCCAACCAAGGATTCCAAACACCTGCGATCGATGCCTGAGTCAGTCGGATGCTGACTCTTACAAATAAACCCAAGCCTCCACTGGACGTGAAATCTACGAAGGTTAGATTACCTAGCATATCGTAACACACTTTCGTCAGACTTACCAACGTTATAGAATGTCTAAACAGTTTGAACGACTCCGTGGCGAGGTTCCGTGTGCAAGATGTCTATCCAGTCCGCCACAAGAATAAAGACTCTTTCGAGTGGCTCTTTTCTAACCAGGTGCCTTTCACTCGGTGGCTATCCGATGATGGAGGAAAGTACGACGCGATCTTCTGGATAACTGGAAAGCCAGGTTCGGGAAAGTCTACATTGATGCGATTCGCTTTGGAAGACAGTCGAACCATGTCGCTGCAGCGGTCGAAATCCAAACACTATCCAATGGCCTACTTTTTCCATCTTCGTGGGAAGTCACTAGTTCAAAAAAGCCTCCGCGGAATGTTGATGGAGCTTCTCTACCAGATCCTGCAGCAATATCCTCGGAGCTTCGAGCTGATCAGCCCGATATTCCTGAATCTCAAGAGACTTAACCAAAGTTGGGACATTCAAAGCCTATCCCAGGCCATCTTACATATACCCCACATACCACCAGCTGTATCTGGTCGCAGAGATCGCATCACTCTCTTCATCGATGCTCTGGATGAAAATCAGAAACAGGACGACAACAATACTCTTCTGGATATATTCGATAGTTTGATCAGAACTTACAGGAGTGTCAGGGACAAGCCGGATGCACCAGTGTTGAAGATATGCCTGGCAAGCCGGCCGTGGCCAATATTCCAGAAAAGGCTTGGAGACGAGCTTCGCGTACCTTCATTCGCCATCCACAACTATACGGCCGAGGATATTCAGCAGTACACGGAATCTCGCCTTTTCACAAGCAAGGAAATGCTCGAGGTATTCAATGAGAGGCAAAGTGCCATTTGGAAACTGTCCGCAGACATTGCGTCAAGAGCCAAGGGCGTCTTTATCTGGGTGAGGGTAGTGGTGGACGACCTCAGTCAGGAAGCCGTGGATGGAACTTCGACCGATTCGCTGCAGAAGATCCTTCAGAAATATCCCGAGGAACTCGACAAAATGTACAAGTTGACTTTGAAGAGAGTTCGTGGAACGTATCGACCCGAGACAGTGATCATCTTCAAGACCATGCTGGCCAGTCGCGTCGCGCTTACTGTCCTACAGCTCTACACTATTACAAGAGTTTGCGTGGGTACTCCGCCGTCCAAAAATATCCCAACCGAATCTCAAGATGTGATCAGTTGGCTGGCTAGCAGATCTGGCGGGTTGATCAATATAGTGGACGCTGGCGCAGACAAGCAACTTGCTGAGGCATCGGGAGGTGACTCAAATTCGACCAGTATAGAATCGGCGGCAGGTTCCTCTACCTGGCTGAATTTGCACGTGGAATTTCTGCATCAAACTGTTCAAGACTTTGTTCGAAACAGCCTAGACGATGGCTTCGAGATGGCACAGCCAAAGCCGGCAGTGGTCCAAGTGAGCGGGTCGCGGCTGCTAGCCTTTGCCTATCTAGACAGTCACCCGCCACATCGTCATCTCCGGAACGTTGCCAAGGATATCTTCAGCTATATGCGGGAGGTGGAGCGCGAGGAGGACGAGGCAGAGAGCGGACAGATCACGTTCTTGCCACATTGGGCCGCCTACGATCTCCACTACTTTCCATTCAGAGTTCGAGACCCTACACAGGCCCTTTGGTCATGCCTGCACCACTGCCGAGGCACTCTCTCATTACCTGGATTTAAGCAACCCATTAGTTCCGATGATTCTAGGTCAACAACCACAACCAGCTAGACCGTACAGCGGTCGGATATCTGAAACTGTGAGGCCATTTGTGGTAGCCATCATGCACAATCTCTACCGTACCAGAGGCCCTGAGCATCTCATCACATCAGCGTCTGAATCAGAACCAGGCCTCAAGTTTCGGCGACTTTTACTATTCTTTGCGTCAGTGGGCCCTCGTCTGTCAAATGACAGGCTCGACCGGCCGCGTATGTTTCAGCACATACTTTCCAACTATGTGACGCCCTTTGGGGACACCTCTTCGGTAGTCGAACCCGTTCGGGGAAGTCTGTTTCGGCTACCATGCAGACCGGTCAATGAGCTAATCGACTATGTTGCAACGCCTGCGCTTCCATCAAGCTTGGCCTCCATGTTCGCATCATTGAAACCAAGCATTGAGCTTAATGATGACACCCTGCTGGCTTTCACAAAGAGCCTCAACGGCGAAGGCTATATGAGCCTTGTCTCCGTGAAAATTCAAGTTCCAGAAGCAAGCCGAAAAGCACAACTGCCTGGTGCTCACGTAGTAGACATGACCCTGCCAGCTTTTTGCTCACGATACAGAGACCTCAATCGTAACAAATGGGCGGAGCTGTTTAGTCACTCCCAGGAGGACCACCCACCGGGGTTACGGTCGAATCCTTACACTACTTGAAGTTTTGTTGACCTTGCAGTATGTGAGGCTGTGAATCGACAGCCCCCTCGACACGTCTTCAATTGGATGGACGATATGACTGGTGCCATGGACCAGGCGATTGCCTTCACAGCTATACCCGCCGCAGTGGTTGCCATGGGAGGTGGTCGAATATTTCGGGCTTTATATCCCAGGTCAAAGGTGTTTGCGTGAGAACCATTCTAGACTCAGATCTGCAAACTTTAGAGACTGGATCGTGCTTGGGAAGATATGTACTCAGGAAGGCAAACCATAAATTGTTGAGCTTGCCTCAAGCACTCTGAAAAGTGGGAATATCTGAACATTCTATGCTACGATCAGGGACTGACCACTAAAGATCACATCTCAGTGTGGTCGAGATATGGTACGGTAGAGCGAACAAATGCCCGGGAGCGGGGTCCACTGACTAGGCCACATATCTAATACCAACCTTATAAGTGGTAATCATTCACATATGAACTCCAATGCACTCTATGTTGGACGGGTGCGGAATTTCTTAGTCCCTGGGGTCTTGGTTCCGTCAAAAGTGAAGCATCTTGTAGCCTGCCGACGTGGGACTCGCGGCTGGCGCCACTGTGAATACACACGCTCCCATAGCTGGGCCCTACAAATTGTAAAATGTCGCACCTCGAAACACAGTCGGCGACCATCATTACAAACCATTCTTTGGTACCGACCTGGATTGTTGTTTGCGAAACACCACGGCAACCTTCGATACAACAGCAACACCGGCCGACAGGAAGACCACAACGAATACCACACCACTGTCGTCATGTCGGAGTAAGTACAGCAGTCTCATGATCTCCTCAGATGCCTGCCTCGCACTACTTCTTCCCAAATAGAGACAGCGATCAACGATGCCAAAACACACCAGGCACGAGGGTTTCCTTTGTATACTTTGTATCCTTTGTATCATTGCGCGTCGCGTTTGGCGCCCTCGATACAGTGACGCAATGGCATTCACGGATCCTGCGGCGTTTGCATACCTACGCCTGAATAGCCGCTGACAGCGATACCAATAGATACATTCTAGAGGAAGCCCAGAAGGGCTTTTGCGAGATTCTTGAGGGCAAGCTGCAGGATACCTGGGGGTGAGTTCCTGCCTGACGATCCAAATCAGTGCTATTTTACAGGCCCCTAATACTAGCAAAATACAGCAAATACTTGACCGAGGACCAGCAGGACGAGGTCCTACATACTGTGGCCGAGCTCGTGGCTGTCTACTTGGTGTCCCTGGAGCGACGCTGGTGCATCGCGAACCCAGACAGGCTCTCCATCCGGTTTCGCGGCCTCGTCGAATCTATCCTGTAAGCTCCATTATTCCAGCCCTAACGTCCCCAATGCCTCTGACCATTAGAATAGACAGGATGCCTTCAGCAACGTTGGTGCTTTTGTCATCGCCGACAACGTTGCCGACTTCTCTGCGGATGTCTTCAACCAAATCAAGCTCATCATCGATGACCACTCCGATACTGGCTCAGACAACGAATCCGACAATGGCGCCCACGCTTTCACTTTTGAGAGTGAGGATGACGAGAATGACCCTTTCGATGCTGGAGGCGATGAGGAGGCCAGCACTGGAACCAGTGCCATGGCTGTCCGCCTCTGTTCCCCGGGCACCGACTCGGTGACCTTCGAGAGCGACCAAGAGATGGACTCCGACACCAATGATGAGAACGATCAGGATGAAGCCGAGACTGGAGATCCTATCACCACTGAGGACGAGGTTGACATGGACAATGGCTTTCATTTCTCCACCCCTGCCAGATCGGATGAGGGAGATGAGAACATGGCGGACTATACCCTTACTGTCGAGGGCATGGCATACGCCACCCCTATTCAAGAGAGCATGGGCAACGACCCTCTCTTCTCTTCCGTGGCAGGATCAGACAAGGGAGATGAAGACATGGCCGACAACACCCTCTTTGACGAGGATATGGAGGACAATGACCTTTCCTATAAGGACATGGAAAACTACCCTCTTTTCTCTTCCCCGTGCCGATCAGACCAGAGAGATGAGGACATGGCCAATGACACCCCTACCGCTTCCTCGGCAGGATTGGAAGATGAGGTCGAGGACAATGATGCTGCCGATTCCGAAGGCGGCGACGAGATGGATGTCTCTTCCGCAGCTCTCCACGCCATGGAATTCGCCAGTGGACACAAGGGATACGAGGGGCGATACGACGAGGGATACGACGCCCACCAGGCCCAGGGCTCGGCCACGGAGAAGGGCAAGAGCCCCCAGAAGGGACCACGGGGCAAGATTGACCCCCTCAACAACGACCTCTACTCCGCGATCATGGACGACGACGACAACACCACGTGGCCCCCGAAGTTCTACAAGTGCAAGCTTAAGGGCTGCGGGTTCCAGGGCGCGTGGAATGCCAAGCAGGCCCACTTTGAGATCAAGCACGCGGAGGAGTGGAAGAGGGCCACGGGCTGTGAGGCTAAGGTCCACGAATGCCCCGTGGATGACTGCGACTACACTACGCCCCGATACAACTACATCGCCCGCCACCTGAAGAGCAAGCACCCCGAATACGAAGCAGCACACGGCAAGAAGGGCAAGAAGAGCAAGGAGTGATCAGGTCGGAGGAGGACAACGGGCGCCCAAATATTCAAGTCCTCCCGGGAAGCCCGGCACTTGAGAGGCCTTGGTCCATGATGAGCATGGTGCCAAAGGAGTCATAGGTTTGCCGTCTAGAGCACATTTCTTGGTCTGGTACTGCATGTATGAGTCTTGATACTCATAGAGACAGCACAGTAGGCATGTAGTACCAAATGTCAATTATCCTTTGTCAACTGCTGTTAATTTCTAAGATGCAAAAAATGAGTGCATGGTGGTGAGATGGCAGCGCCTTCTGCTGCAGCAGTAACAAGCGGAGCTTGACCTTGGAGCAAAGGTATTTAACAAACAGCATGTCCCCACGTTAGAAGCAGACATACATTCTGGCAAATCTGCAAAGCAAGACCCCTTAGAAGGCTCAAGCATCTTGGCAATGACGCCCCCCTTGGCTATAATCCGTTTGTACTGAGGCCTGTTTGCAAAAGGAAAACGACATTGAAATTATCTTAGGGCCACCCCAGTCACAAGTTCCATACCAACCAGCTTGGACTGTACTGCTTGACCCTCACCATTACCCTTTAACTCGTTCACCTGTGGTCCTTCGACCCCATCCCTCCAACTTCTCAACATCCTCTTTACATTCCTGCCTTCGATCCTCCACCTTCGTCTCCAAGCTTTGTAGTTGCCCTATCCAAGTTGCCTTCAAACCTTTCCTTCGGCTGCATCTTGGGACAATCCATTCATTATGCACTTCCAGAAGCTCCTTTTGACGGCACTTGGTGCGGCAGCAGTGGTTTTCTCTGCTGTGATCACCCCTCGTGCACAGGATTCTGTGGCCTGTGGATCTTCTGCAAAGGCAAACGGACGCCTGGACAAGAAGTCACCCAGCCGTGACGAGCCCTTCCTCACCTCCAAGAGCCACAGTAAGCAATCATTCTCTGGTGTCCTGCCCAACAAGACTGCCTGACTAACTCGCCCCTCCGCATCAGAATTCAAGGTAAACGGCACCGGCGTTCCTGAAGTGGACTTTGACCTTGGCGAGTCGTACGCAGGAAGGCTGCCGATCGCTGCGCCCAACTCGACCGGTAGCTCCAGCGAGAACGAGCTCTTCTTCTGGTTCTTCCCCTCCAAGAACCCGGCTGCCAGCAATGAGATCACTGTCTGGCTCAACGGCGGCCCAGGATGCAGTTCTATGGGTGGCCTGCTGCAGGAGAACGGCCCTTTCTTGTGGCAACCGGGAACCTACTCCCCTCAGCCAAACCCTTTCTCTTGGACCAACCTGACCAACATGGTTTGGATTGACCAGCCCATTGGTAAGCAAATTCCAAATCAATGCAGCTATTCTTTCTTGGTACAGAATCTGTCATATGCGTCTTCTGGTTTCCTCCATGGCGCAAAACTACTTACAGCTGCAGTTTTTGATACTTGTCCAGCAATTCGTCGCAGTTCAAATCTGCCTCGTACAGTGGTTCTTGTCCAAGAGGTCGACAGCTAACACTCAGTCGTGCAGGTACCGGACTATCGTCTACAGCCCCTGGAGCTTCTTTCGCTATCAAGGACGAGCACGATGTTGCAGCTCAATTCGCCGGATTCTGGAAGAACTTCATCGACACCTTCGACATGCACGGGTACGATGTCTACTTGGCAGGCGAGTCATACGCGGGCATGTTCGTGCCCTACATTGCAAACCACTTCCTGGAGCAGGCGGACGACGAATACTATAACGTCAAGGGGATCCAGATCAACGACCCAGCCATCGGACCTCTTCCCGTCATGGAGCACGTACCCTCAGTGCAGTACCTGAACAAGTACAGCAGCTACTTCAACCTCAACGACACATTTACAAAGGACGTCAACGAGCGTGCCCAGAACTGCGGATTCACAGACTTCATGGAGGAGGCGCTGACATTCCCTCCGAAGGGACCATTCGCCTTCCCTGATTCCATCAACGTAACCGCCGTCGTGGACCAGAACTGCTCGCTGTGGAAGGACATCGCCCGCGCCGCGATCTACGTAAACCCGTGCTTCGACCCTTACCACGTCAGGTCCTCCTGCCCCTTCCCGTCCAACCCGCTCGGCTTCCCCACGCTCGGCTGGGGCCCCAACAACTACTTCAACCGGAGCGACGTGCAAGACGCTCTCAACATTCCCCGGCCACACGCCGACTTCAGGATGTGCCACCCCGCCATATTCGGGCTCGAGAGCTCCGAGCCATCGGCTTTCAACGTGCTTCCCTCCGTCATCGAGCGCACGGCCAACGTGGTCATCGCCAACGGCGAGATGGACTTCCTGATCACGTCCAACGGCACCCTCGCCGTCATCAACAACATGACCTGGCAGGGCACCCAGGGCTTCGAGGAGTCGCCGTTCTCGGACAAGTTCTACGTTCCCTACAACCCGACCGTCGAGCCGGTCCTCATCGAGACCCTGACGCAGAATCACATCCCTACCGTGCCGGTGGGCTACGTCGGCGGCAGCGGGTGGTACGGCAAGGCGCACACGGAGCGTGGCTTGACGTTCGTCACTGTTGAGCTGGCGGGCCACGAGATCCCGCAGTACGTGCCCGGCGCTGCTTACAGGCAGCTCGAGTTCCTGCTGGGACGGATAGATAACCTGACTTCCGTTGGGGAGTTTACTACGGCGGGAAACTGTGATTAGATGCGATGACCCGCTAATCATAGTGGAGGATCTTGAGACAAAACGTCTCTGCTGCTTACCACGGCGCATTTCTGGAGGAAAAGTCATACCAAGGCCCACATTAGCCCTGGGCAGCGATGCACAAAATAGACTCTAATAGATCAATGAGTGTCTTTTGAGAATTCAGCGACCATTGCCGGGTGACCCTTTCCATAGGAGCTATTGCATGCGGCGAGATGGACCGGCGATCGAGCGGAACCTTAGCCTTCCTGTCACTAAAGACCGAGACAATGCGTAAAGTAGGGCAAGGTTTGACATTGACCACTCGAAACAATTGATTTCACCCGTGCCGCAGAGGACCTTCAATGACTCGAAGAATAAGGAACAAGCATCTAACACTCTCGGCATCAAACAAGGTGCATAATGCTTTCTCCTGTGATGATATGAACAAAGGGACACAAGGCATTGTGATTGAATGAATATTTATTCAAGTGCTCTCCCAACAAATTGATGTTGGTTGCTGAACTTTCTGCATCACTATACGGCCTGCCACTGCCTGACAAACAACATCGAAGCTACTCACTCTGGACACAAAACCAAAGGTACAGTTCACATCACCCCGAGCAGCTGACGAAAATGGCAGGGCGGAACATCACAGCGACCATGTCTCTACGGAGCGAGCCAGACTCCTCCCCTGTGCATACAACCCTCCCAGCAGGCCCCTGGCCAGCAGGTCCCACCCACGCCTACAACAGGCACCTCTCCCCCGTAGACCTCGCCGCCAGCCAGGGCAGCATCTTCCGGCGCCGCTTCGAGAGACCGGGCAACTACCTCATCCGCCTGCGCCAGTCCGACTTCAAGCTCCCGGACCCCATCCCCAGCGAGCCGCTCACCTACGACCGCAGCCTGAGCGCGGCCAACCCGGGGGACAGCCCCCTGCCGCCCCCGCCGTTCCTGCGCCGCTGCCTTCCCGACTTCGCCGCCTGCGACATGTCCCGTTGCGGGGATGCCGACCGCTTCGACTACCACGCCGACGGGGAGGACGGAGAGGAGGGAGAGCTGGCCGAGTGCCACAGGTGCGGCGGCGACCCGGAGCTCCTCGAGCCCCGCGCCGAGATGCACCGCCTGCCCTGCGGGCATCTCCTCTGCGGCGCCTGTCTCCACCTGACAGCTATCAACGCCGTCGCCGCCGCGCACAGCGACAACCCGCTCGTCGGGCGGCGCATCCGCGAGGCGGCGGGGGAGCTGGGCCGGCTGAGGCGGGACCTCGCCCCGCGGGAGACGCCGCGGCTGCGGGCGGTGCAGGAGGCGAGGATGGGGAGGCACCGGCGGGAGCTGCTTGAGCTGCTCGGGCTGTCGTGCTGCGGGGTGGACATGCACATTGTAGAGGACTGGATCCTTTGCCTGGACGAGTGGGCTGCCCGCTCGCTCTGGGCGGTGACCTGGAGGCTCTTCCGGGGCGAGGGCCAGTACGGTGTCGTGCGGTGCGCCTGGCGGGATTGTGGTGCGGCTATCCCATCTTGGTGTAGCTTCAAGGCTGAGGATGAGACGCGGTGGTATTGTGTTTCCTGCGAGGGGAACTCGATGTGCCACGGCGGGGGTCTTGCGCCTGCTCGGTAAGTTGATTAATATTCTAGTCTGTTGGATCCTGGCGGTGTTGCGCTCTGCTTTGGTGCTTTATCTTCCGGTCTTGATTCATCCTTGGTAAGGCGTAGGGTACGGTAGATATTGGAGCTTCTAGATTACCGGAAGGTACATAGAGGTGTCTCCGTCTCTTTAATGAAACCCTGGTTCTTAACTCTTATATCCCCATTTTATAAAGCTTGTTATCATGCTGAAGTGTTATCAATGTTCATTCAGAAGTGACGATATTATGTCTCGAATTTGATCTCTCAGACATGCAAAATCAACTCCTCATTCAGCTTTAAGATATTCACTAGAACAGCTCACCTTCTGTTTTGCTCACCAAATCATGGATGTTTCCCACGACCCTCTCTAACTGCTCGTGCAGGTCTAGCAGCAAGTCTTGTGTAAATACTGAAGTGCACAGTTAGCCTTGTCCTACCAAGAAGCATCAAAGGCTGATGTGAACTGAAGCTTGTCTCTGATGCCAGTACTACCATTTGCCGTGTTTAGTCTCATAGGTCTCACATCAGTAATAAGAGACACGGTCCCTCGCGAGCGTATCGTTATTCATCCACCGAATACACATCTGCAGAGATACATGGGAATACAATTCGAGGCTGGTGTCCACTGAGAAAACTGGTCCGGGAACCAGACCAGCAGTTCTCTTTTCAAACCAGAGACTCGTCATCTCAAAGTCACTTGCCATACAAACCACCCCATCCATCGAAGCCAAATTCAAACGGCGTCCAAAATGCCACCAGCCCTTTCCACCCTCCTCACCGCCGTCGCCCTGTCCTCCACAGCAGCAGCCACCCAAAACACCTACGACCTCCAGATCAGCTACCTCGCCACCATCGTGCCCCTGCTCCCCGACCCGCTGGGCGGGCCAGGCTGCGGGCTCTGGGCGCAGATCACCGTGGCGGGCGCCGAACAGCCCCGGGGGACGTCGGCGTCCTGGGCGGCAAGGCGCCGTCGGAACGAGTGTCCTGCCGCTGACCGCGCGCTGTCCTGCGGGCGGTGGGGCGGCTGCCCATACACGATGGCGTTCGAGCAGGTGGTGCATGTGACGGTTCTGTCGGAGAATGGCGGCGGTGACAAGGCGTCGGACCTCCGGGCGGCGGCGCTCGGGACGGGCGAGGTGGATGTTGCGTGTCCGTGGGATCCGGCCGATGTCAGGAGGACGGATTCTATGCAGGTTTATCAGGCTTGGCGGTACACGATTGTGATTTGAGTGAGGTCAAGTTGGTTTCGGAAATGTTGTTGAGATGCACATTTTGTGCCTGTCAGGATTTCAAGGGGCTTTGCTTACGGGGTTGTTGACGTGAGAGGAATGTCTTGTGTCGACACTCTTTAACTACGGCATTTGCATGTGAGCGCTGCCCACTCATCCATGCAAATACCTTCTACAAATACCACGGCGTTCTGAAATGACATGAAATTGGGTTGGGAGGCATGGAAACGTCTGTAGAATTGGATAAGTTTAATTGAGATTAATCAATGCGGTGTTGAGAAACATGACCTCAGGCAAGTTGAATGCCCTTATTCTATGGAACATGGGCGTCAACAGACACATGGAAATCAGTATGCAGTGGACTTTCACAGTAGCGTGGAAATGTCACAATCTACGACGGGACGAAAATGTTTTTTTGGTGGTATCACTGGATTTGAATTGGAATCGCTAAAGTGATGATATCTGCTTATCTCGCAGCCCAAAATTCCCACTCGATGCTTTCAGTTGGCTGTCGGGTCGAAGCGCTTACTTCTTAACCTGTAATCGAGCCATGTCAGCAGTTGATTCTCAACACATCTAGAAGTCTTGAAGGGGCTTATCTTACGCTGTGGGTGGTCTCGGAGGCCTTGTCGCTGACAGCGTCCTTGGCCGCCTCAGCACGGGTGCCGGCGGGTGCGTTGCTGTCCTTGGCAACCTCCTTGTTGCCCTCCTTGGAGACACCGGAGATGCCCTGCTGGACGGTCTCAGAGGCGGAGGAAACGGCGTTCTTGATTGCGTCGGCCATTGTGTTTGTTTGTGTGCGTTTGGTTGAGTTGTGTTGGTGTTGCTTGTGTTATTGACTTGAGTTGAGCCTGGAGTAGTTGATGATGGAGGAGAGAGGTAGGAAAGCGAAACTGAAGTGAGAATCTGCGTCCTTTTTGTATTCTTTGGGAGCGGCTCAAGTCACTGCTGAATGGGCTAGACTGATGGGATCATTGGCACATGCTGCTTCGTCACACTCGAGAGTCACAGGCTACTGTAGCCCAGCTGCCTCATCTGGTCTTGTTTTGCTGCCATGACGTGCGTGGGGTTGTGGGCGTTGCCCCTCGGTCCCAATCACCCCTCTGAAGCTTCTCGGCCTCGACTCTGTCAGTATGACGACGTTGTCCAAGGGTCGAGAAGTACAGAGTAAGGAAGACGTGTGGCACATGCAAATCAAATCAAGCCTCAATCGGTCTCGCTTACCAGGAGCAAAGGCTCCGCGACGCCATTAATGATGCTTAGTGACGCAGCTAGGTGTGGGTCCACTCCGCCTCCAGGCCAATCATGCAGCCCGACCAAGGTCTTGTGGCGCAGCAGTGGCACCCTTGGCCGGGCTAGGTCCAGAAAGCGTGCGTCCTTTGCGTGCTGCTCTGCGTGCTCCTGTTGCCTCTACTCCACCACTCACTCGCCTCAGTTTCATACTCGCGTTACCACAAAGTCAATCTGTACTGTCCTCTGCCTCTATTGTACTTCCAGGCTTCCAAGCTCCATCTTGGTGCCTGCATGATCTTCTCCCCGACGGGACCATAACGGAGACCAGCCCGGAGAAAAGCGGGTTCATCGCATAGATTCAATAGATTAACTCGATGCAGCAGCTGATCACCCCGCCGAGTGACGTCGTCATGTCCCTCGTCCCCTTTGTGCCCTATCTCAGCTCTTTGTTCTGCCACTCTAGGATGATGCTATCCCACAGGACCCCGCGCCACTGCACGTAACGCGTCACCGTGAACCCGACCGTGTTGGCCCCCGCCACCAGTAGCGCGCCCGCGTCGATCTCGTACTGCACGAACCTCCACTCCCCGCTCGTCTTGCCCGACCTGTACAGCGCCGGGTCGCTCGTCAGCACGTCCTTGCTGAGCGTCCCGACCACGTGCCCGTTGACGTCGACGTCCACCGCCGTGCTCTGCGAGTAGCCCGCCAGCGACAGGCTCAGCAGAGCACCGGCGGTCCCGTTGGCTTTGGCGTGCGCCGCCAGGTCCGCCTCGCCGACCTCGAACTCGATCGTCCACTTGCCCAGCTTTGAGATGGCGTAGTACCAGTCCTCGGCCGCGTCCGAGGAGCCCACCCGGAACGTCAGGTTCGCGGGGCTCTCCTCCGTCACGCCGTGCTGGTACGGCAGCCCGCCGTTCTTGAAGCCCAGCGCCTTCTTGTCGAACTCGCTCACCTGGAAGATCTGCTTGCGTCCAGCTGGCAAAGCCCACTCTACCTCGCCCAGCGCCGTGGTCTTGTCCGCATCGACGGTGATAGGTGTCACTGTGGCGTTAGTGTATACGTCTGCAATGTCGCCGCCGTTGGACCACGCGTACAGCCCGTACAATCCAGTGCGCACGTCGCTGATAGAGAAGGACCCGTCTGCTGCGGCTGTTGTCGTGTAGTAGTAGTTGTCTCCCTGCACCAGCGGCCGGACCGACGTGTCCGTGTCGCCCAGGAAAACCGAGGCGCCCGACGCGGGGCGGCCGTCGGACAGGCGGAGGCTGCCCGTGATTTCGCCGCGGCTGTGGTATACCGCGTCCGGCAGCCAGCTGTATGGGAACTTCTCTAGCTCCTGCTTGCGGCGCTCAGCGACGTCTTCCACGGAGCCATTGTTCTGTCGTTTCTCTTGATTAGACCGAGTCCTCGGTACTTGTTGCGCCGAGCGATTTACAGCAGACTTACAAGGTACCACAGCCAAGGTCCGAAGATCTTTCCCACAGGTGAGTGGGTGTCGGCCCCGACGCGGAAATGAGACGTGTCCTGGAAGACATTGAGCTGAACAGCGTCACCTGTCGCCGACTCCCGGTGGACCTGGCTCACGTGTTAGACCACACGCACAAGTCAAAGCTGGAGAATGCAACACTCACGGTCAAAGTCTGGCTGAGCTGGCTCGCCGAGAAATATTCAGTAGTAGGGTGAATCCACCACGACCCAGCGACACCAGGCCCATACACCCCATAGAAGTCCCGGTCGCGCACGTAGTTAACCCAGTCGTACTTGGTGATGTACGACCCATCAGCCAGCTCCCACGTCTCGTCCTGCACCTTTGTCGCGCCCGCGTACAGCGCCCAGTCCGGGAGGGCTTCGTCCTTGACGTGGGTGCGCCCGCGCGTGAAGGTCTCGTTGTCGAGCCGCCACAGCGTGCGGATGATCTGCAGGTCCGGCAGCGCCTTGTTGACCACGTACTGGTACGCGCCCTGGAGGTCCTCGAAGACGACCCAGTGCAGGTCCGCGCAGGTGGACGAGAAGGCGATGTCGATGTGGTCTGCCCCCTGGGAGACTATCGAGGCGTTGGTCCACTCGAAGTTGTTCTCGCCGTCTTGTTTCATACCGTCAGTCTTGGGGCGTTTTGGTATGGCAGGGCCGTGGTTGTCTCACCCATCCCGGCGTAGTGCCCAGACGCGCCGCCGACCAGGTCGTGGCCCGGCAGGATGCTCGAGAACAGCTTGGTCGCGTAGGTCTTCCCCTCGGTGACGTTCCACAGGTCGTTGCCGAACACCCAGGTCTGGGTGTCCACCTGGGTCAGGAAGGGGCCCTTGCAGGCGCCGTGCCCTGCGAAGAGGGCCATGCCCAGGAGGGGCAGCTGCCGGAGACTCATCGTCGGCATTTGCACTCAGTCTCAAGATGGGAGTCTGGTTAGCCTTCGACCTGCAGCTTCGGATGCTCCTCCCGAGCCAAGATTCCGCGGAAGCGGTGCGCTTTTAAGTCAAGTGAACAAGACCATGCCACCCGCGCAGGGAAGACATGTCGACATCGTGAGTGGTCTCCACGGCGGCCCTGTCAGTCGTCGTGATTGTCCGCCGAAGGTCCGCCGAAATGATAGGGCGTTTTTTTCCCATGAGCGAGTGCTGCTGGCGTGCGGTGTTGCGACTCGAGCGATGCTACTTCGCTTCTTCCCTTGTAGCATGGTGTCGATGGCGCCATTCAGCTTCGGTGGGCTGCGGCGGCCCTGGTTGGTGGTATTTCTCGGCTCTCCTCGCCGAGGGCCCACCCGTCGCCATCCCGTCTACTCATTGCATGATGGCGGGAACGCCGGGCTGATAAGCTTGGATGAGGAATTCGACCGGGTGGTGTATTCCTGTTCATATTTGCAGTAAAATGTTGTGCATTTACGACTTCTCTGGACCATGTGTTGACATGCTCAGTGCAACGAACATTTTTCCGACCGAGATAGGCTGGCTGAGGGATGGAGTGAGCAACGTGTAGAGAGAAGGTGCAACACGCAAGTGGGAGAGACCACTTCAGAGACGATGGACTTAATTTTTTTGATTTATGCAAGGCACAAACCTATCTGCTGGATTTCCTTGCCTCTCATCAATGCCTCTGTTCTCTGGCTATCAACAGGGCAGAGTTCGCCCTTCAGACTTTGTGCGAAAGACTCAGCACTGCATGCCTTTTCCCCCTAGCCTGACTCATCGCGTTGCAGGAGTGGCTTTGAAGTATTGTGCACTCGTTGAGAACGGAGCAGGCTTGGATGTAGAAAGAATAGACGCATGTCAAAATAGACGGAGCCTGCATCCATGACCATTCTTTACCCATCCCTACTGCATGCAGCTTGCCCCGCTACCATGCGGCCGCCCACAAGTTATCAAATCCTGCATCAAATCTTTCCAGACTCTCCTTGCCAAACCCGCCGAAATCTCTTGCACAGGAGCTCATGGCATCCAAGAACCCCAATCAATCTTCTGTTGATGCTGCGGGTTGAGGCTGAAATCCAAATTGCATGTGCTGAATAGTCAAATTATCAATGTCTCTTCCTTGCCCTTTCGGAGCAAGCAGACACTGTTGTGAAAGAGTCTCAGGGCGAGATCATTAGAGCAACTTCGGTGGAGATTACCAGCCAGCGCTCGTTCTGCCAATGCTCCCTGCTCAGCTTGAGGTGCGGATTCTGTGTGCCGAACAAATATTGGAGTACCTCCGCCCACTCTGCCTTGTCGTCAACCGAAACGGCCTAGAGTCACGTCCCGCTCACAATTTCTGACTTGGGGGTCGAATCTACAACAAATGCGGAACTGGTTGTCGAAAATTCGGCGCCAGGCAGCGACGTACAGAGCCTCCCGATCCTCCTTCGACATTCCGGACGGGCCACCCTGATTCTTGCCTCTGAGGCTAGCGGCCTTGCACAGAAAGTAGCAAGGGTAAGGAGAAATCGCAAGTTTGCTCGCACATGGCCTGTGCTTTTGTGGGATGACGGATTTGACGGTCACCAGAGCTGGGAATCGCTTAGCCAGCACCGCCATGTTGCGTCCGTTGACTGACTCGATGAAAGGGCGAAGATCAAAGCCGTGGTCCACATCCACGGATTGGGGGACAACGGATAGGCGCTTGATGCGCGGTGCAAATCGAAGACCGAGGGCGTTGTCCAGAAGGTCAGCCAGGGGCAGCTTCTCGGGGTCCCAGACGGCATCCTTGTCCGCCTTGTTCCTTTCGGCCTCCTCGAACCCATGGGTGATGCCCTCCAGGCAGAAGTCATCCTTGGCGAAGTTGAACGGCATGTGGCACTTGCGTGGAGCCATGTACTGGCCATCGGCGCCAATTGGCAGCTCGTGAACCGTCAGGACTGACATTTTGCGAAGCAGGAGGGCACGGCTGTCGACGGAGGCCCTTAGGAATTTCAAGGACTGGTTCGCGTTGACCCGCAGGGGCGTGAAACAAGCAACCCATCCTCGCGACTTGTCTTGGCCGGGCTTGACCCTTCGGGCGTCGTAGGCGAGGTTGAATCGGAATCGCTGAACGCAACGTTTGAAGACGGGGAGGTCGGGTTCCTTCGCATCTTCCATTGCCATCTCCCAAATCATCAGACGGATTTCTGTGGGGAGCCGCATGAACTTGTGCATCTGAGTCGGGGCTGTGTCGTTTGGGCCAGCGTTCATCGCAAGGGCCACTTCCTCAGACTCCTCAAATTTCAGAGGCCGGTTGTACAGGGAAATGATGTCTGCAAGAACATTGGTGTAAGTACTTTACATGATCATGGCGGTGGCATTAAGAGGGTGAGATTACCATGGATCGTAATTGGATTGAGAAGAGAATTGCCAGGTGTGCGTTCGTCGCCCGCGCCGTCAACTTGCATGTAAGTGTCAGGTTTGCCCTGGCCATGCACATCGCCAACTCCTATGTAAAGCTCAGGTGTACCCTGGCCAACCTTGTGGTCGTTCAGAATGTAGTCGCCACGTGCCTGGTCGCCACGTGCTTGGTGGTGAGGAGCTTCGTGACCACAAGCGTCATGCTCGCGAGGGTTGTCGACAGCGACGAAATTGCCATGAAGGAAGCTCTCGAAGGCGTTGTAGCTGGGAATGTAACTCTCGGGAGATTTGTATGCGGCGAAATTGTCGCCGAGCATGTCGTTTCCGGCCATGTTGCTGCCGACCGCGGGGGGACAGGAGGAGGACCGGGCGGCGTTGTGGTCGTCGGTTCCGCCAGCATCGATCTTGTCCATGGTGGTGCTTGCCATCGGGCCACCTAGATGCAAAGCTGGTGTTAGCGACGCCATTCACTGGACATCGTACAAGATGACGCGCGAGTGTAGAGATTAACTCACAAGGTGCTCAGAGCGAATATCAACCTGGGCAAGGAGACTGAAGCAGAGTTTCATTTGTTGAGGAAGCGTTCCTGTGGAGGGAGGTAGCACGCAAACTTGCCGTTGAAAAGTTGAAGGTTGAGATTAGTTAAGCGCTTGCCTTGTTCAACGGCTCTAGGAGAGCTGGGTATGGAAGTGTTAAACCATTCAACCAGTTGCGGCAGGCACATCAAGGTAGATCATGATCGGACGATTCTGCAGCAGTTCCATTCCATGACAGAAAATCACCAGCACCTATTGCAGAAACAGTGCTACCTCCGCGGGGCAGAAGGGCATGAGAAGGGATGAAAGCGGCCTGTACACACTGGCGATTGCCTAACCTGTGGAGATTCTGGTGACCATTGACAAGTTGGCTAGGAATACTGGAAACCTTTCCTCTAGAAGCCAAGTCTGCGTCGCCTCGTCGATCAATACACCTGTGTCCGTCTCAGTGTAACACATGGAGGAATGCCCATAAAAGTCATGATATGACTTCAGCTTCCACCGTGGATCCCAGCAGCCACGTTCTTTTTTGTCTCCTTCCCCAAATCGCTCTGCCAGCCCCAAGACAGATCCATGCCCCTGATCGAGGACGACGCACACTTTCAATTCTCCATCCATGTTTTGCACCAAGAGTAGCAGACAAAACTCCTCTCCATTCCCTCACTTTAGTCCTCGCGTTTTGCTTGCTCTAGGAGATAGGATACTGCGTTGCACGACCCATCGATTTCTGCAAGAACATAGCGATCGGGATCACAGCTCTTCCAAAGCTCAATTGTGTACGCCTGGTTGATCTTCTCCAGAATGCTGAAAAGGCCGGTTTGATGAAGTGCTGACCGAATCCTGTCGTTCCAACCCTCAAACGCTGACATTAAGGCATGATCCAGCATTCCGGAGCGTTCCAAGTGTGGTTTTGTGAGATAGAAGCCCTCTACCAGGTCCTTCTGGACGAAGGGCTGGAATGAGAAAAGAGACGCAAATGCTTCATCTCCCAGAAGCTTCCTGATCTTCATAGAACTCATGGTGACTCCAGAGACGTGCAGGGAGTTGTGAAAAAGAAAGGCCAATCCGCGAAGGTCGTTGAGGCGTATACCGTCGGCCAGGGGCACCAGGCAAAACTTTCCGTCGTTGAAAGCCTTGTCGTGGACCACAAACGCCAGACGCTTGACGTCTCTCGCAAAGCCCAGGCCTTTTGCCTTGCCTACTTTCTCGGGACTCATGCCGAGCCCATCCCAGCCGTCAACGCACATGCAGGTCTTTTCCGAGTCGAATGGCATCTTGTACTCTGTGATTTTACCGTCGGATGGGTTGGGACGGTAGAGAGTCAATACGGTCAGGAACTTGAGCACGTTCCGACGTGCTTCACGGCACGTTCTAAGGAGGGCCCATTGATGATGAGTGGAGGCTTCTGCGTGTGCATCAGGGGTGAAGCACATGATCCTGCAAGGTCTGGGAGTCAGTCTTTTGAAGAACGAAGGTGTGGTAGGGTGGAAATGACATGAGGCGGCCTTCAATCGCACTTGGACCATCCCGTGTTCCATGAGGAGGCAGATCTGATAGCAAATCGAAGGGGTAATGATACTGGTCTAGAATTGCAACAGGTCCAGTCTAGAAACGGACAAGGTGGGAAAACTGCCAAGATTGCTTACTGTGTCTGGTCCTCGGGGCTCCAGGTGGAATTCACTGTGAAGCACAACACGCTTGGGCTCTCCAGGGCCTCTTCCCAAACAGTGTCTTGAAGCTCAACAGGCATCGCAAGAAAGTGGTGGAAAATATTGGCGTTGGCGGGTACCGCATTCAAGTGAAGATTTTGGCCGCCCATGTCGCCATGCGGGACTTGAGAAGCCATTCGAACGACGTTCTTGGTGTCTGTAGTTTGCGTTATAGGTGGTGGGCGCGTGGGAGTTAGGTGTTAGGTGTATGGGTGTTGGGTGTTGGGTGTGTAGGCGTTGGGTGTTTAGGTGGGCGAACAGTTGCAGCTATGGCGCGAGTGATGTACGGGTGTATCCTCCGTTTCTGCGGGTGCTAGTATCCGTTTTCAATGAATAAACATGATCCAAATCATCACATGTCCCACGTCAAGCTGCTGTTAGTACCCATGTCATTGAATGAATTCGGGCAGCCCAAGTGAATTAACGTTAGCATGCGGGTCCGTCACCATACAAGATCATGTACACTAGGCTACGGTTGCAAGCAAGTGGCAAGTATCAACGTACCTCATCCAAGGCCGTATCACGAGGTTAGGTAGGGTTTCTATAGGTCATATAAAATCAAAATGGAAGCATCTACAACCGGTTGATCTGATTGAATGATTCCACAAGGGTTGAAATTTGCAGGCACACAAGCCACCTGCCGCCCTTCTAAGGCATCTAAGTCAGCATGAGAGCATCACAAGGGAAGCTAAATGATAATGGAGGGCTGCTAAATGGAGGGCTTTTATGCATTAGTGAATCATTTGGTTGTTAAGCATGCCTTCATAAGGGCACACACCTGGCTGTGCACTTGGGCAGATACTGACTGGTCTGCCAACCAGCCCAACATCTGGGGAGCTCAAGTTTAAAAATCGCTGAGTTGTATTTGAGGAAGAAATTAAGTCGTCGGAAACCTTCCATTGGAACAGTTCGCCAGGTATCACAAGCTGGACCTGTCAGGTTCGGTAGCAGCAGAGAGGCTTCGCCAACAAGTCACTGACTGACCCATTCGTCTGCAAACAGGGCAACCGTCCATGGAGCTCCAAGGTTCCATGAGTGACTACCACTGGTTGCCAATTCCTCGCATCACTAACTACTAAAATTCGTCCAAGGATGGCACAATTCAAGGTACGGCAAACTTTTACTCTATGGCTTCGTCGCCGGCCAGCCCGTTACATACAACCAACAACACTGGTATTCGTTGAGGGCTTCGTTCGTTCTGAACCCGACACTTATCTCCCAGCAGTGACTACCGCAGCAATTTCCAACATCCAGTAGATTTCCATCAACGATCAGGACAATGTCTTCCTCTCCGCTCTTCACATCACCAAACACGCCAGCCACGTCAGCTGTCGAGGTTGACAACGACCCATTCAACCTCGAGCGATTCATCAAGGCACAAGATCAAGGGAATGCATTCGAAAACGTCCTCGCAGCCTTCCGCGGGGGCCACCAGAAGCCCAAGCCCGCCACCTGGATGTGGTTTGTTTTCCCCCAAATGGACCACTGCCAGACACAGTCACTGCGCGTCAAGCTAAGCGACGAGGACAACCACTTGTCGTACGAGGGCGTCGACGAGCAAACCTGGCTCAAGAAAGACGTCTGGCCCAGAGGCCAGGTCCTCACCAGCCTCGACGAGGCCCGCGCGTACCTGAACCACCCCATCCTCGGCAACCGCGCGCGCGTGGCCGCCACGGTAGTCCTCCACAGCCCGTTTGCCGACAAGTTTTCGCTGATGGACAACGCCTCCATGGACGTCGCGTGCCTCCACTCCTCGATGACCATCTTCCGACAGGCGGGCCGCTTCCCGAAGTGCATCCACAGCAAGATGAAGCGCCAGCCGGGGGAGAACCGCGTCTTTGCGCAGGTGATCAACAGGTTCTTTGTCGAGTTCGTGCACAGCGACGAGGAGAACGACTGGCTGGACTACGACGACAGGCAGCTGATGGCGTACAAGCGCGGGTCCCGCCACAAGGCCACGCTCGAGTGCCTGGACAGGCGGGAGCAGGTGGAGATTGAGAGGCGGCTGAAGCAGGGGCTGGGGTGTGTCTGTGGTCTTGCGCTGGAGAAGGTCAAGGAGATGGACCGCGGCTCGAAGAGGAAGATGACCAATGCTCAGGCTGTCGCGGAGGCGGAGAAGAAGCGTAGGAAGAGGAAGATGGAGCAGGAGCGCAAGAAGCGGGAGGAGAAGGGTATGCTGTATGATGGTGGTGGCCCGAGTTCTAGGTGAGTATTCTCTGTGCGGCTAAGTTACTGTTTTGCTCTGCTGGGCAGGGAACAGTCGGCTGATTTGAGCGGCAGCCTAAGCAACGGCGGTCCAGCACCCATCACGAAGGACCGCACTCAGGACGATGACCCGCGCCCTTCTACTAGAGAAGCCTCGTCGACTGGGGCAGTTTGAGGACAAGTCGTGTGTCGCATGGCACAATAAGAAGAGGCCGATGCCGTTGCTGAGAAGGTACCTCCCTGCTTGGAAACCTTCAACATATTCTCATTCGTGGTAGATTTTTGGGTTGAGAGTGGATGATGAGGTAAATGTGACACTTTTCAGGGCGGAAGATATCTGGAGAAGAGGACCTGTTCCCCAGCTGGGTCGAGCAGGCCTGGGGGCACCATGGACTGAAAGGGGAGCGAATGACAAGAGGTCTCTGTTGAGCGTGGGCTGTCGAAAGCGGACCTTTGGAACGGAGGGACTGAGGCTATACTCCGCAGAGAAATGAGCTTTCATCGCCCATCGAAGTGTGAATTTCTAGGTCACCCATCTTGTTACGTCTCATGAGCTAGGAACATTACCCTTTGCACGAGGGGGCAATGCTCGAGGGTTGTCGTCGGTCGCACAAGTCACGGGATGTCGTTTAGCTCAAGCGCCATTCCGCGCGGTTCGGGAGCTGGCTTTCACATCCGAAGCTTGATGGAATTCGGAAATGTTTGTCGAGCTGATAAGAAGGGTCCCTGATTGCACAACTTACACAGCGTCATGAGATTTGCACGTATTGAACCAAGGAAATTCCAGGTACCCTGGTACTCGGTAAAGTTAACCCAAATGAAAGAGAAGCGAAGGAAGGTGATGGTGTCAGCCGTCAGTTACCGGACCGGCCCACGGCCAAAGCCGCTTGGCTTTTACAGGACAAGCTCCGCAATGGCAGATGGAATGTCTTTGTCCTGATCAGGACCCTTTACTCGTCAGCCTCCTAGAACAAACCCACATCCGCCAATCAGGGCCCGAATATTACTGAACAGGAGTCTTCAAAACGGTGCGGATCATCCAGGACCTTTGTTCTGAATACGACCTGCTGCACTTAGTTCTGATGCTAGGAGTGCTTGTCACATGTCTTGATTGCTACACAGGCAGGTATGCGGGCCACACATCGTACGTACCATCTGCATTGAGCATGTGACAACTACTTGCTGAGGACAGAGACCAGGAAATATAATTGCAAGTGGTAGTCCACGTACCTGGTGTCTTTAGCGTCCCTATGAATTTATGTCGCTTTGGTCTGCTGGGTTCAAAGCGATAGAACATATGATAAGATGGCTTCCTTCGACCTTTCCAAACCTCGCCGTGAGACTTCAAACCTGATGGGGCTTGCTTTCCGCGCAGCTGAGGACATACATAGCCAAGCGGGACGCGTGGCTGCCAATATCGATCTCGCCCGTAATTTGGGCCAGACTGTCCTTGCCAATGGAGTCGTTGACGATCGCAAATTCCTTGTGAGTATCACCCGAGGGCCAGCTGACGCGTTGGGCGGTGGACTGCTGCTTACTGGTCTTGCTATATAGTATGAGGGAATCATTCAGCTGGCAGCATCACTGCCAAATGATTCTCGGCTTCGCAATGATCTGAGCGGGGCATTCATCAAGAACCTCTGGGGTAGCCTCCAACATCCTCCTATGTCGTTCTTGGGAGATGAGTTCAAGTACAGGACTGCGGATGGCAGCAATAATGTAGGCGCGAATTGCTAGGCCTTATAGGCCCTCTTTGCCCCTGTGCTGACCCCTGAACAGAACATCATGTATCCGCAGCTGGGCGCTACCGGTTCGCCTTATGCCCGTAGTGTTATCCCCACTCATACGCGGGATATCAACTTGCCCGACCCGGGCCTCATCTTCGACAGTAAGATTACCATTTATCCCATGCAGCCAGGTGTGTTGGACCCTTTGTGGCTGACATCTTACAGCGCTCCTGCGCCGAGACGGACTTGCCAGGGAGAGTCCCACCAAGGTCTCGGCCTCGCTCTTCCACTTTGCAACGATCATCATCCACGACATCTTCAACACCCGTGGCAGCAACCTGGCTTGTTCGAGCTACCTCGATCTCGGTCCACTCTACGGTCATGATGAGAAACAACAGAGTTATGTGAGGGCCTTCAAAGACGGGATGTTGAAGAAGGACACCTTCGCGGAAGGACGGCTTATCGGCCAGCCCCCTGGGGCCTGTGCCATGTTGATCACGTTCAACAGGTTCCACAACTACATCGTCGGAGAGCTCGCCACCATCAACGAGCACGGGAGATTCAGCATGCCCGAGGGAAAGGCTGACACAGAGCCATACAAAGCGGCATTGGCCAAGCGTGACAACGACCTGTTCCAAACTGGGAGACTGTGAGTGAAGGACTTCAAAATTACCACTGAATTGTTCGCGTTATTAACGGTATAATCCCCCATCAGTGTTACCTGCGGCCTTTACGTCAATATCATTCTCGGGGACTATCTCCGCACTATCTTGAATCTGAATGATAATCCTGTGGCATCTGACTGGAAGCTGGATCCGCGAGAGAACTTCAGAAACGTCTTCGACCCGGACGGGACTCCAAGGGGTCTAGGCAACCAGGTCTCCGCGGAGTTCAACTTCGTCTATAGATGGCGTAAGAACACTCTCTTACTTTGAAGAGCCCCTAGAATTAGGATGCAAAGTCCCTATGATCACGGCTGGTAAGCTATGAGCAGCTCAGTGCTCATGGCTCAGCTACTCTACGAGCTAGATGCGGCGTAAAATAGCATGAGGATTTTCTTTCTCGATTTTTGACTAACGATATCCTCTACTAGACGCAACCACGAGTAACAAAGACGAGGAGTGGCTTAACAACTTCATCGCCAAGGAGATCATTCCAGGGATAGACCCCAGTAAGTGCATCTCTGAATGACCATCTAAACTCTACGAAGACGCTCTCGAGATTGACCGGTTCCAGCTACTGTTAGCCCGGCGGTGATCAGAGCAAAGTTACGCGTATGGTTTAGGGATCATGTACCTGAAGACAAGCCCGAGACATGGACTTTCAACGGCCTGAAGAGGGTGAACGGGACTTTCAAGGATTCTGATCTGGTCAGCATACTAACGGCCGCCACGGACACTGTTTCTGGAGCATTTGGCGCTCGTAACACGCCTGTCGCCCTGAAAGCCGTTGAAATGCTTGGTATCAGACAGGGCCGCGAGTGGGGCCTTGCGTCTCTGAATGAATTCCGCCAGTTTTTCAAGTTGAAGCCTTTCACCTCTTTCAAGGAGGTGAACTCCCAGCCTGGAATTGCTGAGGCTCGTAAGTTTCATACCCTGCTGTTGATAGTCATTCTCAGGCCCAGTGGTGAGCTGCGCGATAGTTGACCGTTAATGTAGTGGAGGCTCTGTACGGCCACCCCGACAACATCGAGTTGTACCCGGGTCTCATGGCAGAAGAGGCAAAGCCGCAATTCTCCCCGGGCTCGGGTCTTTGCCCCGGATACACCATCTCGGAGGCTATTCTCTCAGATGCTACAACTCTGGTGCGCGGAGATCGGTTCTACGCGCTTGAGTATGGGCCTCAGAGCTTGACCAGCTTCGGGTAAGTACGCCGACAGTGAGCGAGTGTCTGCAAGATGGCTGACATGGAAAACTCAGGTTCAAGGAGGTCGCGTCTGACTACGACGTCGCCGGCGGTGGCGTCATGTACAAGCTGCTGATGAGGGCCTTCCCAGGCTGGTACCGAAACAACAGTGTCTATGCGATGTATCCGTTTAGTACTCCTGGTAGGACGCAGGAGATCTTCCACAAAAACGGCCTGCCCCACGGCATCAAGTTGGACTACAAGCAGCCCCAATTCATTCCGCCTCCTGTCCCAGTGATGAGCTACAAGAGTGTCATCAACGTCCTCAACAATCAGCAAAGCTTCAAGGTTCCATGTGAGTCCTTCCTAATCCATTACGCGGCGGTGAATAGCCATATTCCCCTTGTTGGAATGTGCTAACAGATCAAACCAGGGGGTGAGCATACCTATCAGCTCACTGGGCACGACTACATGCTTTCGGGAGACAAGCCCGCCAACGCCAAGCAGCGCGTGGAGGTCAACGCAGCGATGTACAAGCCTCAGGACACCCTCGAGCAAGTGAGGAAGTTCTACGAGACCGTCACCACAGACCTCATCCACAAAAACAAGCGCAAGTTGGGCAACCAGACCTACCAGATCGATATTGTGAAAGAGTAAGCCCAGACCATCCAAGCATCCTGTAGAAGCTTGTGCGATGCTAACCGTGATGCCTCCCGGCAAGTATCGGCAATCTGGCCCACGCCATGTTCACAGCGCGCTTCCTGGCCCTCCCCCTCAAGGAAGACCCGCACAGCCACGGGCCCGGCCTCACGGCCCGGGAGATCTACGAGGCCCAGGCCAGCCTCTTCCAGTACGTCTTCCTCGACTTCGACACGGCCAAGTCGTACAAGCACCGCGTCGAGGCCTCCAAGGACGCGGCGACGCTGGGAAACGTCACGCGCAGGGTGGTCGAGGGCGCCAGGCACCACCCGGGCCTGATCAAGATGCTCATGGGCCTGCTGGGCCACGGCGGCGAGGTCCCGCACATCCCCGGGTTCGGCAGGGATATGGTGCTCCGGCTCCTGGACGGCGGCAAGTCCGTCGAGGATGTGGTCTGGGAGCTGGTCCCCACCCAGGCGGCGGCTGCTGCTACGCAGGCTGCGGCGGTAAGTCATGATTCTGCCTCTGTCGTCTTTTGTTCTGTGTAGATCACTAAATGTCTGTCGCACTTCCGTAATTAGTGGGCACAGCTCATCGACATATACATGTCCGACGATTACAAGGACCACTGGCCCGCCATTGTCGCGCTCGCCCAGTCCAGCTCCCCGACAGCCTTTGAAAAGCTGAGGAAGTACGCTCTGGAGGGGTAAGTCCGTTCCGTAACCGACAGCATCACGCCGAGATATACACACCCTGGGAAGGGGAAGCAAATCTGTACTAACACCCCTGACCACCACCCAGCTTCCGACTCTACCCAGCTGCCGCGGGCGTCCTCCGCGTCGCAGCAGCCAACAACACACCCCTCAACGACGGCGGGCAGACCACCGCCCTCCCCGCAGGCGCAGGCCTCTTCGTCGACTTCATCACCGCGGGCCGCGACCCGTCCAAGTTCCCCGACCCGGGCAAGATCCGCCTCGACCGGCCGGAGGAGACCTACATCCACCACGGGTGGGGCCCCCACCAGTGCCTGGGGCGCGCGATCGTGACGACGGCGGGCGCGGCGATGCTGAGGGCCTTTGCGCGGTCGTGCCCCAACGTGCGGCGCGCCGTGGGGCCCGCGGGGGAGATCAAGACCAAGCTGTTTGGTGGGGCGTTCCCCGTGTTCCTGGCCGAGGACGGCGGGAGCTGGGAGGCGTTCCCTGTGTCTAAGAAGGTGCTGTTTGATGTCTGGGACGGGGCGAATGGGAGTAATGGCAATGAGAGCAATGGTCACGGGAGGTCCAATGGCCATGGCAATGGGTATCACGCCAATGGGGTCAATGGTCGCCACTAGATTCGTCTTAGGATGAGGCGGGGATCAGTACAGGACTCATACGATGGGATGGAGACGGTCTATTAGTACTGGGACTCAACAGGGACATTAAAAGTTTAACAAAGTATTCGTATTGAAACAAGATTTTGTAGTGTAGGAGAAATGATTGGAAACGTACACTCGACAGCAGCTCAATAGGAAAGCCAGGACAGCACTTGAAGCACTACCATGGATGCAAATCAGGGATCCAAAAGACAAGAGAAACAATGCGCGGTCACTATCCGTTACAACAATTTGCTTTGCACAAAACGTTCCTTTCACTTTTTATTTGATTTTCTATTTCTTTTTTTAAGAACAAAGAAGAACACCACCTACTGAACCCTATCCATCACAACCCAGCTCTTCCAGCTCTTCATTCTTCGGGGCACACTGTGGCGTGTACTTGTAGCCCGGGAACGCCTGCTTGTGAAGCATTGTGTCCGTATTTGCAAGCCCAGTGAAGTAGTTCCGCAGCTCATCGCCCTCCATTGCCCAACTCTCCCCAATGACAAGGGAGGCTTTCTGCATATCGGTCTTGCTGACGGTACTATAATAGGCCTTGCGATAGAGCAAGAACTTGTTAAGGGGCCGTTTCACCCTGCCGGTGACTTCGGCCTCCTTCCAACGCCGCTCTACCGATCTGTGGGCATATTCGGTGATTTCTTCCAGCGGGTCTGAGCCCTTGCTGTTTGGAAGCTCGCTCAATGGTTTCTCAAGGATCGGAACACTCTTCATAGCCGAGGCCTTCTTGGGACGAGCCTCGAGCGGCTGTGCACGGTTAGCCCTGGAGGCAGGTTGTGGGACAGCGATGAGCCCATGCTGTGTGTCCTGCTGACGGAGGGGCTGGGCGACACAAAACTGGTTCGCAGTCGGGGCAGCGCGCTCATCTTCTTCAAGGAGTGGGTAAATGGGGTAGTCGGATTCGCCACTCACTTCAAGTTGGGGGCTGACATTTCTGACTGTATTGAACTCTGGCACTGAGGCTTTGAAGTTTACGCATGCCATGTTCAAACACACGTATTCGTGTACGCAGTCAGAAAAGACACGGTAGATTGGGAAGAGGCAGATGAGGCAAGAGTGGGAAGACATGGCGATAACCTGGATCAGATGCTAAACTCAATATTTGGGTATTGTGTGAGATAGTGTCCAAGATCTCGTATCCCTCGCCCTGTCTAAAGTGATGCCAGGAAGTGGTGGTGGATGATGGTGTAAAGTGGGCGATTCTGGAGGTCAAGCGGGCGTCCTTGGAGGTTTTATAGATCTCTCGGCTCCTTGAAAATTGCATCTTCATTTGTTCTCTAACCCTTATAACCATTTGGAGATAATAGGCATTGAATGAACAATGCATTTATGATCATTCAGCCTTGTTTTTATCTCAGCCGCTGAACAATGTGACTCTCTATTAGCAGGAGTAATTTCTTTCTTTTCTATACAATACCGCTCTTTGTTAGACTCTCAATTGCCATTTTCAGTCTCATTACTTTGTAATCTCACAATCCTTTTCTCTAATACGGATGCTGAAGGTGCATGAGGCGCACCGCAAGAGGGTCGCCAAGCAGGGGCAAATGGGAATGCATGAGACAATCCGTGATACCGTCCAAAGAGCGAGACAGAACTAGTACCACTCAACTTTTGACCAGTGCAATGATTATTTTGATGGAATCCTGCAGCAATTTATGGTCCGGTCTGTGGAATGTGCTGCGTGAATATTGTCACCGTGACATTGAAACCAGCCATATCCTGCTTTCTCGATGTACAACAGCATGGAAATGTAGGAGAATACAAAGATTTCCCATATAGTGCTCTGAGCACATGCCACAATCCTCAAACTCATCCTCATCTCGGACCATTGGCAATCAGCACGGGGCTATGCTCTGATCGTGGTGGTCGTGAGCGTGCAGGCTATCATTGCAGCTCAGCCCCCATCTATGGAATGAACCTCAACGATATGCGAAAGTTCTTCAATGGAAGGAATGGTCTGAGTAATGGACAGGAAATTCCACTCCGGCGTGGAAGAAGAAGGAAGCACCTGCAATGACGTGAGCGCTGAGCACCTCTTCGTGACTGCAGCTATGAAACGACCACGGAAGGGACATTTTTGAGATTGGGCAACGACGACACGACAATCTGTGCCAACCTGCACTCACCTTCTTTATCGTAAGGTCGTGATTCCCGTTTCAATACGTCAAAACATCAACATGGGAAGTGGCACCCAACCTTGAGACATGTCTGCTCTTCCACCCGTTGGCTCCAACACTTGTCCCGCTTCACTCCGCCTCTCTTTCATTCCTGGCCGACTCATCAGCACACACGCCAACATCTTCATTTTCCAACAATTCCAGTAAATCCCATGCCATTCATCATTGCTTACAAGTCCTTAAGAATCCACAACCAATCCTTCACGATGAAGCCCGCCTTTTCCCTCGGCGCCGTTCTGGCAGTTGCATCTTTGGCCCTTGCCACGGCCAAGGATCGCGAAATCGTCGATTCTGTACGCGCCATCCTTGACTCTGTGATCATGCACTCTTGCTGACTCTATTTCTCTAGGAAACCCTGCGTGACTCGATCGAGGAAGCGGAGCTTGTCTCCAAGGCCCAGACCATCGAGGCATTTGCTTATGCGTACCCTGAGAAGAACAGGCTCCCCGGCACTCCCGGCTTTGAGGACACCATGCAATACATCTGGGATATCTTGGACGACCTTGACTACTATGACCTCTCTCGCCAACGGTTCTAGTTTGATCTTGACGGCGAATGGACTCAGACGTCAGTTCAGGCGAACGATTGTCCCCTTCATGGCCTGATCAGATTGATTGACAAACCCGCAGGTACAACATCATCGCTCAAACCAAGGAAGGCGACACAGACAACGTACTTCATCTCGGCGCCCACATGGACTCGGTCGCTGCAGGGCCGGGCATAAACGACAACGCATCAGGTGGCATCGGTATCCTGGAAGTCGCGATCCAGCTCGCCAACTATACCGTCAACAATGCCGTTCGCTTCTCCTGGTGGTCGGCCGAAGAAGAAGGGCTCATCGGGTCAGAAATATACGTCGATATGCTAAGCGAGGAGGAACGCCAGAAGACCCGCCTCTACCTCAACTTCGACATGATCGCCTCCCCTGCCCACAAGTTTGGCGTCTACACCAGTGACTTCAGCGGACTCGGCGTCACGCCGGCTCCCGGCGTCGAGGAGGTCGAGGAGATGTTCCAGGACTACTTTGACGACATAGCCGACCTGGAATGGGATACGGTCGCCCTGCGTGGGAACAGTGATCACTGGCCGTTCGTCTGGGAGGAAATACCGACGGGTGGCCTGCACGCCGGAACTGACCCCAACTACCACACGGCCAATGACACAGTCGCGAACATGGACCCCGGCGTGTTTGTCAAGATTACCAAGGCCATCGCTCATGCTGTGGCCACGTACGCGGTGAGCTTTGACAGTCTGCCTCGGAGGGACGGCTGGCTGGTTTGGCCAGGGCTCGGTCCAGTAATTTCGAAGGATGGACAGATGTGATGTGGTGTGGTATTTTCCGGCGCAGCATTCGCACAAAGCCTAGTACATGTCTTCGAGTAGGAATACCAGTAACCTAATACAACCAGACTTCTAAGTTTCTCTTCCATCGCCTTCTTGTTCCCACTCGTACCACAGACATGCATGTTGCTTGCCCAGCTCCTTGGTTGACAAGTCTTTTCTGCCTTGGCGATTTACTCCTGATAAGGGGGAGGCACCGATACCACCGAGGCGGCGTCTGACTGAAATGGCGACTGCCTGGCATACTGCATGCGCTGGCTCCTGGGACTCGAGTACTGCTCCCGGTCGATCCGAGTCCTACTCCCATTAACTGCGCCATAGCCAGTCCGAGACTCATAACTGGAGCCACCGCTCGCCACTGGCAACAGAGCCCGCCTCTGCTTCCCACCCCGCCGGTCCCGCCCCCATCGCCGCAGCCTTGCAGCACAAGCCCTGCACGGCCGCACAAATACCTCGCGCCTGATGCCGCAGAACGTCGGCGCCGCGAGGAACCACCGCAGGCAGGCGATAAGGACGATGCAGATGACCGCCAGCGGCCAGAGGAGGATGGGCAGGACGGCTGCGAGGGGGCAGCAGCAGACCAGGATGCCGTCGGTGAGGAAGATGGCCGGCAGCCAGGGGATGGTGCGCACGTCGTGCAGGCTTGCGCAGAGGAGGAGGGAGTAGATGAGGACGCCTGAGGCGTAGACCATCAGGATGAGGGCTGTTAGGAAGGGGTGGTTGTCGTGGAAGGCGAGGAGGGCCGACGGGAGGGGAGAGTCGGTGTGCATCCTCTCTGATGGGGGTTTCCCTGTGTTGATTCGGCGGGTTATGTCTGTAGGGAGCTGACCGGATTGTTGGCCGGCGGTCGGGTCAAGATTGAGAAGCGGACGATGGGTAGGTAGAACGAACAGTGTGAAGTCTGCTGTGGTTGGGATCTGGGTGGCAGCCTACAGATTCCATGGATCTGCTGTGCCTGAGGCATGGCCACGTCCACGTGCGTCCAACATGCTGGTGTGCAACCTCTGCCCCGCCCTTGCGCAGCCAATGGAAAACGGGCAGCAATGAGCCTCACTTTTACTTCTTCAATTTTGTTTCGTCTTGATGTTACACAAGGAGGATTCTAGGTTGACTGCAGCAAGCAAGGGTCCAAAGGTCTAGCAGGTAACGACCCCCTATGCATCCTGCACGTTCCGAATTATCGAGTATCTGGAGGCACCGTGGTTTTCTGTCACATGCAACGCCGCAAGAGCAGCGGCGCCAACAAGAAGAAAGCCGTAAAGGTCGACGAAGAGCAGCGTGGTTCTGAAATAATTCGTAGCGATACAGATATACAACAAGGTTCAAAGACATCCGACTGAGATTCAGGTTTGCGTTTGGTGAGCACATATCTCAATAAAAATCCGGCAGGAGAGGGATTCCTTTGCAGTAGATACTTTGAGCGATTGGCAAGAAGATGGACATGGCATTACTACTCTCATACAGATCAACACTATGCTGTGTTAACCCGGCCGTACGACAATCAGAAGATTATCCCTACGACCTGAAGCCCTTCGTCTTGAGCTTCTCCCACAGCTTCTCCTCCTCCACCAGGATGTTCTTCCCGCTGAACTCCCCCTCCATGTTGATAGGAGGCAGCAGGGCCTGGTACGGGATGGTGCGCACGCGCACGTCGGACGGCTGCCCGTGGGCGGCGAACTGCATGCCCTCGACGACGTCCCCGTTGCCGTACTGCTCCTCGGTGACGAGGCGCAGCATGATCTGCGCGCACTCCTCGGACGTCATGTTCATGTCCTGCTCGCGCACCTTGCCGACGCAGTACTCCTGCTCGACGGCGGGCGTGTAGGTGGTGGCCGGGCACATGCAGGCGACGCGGATTCCCAGGCGGGACTTCATCTGCGCCAGGGAGAGCGTGAAGGAGGTCAGGGCGCCCTTGGACGCGTTGTACAGCGGCGTGCCGATGGTGGGCAGGTACGCGCTCATCGAGGACACGAAGAGAAGGCTGCCTGCGATCTTGTTGGTGAACCAGTAGTCCAGGGCGATCTGGGCGAACCGGATGGGGCCCATCTGGTTCACGGCGAAGATGTGGTAGAGTCCTGGGGTGCCATTGGGGTCGTCCTTGGCCAGAGGGGAGATGCCTGGGGGCTGCCAGAAGGTGGAGTGTGGGGGCTCCCTGATGAGGCTCGTCGTCAGCAGGAGCTCATTCTCATAACTCTTCTTGTCATTGCAGAGTATTATGTTGTCGCTGCTGTGGCATGAGGAGCTGAAAGGTGGAAAGACTTACCAAATGCCAGCACCAGGGCAGACCAGGTCAATTCGGCCAAAGGTCTTGAGGGTGAACTCCCAGGTCTCGGAGATGGACTTCCAATCAGATTGGTCACACCTATGGTAGACGGCAGAGACGGGAGCCGGGTGAGGGAACTTGGCGATGAGCTCCTTGGCTTCGTCGCGCAGTGCTACATCGGCAAAGACAACGGAGCAGCCGGCATTGAGGAGCTGCTCTGCGAAAGCCAGATTGATCCCTGCGCTCATGCGAATGTCAGAATCAGGACACCGTGCACATGCTAGTACCAAAGAGTACAAAGAGCTTCCAGCTTTCTGAGTCTTGCGGAATGGGGAATGGGGCAAAAAGGAGTGAGCAATCCATACCACTTCCGGCGCCAGTGACCAGGGCAAACTTTCCCTTGATTTCGTACGACATTTTGTGACGAGTTGTTGCGGATCAAAGAGAGACTGTGAGGAATGGTCTGGAGCCGAGAGCAATTTAAATCAGGACAGCGGCTGGGAAAGCCCGAATAGAGTAAGCCATGACAGCAAGAACAAAGTAAGCAATGTGAGCGAGATGAGCAAGAGTGAGCAAGAGTGAGCACAGACAGCAGGAGCAGAGTAAGCTCCGGCAGATAGCTCAAGCGAGTCCCCAAGTAATCAGCGCCAAGGAAGACAGACCTTTTGAATGGGAAAACCATGCGGTGTTGGGCCCCTAAGGTATACGTTTCATCACAGGTTGTTGTCTTCAAAGGCCTGGAAATCCACGGGTAAATCCACTCGGGATCATACATTTATTAGCTTCTCCCGGAGTGACCGACGTCCCACATTAGTGGGCGCCAGGATTGGACCGCCAGAAGCCAATATCTGTTGACAGCTCCTTTGACAACCAGAACGATCCACTGCCATACATAGTCTAGTGTCCAGATGCGCGTGAATAGAATCTTCGGCATATGGCCAAATCGCCTAGAAATGACAGATCTTGAAATGCAGGTCATATCTCACCACGTTCTCGGCAACCTCGGAAAAGCAATTGGCATGCATGCTTATTCACTTGTCAGCTGACGGCTCAGAATTGCTTGGTTTTCAACCAAGCGAGTCATTTTGCTTCATTACACTGGTCGCTTCTAACCAACTACATATGCTGTGCCGCACTCCTGCAGGCGCGGCCCGCCGGGTCATATCCCGCCAGGTCGTGCCTTGCCCTCCCTCCAGGAACCAGTCTGCGAGGCCTCAAGGGGAGGCCGAGAAGGGAGCATCTCCAGTGATGAGGGTAGACCAATCGATGTTTTATACCCATGGGATACTCGGGCCCGGTACTTGCCTCCACCCCTGACCTGAAGCACGCCTCCTTACCAAAAACCCCGGCATGTTGGAGAGCGAATCCGAAATTTCGGTGTCCTCATTTGGTTCGAGTCGAGAGCATTCGTGGTCATGCCATAGCCATGTGGAGAGGAGCTCAGGGCAGTGTTAAGTATCACCTTGGCGGCTCGCTCGAACCCGGAGGGTCGAGTCCCCCAGACCGGATGGTTTCTCTCCCCTTTCCAACTTCACCCACGGCATCTTGAGAGAGGCCACTACCGAAGAAGCAAGATGGCACCAGCGGGCTGGCACTCCATCACGCCCACTGGGCTGGCGGCCAACATCTATGGCACTGCTTTGGCTTTTTCTATACTGTCTACCATCGTCTTGGCCCTGCGGATGGTCGCGAGGCTCGAGATGAACCAGTTCAGCCTGGAGGACTACCTCATGTGCACTTGATGGGTAAGGTTCCCTTTTGCGCTCTTCATCCCCTTCTGTTTCCACTGCTACGCAGTACCCGCTGACGCTGACGCGTACAGTTGATTAACATGGTCCACAACTCTGTGGTCATCTATGGTAGGTACTTTTACATCACTTGATCCTTATCTCTGGATAACTTACATGTTGTCTGTGTCTCATCCATTGGACGAATACCTTTCAACATGAATACCTTGTCTTCACTGGTTTGCCCTGGCGGATGTTCTTGAGATGTACTAAGAATGTTTCAGGTGCTCACACTGGACTCGGAACTCCGGATGCATTGATCCCAGGCGGTCCAACTGGACCGATTTATATGGAAGGGATAATAGTACAGCTCCCCCTCCATAAACTCTTCCATCTTCCTGCCTTGCCAAAGGTCTAGCTGTGTGCTGATTCTGGAACCATTCAAGAGTGTGTTCTTGTGGCAGGTCTTCTTCCTCAGCGGCCTCGTCTTCATCAAAGTCAGCATCTGCCTGACCCTGCTCCGCATCGCCGTGATCAAATGGCATTGAATCACGCTGTGGGTGATTGTTGTCGTCACGGTTGTGTCGACCATCTTCGTCGAATTCTACGTCCTCCTGCAGTGCCAACCTATAGCGGCCACATGGGGCGAGGTAAAGGGGACTTGCTTGCCGAGCACGATCACCGTCAGCATCACCTTCATCATCTCGGCATTCAACCTTATTACTGATGTCACCACGGCGCTGTTGCCTTTCCTTATGCTTAAGGATGTGCAGATGACCAAGAAAAACAAGGTGGCCATTATCGGTATCCTGTCGCTTCGCGTCCTGGCTTCTATCGCCACTATTGCACGTCTCCCTTTCGCGCATGCGTATTTCTCTCCCACGAACTATTTGGGTATGTCTCTTATCTTCAACTCTGAAGAGATCCAGGAATCCCATGATTATCCTACTGTCACCTGAGAGTTACGAACTTTCGAATTCCCTACTACAGAGGGCATCGGCGACATCATCCTCATCGCCGGCTCCCTCCCGATGCTGCGCACCCTGTTCAAGTCCATCAAGGGCTCGATGCAGCAGAAGTCGACCCACAACACGAACTCCACCGAGCTGCTGCTGTGGACACGGGGCGGGCGCAGAATATCCGGGACCAGTCCGTCAGCGGCGAGCGCATCGTCATCACCGTCGACCACCACTTCGGCCACGAGCCCCGCGCCACCCCCGAGAGCGAGCTCCGGAAGGCCGTCGTGTTTGCCGACATGAACACGGAGACGGCCAAGGCGTGGTCGGAGGAGAGCAAGAAGTACGCCAGCAACCAGGAGTACCAAACCACAATCTTTGAGATGAACGTCCGAGACGACAAGTCGGTCCAGGCCATGGTCGATTTCGTGGTCAAGGAGTTCGGACGTCTCGACTACGCCGTCAACGCTGCTGGACTAAGTCATGCCCACTTCCCAAGCGAACCCTGGTGGCGACTAATCGCATGCGCAGGTCGACAACGGCGTGCATGCACCCATTGCAGAGACCGACATGGACGATTTCGACAGCATAATGAACATCAACGCCCGCGGAAACCTCTGCGTAAAGGCGCAGGTCGCCGCCATGCTCAAGCAGGAACCCAAGACCTGTCGAGTTGCAGTGACACCAAGTTGGGTTCATAAAAGAATTACAATCCATGGTTGGCCTGGCGGCTAGCACGTTATTTCCCTTGATTCGTGTAAGTGCCTTGGCGAGACTCCTTCAACAGAGCGGTGTCAAAAAGAACGAAAGGTTGTCTCATGACAGTTTCTTCCCTTTCTGTCTCTCAGACTGAGGGACATGGGACTATACAGCCTGTGCATGAAAACCCAGTCTTGGAAGCATGAGTTCCATTATTAGTCCTCGACGACCCGTAGAGTCGAGGCTGGCGTCGTCGTCCTCCCCGGCGGCCTGGGGCGGCTGTCGGGGATGCCTTCTTGGCTAATTGGCACATGGGCATGACGGCGTTTGGCGGGCCGCCTGTGCATTTTCAAATTGTGAGCATGCATGCATTCGCAAACCAGGTATTCCATCTGCCGACGGGAAGGGATGATAGTTCTACAAGAAATTTGTAGAAGAGGAGCAATGGGTCGACGAGCAGACTGTACGTCCACGGTTGTAGAGCTTACCACGGGCCCAAGCAAACATTGACATGTAGCAGTGTCAAGAGATATTCGCTGTGTGCCAGGCACTTCCCGGGCCCGCGAGCACGAAGATGATATACTGCATCAACTCCATGCATGGGCGGTTGGACGATGGGGGTTTTGTCTTTCGCCTTGTGGAGGTGAGCAGGCACGAAAGCGTTTTCACCAGCACTTGAACACGGGAAGCCACTGACTCTTACTTTTTCCAGTCTCCCTGGAGCTCTTGGGATGTATGGACTTTCGCCCGGGATATCTCAAGTCGGCGACCGACTACCTGCTCCCGTCTATGCACTTTTGTCTGGCCTGAACTAACTCAGCAACTGTCGGCATTATCGCATTGGCAGCGGTGCAGCTGGCGGAAAAGGCCATTACCAACAAGGTGACGCGAATCGTCGTCTGCCTTGGCGGTGCTGCCGGCATCCTGTACTCTTCTCTGTGGTACTTCCCCCTGCTCATGGTCGCTGCCGGGCTGGCAACGGTGATATGGGATTTGCGAATAGGACATAAGGCACTGACTCGGGCGCGGAGGAGCTGAGGTCCCGGAGGTGGCTGGTGTCGCTGCTGAGGGGGGTCAACGCGGCGGCTGTTGGCCTGGTGTACACGGTTTTGTACAGGCTTTGGCAGATCGGCCTCTTGGATGAGGCGAGGGGGAATGGTAGCCCGCTTGGCGGTGACCCGTGGTGGGTTGCTATCACTGGGGCAAGCTTTGTTGGCGGGCGGTGGTTTGGGCTGAGTGCGCCGTTGGCGATATTACTTGGGGGTGTCTTAGGCATGGTTTGGCATGCCATTGTTAAAGCTTAATCATTTCTTTGATTACTGTATAGATTCATTCCTCAGCTGTGTCTGTCACGGCACAAGAAAGCCTATTGCGGCAAAACACCACAAAAGAGGGACGTTGTAATGCCGAGTGCCTTACCGTGGCTATTACCTATATAGCGTACTGTAACAGTAGCCACCCTTTAAGGTCTATCGTCCCGATAAACCATTAAGAATGCTGCTACCTTTTCTGCTAGGCACCCCCTGGAAATAGATCCATAGGCACTATTTTCGAAGTTCTGAGTCAAGTTATCCAGCTTCTCGGCTGTGATTCGCCTCCTTCCCACGGGTGGATCCGAGATCACGTCAGGCCACTACGTGAGAAAAATCCATGGCCAAAGGAAAAACAAAGTCACAAAGTTTGGCTCAAACTCAAAACCCCTAGGGAGGCATTACAAACTGTCACGGCACAAGAAAGCCTATTGGGCCAAACCACCACAAAAGAGGGACGTTGTAATGCCGAGAGCATTACCGTGGCTATCACCTATATAGCGTACTGTAACAGTCCAACTTGTTACTGCTCCCGTCTGAAACAATATCAGCACCACGTTGAGTTGTTGCCGAATTACCTCGGCAATTGTAATTGGCCCGACATTGTAGGCGGTTCCTTGGTTCCTGCCATCGTCCAATAGAGACCTTCGAACTGGTTCAAATGAATGCGGCCTTTGAACCTTGGGGATAATGCTGCCGCGTAATTTTCCCCGGTCATTAATTGGAGTCCCGGTGACTTGTGACGATCGGATCGGCAAGGCTTCAATACTCGAGTCAAATAGAAGGCATCTTTACAGGTCCTCACCGCCACTGCCAAGAGGTCTGCGAGGATTGAAGAGCATCAAAGCGGAGTCAATGTAAGGGCTTGAGCAAGACTGTGTTCGCCTGGAGGTCTTGAGTGTGCCGGGTACCAGACCAGCTCCGGCTCGTGCTACGGTTTCGGCTTTTATGACCATCCCGGGCTTGGAATTAACTGACAGTGGTGGGTGCGAACCCGTGGACCCCTGATGAGACCCGCCCATGACGGCTCGGCATTGCATACTTAGACTGCTTCATGTTGACTTGTCACAAATAACTTGCAACGAGAGAATTATAAATTCAACGTCGGAGTCAATGCCAATTGACTTATCTTGGACTGCACAGTCCCAGTCGATTCAATCCACTTTGCCTTTTCCACTCCTCCCACATCTTCTGAAAATCACAGGTTTGATCTCCAGCACACAACCCCAAGATTGACACCTTTTGGCATACAAGACAAGCACTTTCCGATATGTCTTCGTTTACAAAGCCGATTCCGAAGAGTATTCTCATCTTCGGAGCAGCCGCTCACATTGGTCGGCCACTAGCCACATACCTGTCCCGGGAAGCACCCGCAATCAAGTTGCGCCTTGCCACAAGCAGTCCGAGCAAGAGGGACCAGCTGCGGAGTGCATTTCCCAATGCCGAAGTCGTTGAAGCTAACTACAATGACGTTGATTCGCTCTCGGCTGCCGTCGATGGCATCGAAGGTGTTTTTGTCATCACCCCGGGGGGGCTCTCCGAGGAGTCTGCCATGACGAACCTGGTCGCAGCTCTGAAGAAGGCCAAAACCGTCGTCCACGTCATCCGCCTCCAAGGGGTGTTCCCGGAGTTCTCGCAGGCCCGCGTACCCAAGGAACTGGGCCCGGGAACCCTCCCTTTCGAGCATCCCATCGCCAAGCGCATTCTCGATGCGAGCGGGCTTCCGGTCACGTACATCAACTCCGGCGCCAGCTTCATCGACAATTTGCATCTGCAGATCAAGTCGGTCCTGGCTAAGAAGACGTTGATCTGGCCCGAGCATCGTGTCCCCTTCACTGATCCGAGGGACATTGCCGAGATTGCTGGGAGGCTGTTCCTCTCGGATAATGCGAAGCACATCGGCGCTTTCCACACCATGAATAACGGTCAGGACTGGCTAACCTTCCGGGAGATAGCCGGTCTCATTTCTGAGGTATTCGGGGAACCGGTCGCGTATGACGGAAGCTATGAGGCCTTCTCTGAGTTCTATACGCCGATCATGGGACCACACAAGGTTCAAGAAATGTGGCACTTCTTCAAGTTTGAGGAGGCCAATGAAGAGACGTGGGCTCTGAACAACTTTATGGAAAGGATACTGGGCAGGAAGCCGACAAGTGTGAAGGGATGGCTTGTGGAGCACGAGGATGTGCTCAGGGAGGGAAGTGGTATTGCTGAGTGGGCTGAAAAGAAGCGGTAGGATGTGTAGGGGATTCAGATTTCAAATCGTATGCTGTTGCGTGTCTATCCGGGACTGAAAATGTCGTTGTTGTTCTCCGCTCTGGGGAACTCCGTTCAGTTGGAAGAGGGCGCCACGTAGGCGCCCCGGAACGGCGATTCTATGTGTGGAAGGCATTCATGAGGAAAGTATCAGTACGGTGGACGGATTGGGAAGCCTTTCTTCCGCACAAGAAAATTATCACTTCGCTCATCCGCGAGCCACTTCCCAGCCCAGCAAACTGTGTTCGAATGACCGCCGAGCAGAGGGCTTCATTCCCGATTGATGTGTTGGACATTAAGCTTCCAGGGGCTCAGTCGTATGCACTAGCCCGTCTTTCAAGCTGGGATATCCGACCTGGTAACTCGCAACATCGCATTATAGACAACTCGCAAGGATCCTAAAATATTCCCTGTCGTTTAGTATATTTGTCAATCTATGTAGCAGTCTTTCTCCGCCAGAATTATTGCTGGAACAACGTCGAGGAGAACAGTGGGGATTCTCCAGGACTGTGAGAAATTCATAGGCCCTGGAGCCAATTTGTATGACAGCGTTAAAATAGATACGTCTTCCCAAAATGGTAAGGAAGATATGTCCCTACAGGGAAAACTTTGGTATCCTTGCGGGTTGTATCGAAATGGCTCTGAGAACTGGGCTTGTCGAGTGGGTGGTCGAGGGTTTATCGAGAGAACCAAAACCGCTGAATCGCGAACTCGCGTCTTGGCGGAGCGGCCGAGCCAGCACGGTCGGTCGCACAGCATCAGCGTGCAGATCTCGGAGCCAGCGCTGGCCAAACGCCGCAGGGAGAGCCGCTGCCGATCCCAGCCGCTGCCGGATGCCAGCTTTCCCCCTGGTCCATGTTTCGAAGCTGGCCAGAGAAGCCCGGCAGCTGGTCTCGGCAGGTGAGCCGCCTGCGTTACACCTGCTTACCGGTCGGTGGTCGACTTGGTGGGCTCGCGGCTCGGACGTTTCGGGCAGATCTCTTGGTGCTGCTCGCTGCGGCTCCCCTGCATTCCCAGTTACATCCGCCCCCCTTCGCACCCACGTTTCGGGCAGAGCACAGACGTCAAAGGCGTGAGCCGTGTGGCTGCAGGCTTATGCAGCTGTGGGTTTTCTGCGGGTTTTCTTTTCTGGAATCCATGCGATCGAGTGCACGAGTGCCGAGCTGTCACATAGGGAGTCGAAAATGACCACATCGATTACCGAGCCAAGCAAGTCCATCGATCGGCACGAGCCGAAGTGCAGCCCAGCAGGATGAACAAGCTTTGCGGCGTAATGACGCCTCGCGCCGGCGTCTTCCCGTCCCGTCCGCCACGACAAGCCGCAATGACGGGGCCTCGTTGGCTACTGGTTACTGGTTGCTTGACTCGCGCCCTTTCATGCCAGTGGGAATCAACCTCGTGCCGCTACTCTGGCGCCGAGCTGTGGCACAAATGGAATCATTGTGCTGGGATGGCCGGTCTGGCGGTTTTTCACGGCTGATGGGGACAATTGTGGACCGCTCTTGCAACAGTCTTCGCTCAGGTACTCGTCAAGGACACCGGGATGGCTTTTCTGACGCCACTGTCACGAAAAGGGGACATGCGTCGCCGACCGGGAACACCGTTCGAGCCGGACGGGCTCAGAAGATAAAACTCGGCCACCTTCCTCGCCGTCGAGGACTTGGGAGCAATACAGACGTCTTCAACACTCGCCTTTCCTCGCAAAGCTTTCACATAAATCGCCTGAAATACAGCAATATTCCGAGAGACAGCAAAACGAACAATTTCGACTCGATTACACGATATCACTGAAATACACGAATCCAACCTGAAATGGGATCAGTTGCCAACTTGAGCTCCACTCCCTACGGCAGACGTCTGCTGCCAACACTCATCGACGAAGTTTCCAGCCAAGACCCCGACCGAGAATGCTTCCAGATCCCGCGCTCGTCTGAGCCGTCCGACGGATGGCGGGTCCTCACCTGGAGGGACGTGGCCAACGCGGTCAACCGTTGCGCCCATAGGATTGTCGAAGTCTGCGGCACACCGGAGAAGGACAGCTTCCCAACCATCGCCTACCTCGGCCCCAACGATGTGCGGTACGTTGTGATGATGATTGCGGCTGTAAAGGCCGGATATGCGGTGAGCATCCTCAACAGTAATACACATCATCAATCTCCAAGACTGTGAGCTAACACGCCAACAAGGCCATGTTCATCTCTCCAAGGAATTCCAAGGAGGGCCAGCTGAACCTTTTCGACAAGACGAGCTGCAAGATCCTGGCTTTCGCCGGCTCACACAAGGAGACCGTGCAGCCGTGGCTGGCGGAGCGAGACATGCAGGCAGTCGAGGTCAGCCCCCTGGAAGCCTGGTTCCCTGAGAAGCAGGTCCCTCACTTCCCGTACCACAAGACCTTCGACGAGGCGGAGTGGGACCCCATGCTGGTCCTCCACACCAGCGGTTCCACCGGCCTCCCGAAACCCATCGTTGTGCGCCACGGAATGTGGAACGCCCTCGATGCCCTCCACAACCTCCCAATGTGGGATGGTAAGAAGGTTTCCTTCCGTGAGTGGGCAGACCAGTCAAAGAGGCATTTCATCCCCATGCCTCTCTTTCACATGGCTGGCCTGCTTTGCGTCGTGGGCATGTCCATGTTCTGGGACACCCCCGTTTGCTTGGGCATGGCGGAGCGCCCCCTGTCGTCAGACCTGGTGATGGAGTGTCTGGACAGTTTGGAAGTTCAGTCCGCCTTGCTCCCACCAGCCATCATCGAAGAAATTAGTCAGTCAGACGAAGGCCTGGACGCACTAACGAGGTTGAACATCGTCGCTTTCGGCGGCGGAAACCTCAATCGCGAGGCAGGAAACAGGATAGCCAAGCGAGGCACAGCGCTCATGAACCTGATCGGGGCCACCGAGTTCGCGCCGTTCCCGACGTATGCCAGGAATGACCCAACCATGTGGCAGTACTTCGTCTACCTCCCAGAGGCCATGGGCTGCGAGTTCCGGAAGCAGGGCGACGAGGACGTGTACGAGATGGTCTTCGTGCGGCAAAAGAAGAACCAGCACCCCCATCCCGGCCTCCAGGGCATCTTCTACACCTTCCCCGACCTCAACGAGTGGAGCACCCGCGACCTTTACCGCCCCCACCCGACCAAGCCACACCACTGGATCTATCATGGGCGCGCGGACAGCATCATCGTGTTCAGCAGTGGCGAGAAGCTGAACCCGGTGACGATTGAGGAGATCGTCGGCGATCACCCCAGCCTCAAGGGCGCTATGGTGGTCGGGTCCGAGAGGTTCCAGGCGGGCCTTTTCATCGAGCCAAGGGTTCACCCCACGACTAAAGATGAGGAGAAGGCGTTGTTGGACAATGTCTGGCCTCTGGTTGAGAAGGCCAACGTGGAGACTGTGGCACATGGACGCATCAGTCGTGATATGATAAGGTTGTCCAACCCGGATAAGCCGTTCTCACGTGCTGGCAAGGGGACGATCCAGCGGGCTGCCACTGTGAAGTTGTACAAGGATGAGATTGACAACCTTTACGAGAACAAAGAGACGGGGCAGCACGCGGAGGAAGTCGTCGAGCTTGACCTGAAGTCTGAGGAGTCCTTGGCCAAGTCCATTGTGGCGACGCTCCGCAAGTATGTCGGGGCAGAAAGGCTGGACGTCGACGTCGACTTCTTCGCGGCGGGCATCGATTCGATGGGCGTCATGAAGGCTGCCAAGCTCCTGCGAGCCGGGCTGAAGGACGCGGGCCGCCCGGTCGACGACAAGGCCGTGGCAGCCAGAGTCATCTATCAGAACGCCACACCTCGACGACTTGCCGCGCACATCTTGGGCAATGTGCTGAACGGACAGGGCCAGGAACTGAGCGAAGACGAGCAGCAACAGCAAGCCATGCGCGCCATCTGGAAGAAATACACGCAGAACCTCACCAAGGCCCAGCCTAACCGCCCCGACCCCTCGAACGACAACCAGACGGTGATTCTCACGGGCTCCACCGGCATGCTGGGATCCTACATCCTCAACTTCATGGCCCAGAACCCCCGCGTCGCAAAGGTCATCTGCCTCAACCGCGCCGCAGACGGCGGGCGCGCCCAGCAGGCAAAGGCCTTCACGGACCGCGGCCTCGACACGAGCACGCTCGCCACCAAGGCCGAGTTCCACCACGCCGACCTCTCGCATCCCAAGCTCGGCCTCCCGGACGCCGTCTACGCGCGCCTCCAGGCCGAGGCAGACCGCGTAATCCACAACGCCTGGCCCGTCAACTTCAACATCCCCATCGAGTCCTTCGAGCCCTCCCTCGCGGGCGTCCGGCACGTCGCCGACCTCGCCGCCTCGGCAGCCCGCCGCGTCGCAGTGACGTTCATCAGCTCCATCGCCGCCGCGGACCGGTGGGACCCGGCCGCGCACGGCGCGGCTAAAGTGCCCGAGCACCGCCTCGAGGACCTCGCCCTCCCCAACGGCGGGTACGGCCGCAGCAAGGCGGTCGGCAGCCTGATCGTCGAGGACGCCGCCGCGGCCGCGGCCGCGGGCGACTTCCCGCACGCCATCGTGCGCGTGGGACAGGTCGCGGGGCCCGAGGCCGAGGCGGGGGCGTGGGGCCGGCAGGAGTGGCTGCCTAGCATCATCGCTAGCAGCCTGTACCTCGGTGCGCTGCCCACGAACCTGGGGGGCATGAGTAGGGTGGACTGGACGCCTGCGGAGCGGATTGCGGGCTTGGTGCTCGAGGCGGGTGGTGTGACGCGTGTTGTGGGGAGGGCTGATGAGATCAGTGGGTACTACCACGGCGTGAACCCGCACGAGTCGCAGTGGGAGGACCTCGCCGTTGCGGTGCAGGAGTTCTACGGCAAGGAGAGGATCAGGGAGCTGGTCGGATTTGGGGAGTGGGTCGACCGGCTGGAGAAGACGCAGGCCGACGGCCCGGAGAGCATTGCTCGCAACCCTGGTGTCAAGCTTGTTGATTCTTACCGGGACATGGCTCGGGCGCCTGGGGCTGTGGTTTATGATATGGAGAAGACCCTTGAGAGATGTCAGGGCGTCAGGCAGACAAAGGCTGTTACGCCGGATATGATGAAGCATTGGTGCAGGCAATGGGGTTTCTAATTTAGACTCTGGGACTATACGGTGACATTGGTTTGAGCGTTAGAATATGTTGAAGTTCATTGACTAAATAATATGCCGACTAGACGCCTTCTATGGTTAGATCATGACCCTGACATGTTCCATCGATTTATGCTTTAGGATTCCAGCTTCTGCCCGTCTTCGGCTAATCTTCTACTACCAGTTTCGTTAATCTGCCATACCTACCTTCTCTCCACACCCAAACTGTATGCTTTCTTTTCGTCAGAAATAATAGACTCTTGAATGTCAAGCAAGGAGACCTGAGTTTCTTAAGTTCTCCTCGCTGCGATGTGAGTAGATTCATAGTGTTTTCTTCTTCTTGTTTTGTTATTTTATGAAACCATCGATCTCTTCGAGGAGGTAGCTCCTCGGAATCTGTAGCTGTATATACCGACGGCCCGAGTTGAAGGCCACAAGAAATTGAGCACGTAAAGGATGTTGCGCACCATCGTGCCAAGCCGGCCAGCCGTGAACGCATCGTGCGTGATCCATTTCGGGAAGCCCGTGCCGTCCTGGAACTTAAGCCCAGGCACCTCTTTTTCAAGCTCCGAGTGATGGCTCAAAGACCATTTCAGCGATGTGCCCAACTGCTTCAGGACTCCGAGCGTGTTGGCGATGTTGACTGTTATTGTCCCGGCAGCGTCGAAATAGATCTCTCCGTGGACGTCCCGGTCCAGGAAACACCATGTGATCTGCCGCAGCAACCCGTAGACCTCATCACGTTCCAGATACATCCTCAAACCCTCCATAATGACCACGACTGGCCTATCCCGTGGGTATGTCACAATTCTCCAACCAGCCCTCCTCCGTGATGCTCGGGTCGATCAATCTATACTCCGCCCCGGGCCCCGCGCTCGGATCCCTCGTGACCTGCCTCCGCAGCTCGACGACATCCTGCTTGTCGACGTCTACCCACAGCCTGCCTTGGTCTTGCCACTTCACTCTCAAGCTCCTCGAGTCCAGCCCGCACGCCAGGTGCAACACGGTGGCGCGGCCAGGGTGGGCGGCTAGGAAGGCCTCCGTCTTGAGGTCCAGGATGCGTGTGCGGAGTGAGATCAAGGCTGAGACTGGCCGCTCCAGGAGTCCGTACCTCAGACGCTTGCTGAAGCCGTAGCCGCTGTCTTTATCCTGTTTCACTACCGACGCGGCGTACGTGTCGTTGAGGATGGGGTGTGTTGACTCGGTGTCCCTTGCTCGGGCTATCAAGGTCAGGAGCAACGTCTCTTGAGCGCCGGTCAACTTGATATCGCCTTTATGATCGTTGTCTGCCATTTCCACTCCAATTGTACAACTTGAGATGGCCTGAACAAGTGGAACAAATTTCGGAATGGGTGGGGGGTGCAAGTCTAAGACGATGTCTTGTTCCGGTTGACCGGCCCAAACACAAATCTCGGTCGCTACCGGTGGCTTGGACATTGATGTAGGATTGATCATCTTCAATGACGACAAATTACATCGCCCGAACACGATTACGACCTCGTGCCTGTACGATTAGGTTTCCGCAATCTTTTCGGAGCTGGGTTAAACCTGGAAGCATGGGAAGCTGGTTGACAAACATTCTGTACTGAAATTCTGGCTGCTCAAGCTGCACGGGGATCATATCAAATATGAAGACAATTCATAAAGTCGGGTTGTGCCGAAGAAGATAGGAAAGGAAGCTATCTACACCTTCGCTGCCGCCGAGGGCCAAGAGAGCATTAATTCCTGGTAGTGGCCGCAAAGTGTGCTGACTGACCGCTGGACTGTTCCCATTTTTCGAGTGAGACGGCAGCTGACCAGGCCCGGCCTCTAGTATAGCATCGACGGTACAGAGACGAGTCCCTCACAATACCCAGATGAATCGGCCACATACGCCTGCATGAAGCCAGAGCATTTCAAACGTGCGCCTGTGGGTGGCTGGAAGAATTTCGTCTTGTTGACAGTGCAGTATTAAACACGATTTAGCGGCAAAACCGCTGTTGACGTGCCAGTCTTGTCATGCGGCTCAGGCTATAGCATCATCCGCTTCAGCAATCTCTGATAACGACATATCGTTATCATGACTATCACGTTTGAGTATGCGAACATTATTCAACTAGCCATGCCAGGATAAGCAGTGCTTAGTTATCGGTTGCATTTACTTGATATTCGTTTTCCAAGGGGAGAGTAAGCTCTCCGCAAGGCTTGTAAGAAAGCCAAGGAGTTGTACAAAATTGAAACCTCTATGGAGCATTGAGTAGTGTCGTAGGTGCTAATTTAAGCGAACTTCCATAGTAAACCCGACTTCTTAACATAAGCGGTCTGTGGATCTGTGGGGCGCCTGAAGGACCGTTGGCGCTATGGAATAGTGCACTTTTTGTACCCACATCTGATGACACGGGTGCGATCCTTCCGAATCACTGTTGGTTCGACAGACAGCCTGGACCTACCAGGTGGCTCAAACGGAAATTTGTGGGGATCACCACCTTGTCATGAGTGGTGAGAAAAAGTTCAACCAACACACTTTTGCACTTGAGCACGCTTACTCTCTCCTGGAAAGCTCTCGTTTGTTTCATTCTGTACATACTCTCCCTCTTTCCCAATCGTCCATCATCACTTAGCGGACACCATGTGGCCTTTCACGGCATACCCCGAAGTTACAGCGGCTCAGGTCAGCGGAAAGACCTACGATTACGTTATAGTCGGAGGTCAGCAAGTTTCATGGGATTACCTATGGGTAGAACTGACATTGTTGACAACCAGGTGGCACTGCGGGCTGTGTTTTGGCCTCGCGATTGTCAGAGGATCCTAATGTCTCCGTCCTCGTCCTTGAGAAAGGATACGTCAAGGACAACTTTGTGTCCCGCGTGCCCCTGATCAGCCAGAACTTTTTGGATGGGACACCCTCTCCAGGCTCAGACCACCCGCTTTTCCGAGCCCATCCGTAGTGTAAACGGACGCAGGAACCAAATCATCACGGCTGAAGGCATCGGCGGAGCTACGAGAATCAACTCCATGCTCTGGACAAGAGGCGTCCCTGGAGGCTATGAGGAGTGGGCTACAACACTTGGCCTTGACGAATGGGCATGGGACAAAGTCGAGCCTTGCTTTCGCAAGTTAGAGAATGCGCTTTGTCACCCCGATTCGCCGGAGAGAGGGCATGACGGTACACTTTCGCCCGATCAAGACCTTACCATTGTGTGCATGCGCTTACCCTGTTCAGGACTCATCCCTCTTCAACACAAGGCCTGGGGCTTCAAGTGGCCAGCATAGTAAGCCGTTTCGCCTTGATGGAAACTGGACTACTTGATTACTGACAGTGTTCCTAGTGTTGACCGATCCGCGAGAAAGCTTGGACTGCCCGTGGGCCAAGATTGTAACAGTCCTTCTACCCCAAGCATGGGACTCTTCAACGTGGATATGGCCATCCATCCCAATGGGCAGAGGGCTTCTGCATATAACACATACCTCGATAAGAAACTGGCTCTCAGCAGACAACAGCATCTCACGGTTTGTGCCGGTGTGGTTGTTTCAAAGCTGGACGTGGATGAGGACACCGGTCTCGTCCGTGGTGTTCATATCCAAAGTATCGACAAGGGCGCGCAAGATACTGCATATGTGCAGGCGAGGCGTGAAGTAATTATTTGCTCAGGTGCCATTTGCACGCCTCAGATCCTGCTATTAAGCGGCGTCGGTCCAAAGAGCCAGCTTGATGATTTGAAGATCCCTCTGAAGAAGGATTTGCCGGTATGGACAATCCCATCCCATCTTGAAGTTATTTACGGCTAATCACTTGTATATCCACGAACCTCCAGGTTGGTGCCAGTTTACAGGATCATTCCAGTTGCGCCATCATGCTCGAATTGCCCAAATCAGAGACCCTCAGTTTACTTGAGTCCATCTCCAGCCTCTGGCACCTCCTGCTCTTCATATTATTTGGAAAAGGCTTGATGGGTGCAAGCTCCACCCCTAAAACGGCTTTTGTTTGCTCAGCTGCCCTCGATGAGAAGACAATGCAGGTCGACAACTTCGAAGTTTTCGCTGACGCCTCAAAGCCCACCAATATTCCTGACACGGAGATCATGGTGCACCCCGTGAACAGTCTGGGAAGGCCGGTACCAGGACACTCACTGCTCACCTTCTATACCACCCTTGTACAGCCCAAGTCCGTGGGTAGCGTCGAGCTTGTGAACAGGGATCCCCTCGCCAACCCACGTATCCATCATCCCATGTTCGATGACCCACAGGACATGATAACATTCAGAAAAGGCATCCGATTCTCCATGAAGTTGGCGGAAGAATTTCTCAACTCTGGCTATCCCCACCCTGCCTCAATTGCATTTGCTCCCGGTGCAAATCCAGAATTGCTGGCCGCGTGGGAGAAGGAGGCGCCAAGCAGCGATTCACCTGCAGTGCCACCACCAGCCCCTGGGCTGACTTTCAGCCAAGGGGCTGGTAATTTATCTGTCAAGAATGCCCAGAGCCCTGCTGACAACAAAACATGGAAGACTGTCTCCGACGACGAGATTGACGACTATGTCCGGCGGGTTAGCATGGGCAGCCTTCATTCCTCGTGCACTTGTCCAATGTCGAGGGATGAGACGTCTGGAGTTGTGGACCAGTATCTCCGCGTCCACGGTTTCAAGAACCTGAGGATTGCTGATGCGAGTGTGTTCCCAAAGATCCCCAGTGGTCACACCATGGCCCCTACCATGATGGTAAGCATACTGTCTTTTTGCATATCTGGAATGCCTCATGTCCTGAACAAATTATGGAGAAGAACCTACACTGAATTTAGATATTCCAGGTTGCTGAAAGATGTGCAAGTTTCATCATCAACCAGTGGTCAGATAACCATGCTGCTTGACTGGACCACCCTTAACACTGAAGGCATGGTCTGAAAACTTTCCTGACGAAAAGGGCGATGGTGCCCCTAGAAGCTAGCAATGCTTAGGGGGAACTGGCCCATGTATTCTCTGGCAGCAAAGAAGAATACATTTTCATTGTCTTTATTTGATTGTTAGCAGTATCATTGTTTGACCCAAGACCGGTGGAACATAAACCATTATTATCATGCTAGACGCATAATGTAATGCTGCAACTGTTTTCAGCTATTGACGTTTGCAGGCCACGGGGCCAAAACTACCTAGTCAAGTACTAGTACTGGTATCATGTGCCGCAACAGAGACTGTCTCTGAGTGAAAAACTAGCAACCCTTTGCCGCAAAATGTGCTCCAACCGGACTGCATATTCGTAAAGACCGAGACCCCCAGTAACTAGCTTCACGAACTAACATGACTGGGCACGATAGTCAGATAGCATGTCTTTGAGTCCTTAGTTAGGTGTAATTGATTCATAACTAACCGAAGAGCATTTAAAATAAAGTGGCGTTTCGCTCTTCTGGTATTTGAATTTGGTGTGATTATTCAGTCGAAAATCTAACTGTATTGGCATCTAGGTATGATTAAGCTGGGTTGTATCCCTTGCTCCAGTCACTGCAGTTTAGATCCAACAGTGTCCTGTCCAAATTCCTGCAGGTGACCAAATTGCTTCCGTTTATAGTCCGGATATCAATGTTCTCAGCCACAATATTGGAACAAGTCTCCGGGCTAGAACAAACCAGGTGTCCCACAAGAGGAGAAGACACGGTTGGATCTTCCCCGAACGTTGCGGAATGTGACGTCCGTAATCTTGAGCTTGGACTATAGCGACTGTCAGCGCCAACAAGTTTTGCTGAGTATGAAAATTTACTCACAGGGTGCTTGAAGCATTCCTCTTCATCATCCTGACCGTAGCATTGCGTGATAGTCAGACCGTAGTCCACGTTATCGAGCCACATCGTGTCGTACGTCACATTCTGGACTAGACCTCCACCTCCACCACCGACGAGGTTGCCGCTCTTTTCAGAATACGCATCTGGCCAGACCTTGATGCGTGCGCCTTCAGAAGAATTGTACATTGCTGCGTTGATGACCGTGATATTCTGGACGTAGTCAACCCTTTCTGGGTACTGGCCCAGGCTGCCGATCGAGATACCGTGCGTTCCGTTGCAGCGCATATTCTGCACCAGGATATTGGTCGAGTTCGGCTTGAATGATACACAGTCTGGTTCAAATGCGTCAGTAAATCGGGCAAAGGCAATGCCATCATCTAGTCGCAATTACCATCTCCATTCGTCACGCTCGAGTTCTGTATCGTGATTCGATCGGATCGATAGATGTCCCATCCATCAGTGTTCTTCTCGAAATACTCGTTATTGCTCACAGCCCAGATTGAAATGTTTGTGAATGTCACGTCTGTCGAATTGGCGACAAAGTTGGTCCACATCGGCGAGTTGTTGAGGCTTATGTCCGAAATTGTTCCGCCATGCAGGTCATCAGTCATTAAAAGAACAGGTCGCCGGTCCTTCTTGTGCTCGGGATACCAATCCCACCACTTTTGGCCATTTCCATCAATGACGCCACCTCCGTATACGTTCACGTCCGTACCGCCAATCTTGAAAAAGGTGGTGCTGTTCTGGTAGTCCATGTCGAAGGTGTGCCCATCTCTCCAGTAGGTCATATTATCGCTGAACTTGATATTTGCCTGGATGTCTAGGTCTACGCGCTCCAGGTGAGTCAAGTCTAGAGGGTTGCCGATGAAATATGACTGTGTTCTGGGAAAAATGACATGTCCGTCGGGGTTGCAGCCATCGATGGCGGCTTTGATGAACTCGGAGTCATCAGTCTCGCCATCGCCGTGGCTTTCCACAATGCAGGTCCGGTTGCGCGTTGGCGATGCCTCCGCTATTGAGGGGCGAGCGGACCGGATGCTGAAGAGGAACGTCTGTGGCACCGTGGTGTAGGCGTAGTCTGCCACTGCGGCTGCTGGAAGCAACGTGCACAAGACTGCGACACTCTTGAAGAGACTCATCGTGACCGAAAACAGTTGAGCGAAGTCGAACAGGCGAAGGTGGGAATCCCGTCCTTCGTCTGATCACAGATTGCTTATTTACTTAAACATTCGGCTTCGTATAAATAATCTTTTGTTGTTCTTGGCATCCCCTTTCCGCAGCCGGGTCCTCCCATCAGGAGCTCCACGATTTCGGCCGCAACTGAGCCGATGGGATCCTTCCAGCTGTTTATGCTCGGCAGTGGTGCTTGCTGTCGCACTCTCGGATCATGTGCCCGGAAAAGAGTCTCCAAGGAGCCCACTTCCCAAGGCGCGCTTCCCCAGAGATTAGTCCCGGATAAGCTTCATCTCCCCACAATCGACGCTGGGCATTACTCTGTGATAAGTGGGAAATTCGGCCGCATTTCCGGGGTCCCGAGCAGAGGGTCACGGAAACCCACCCGGTCAGGATACAACCACCTGACCCAGGGGGCTGATAATGGAAGCCATTCTTGATCCGATCGCTGTAGCGCTGCAGCGTTCGGCCGATTATACTGTGCTATTTATCTAGAATAGTCTATGAATGGGAACTTAGTTGGCGCATTATGGGTTAGAAAAGTTGCAAGCTAATTAATTAATCACTATGAGCATTACCTTAAAGTATAGCAATAGCTATATTGCCATAATTCTTAAAACCTTGCAATTTAATTAATTAAATGCCATAAGTATAATAAAAAGCTAAAAGCTAATTAATAATAATAATAAAATTATATAATATTTCTTTATAAATTTAAAAAGTTATTATATAATAATGAAAACTATAATTATATAATTTAGCTAGCAAAGGTATTATAATAATAAAATTAAGATTTTAAGGGTTAATAGCTTTTTAATTAAATAAATTAAAGAAACCTTATTATAATTTAATTTCCTTTTAAGCTTAGTAAGCTTTTTTTTTTAGCTTAAGCCACTTTATTTTACCTTAAAAAAGGATTTTCTTTCTTTAGAAATTTTCTTAAGGCTAAAATCCTTTTATTAGCGTTATAATGCCTTTTTCTTTATAATAAAAAGCTGCTTAAACTTTATATTATAAGGGCTATAGATATAAGTAATGTTTAAAGCGATTTATAAAATTCTTTTTTGCTTTTTTATTAAGCTAAGATATAAAGAGCTAAATAGCTAAACTTAATATTATAAGGGCTATAGGTATGTTTTCTATATAAATTAAATTTTTAAACTTATTTTTAGCTTTTTCCTTAATGTAAATATAATCTTAATAATCCTAAAAAGCAATACTTTCCTATAGCAAAGTTAAAAACGGATATAAGGATAATTATAATAAAGTTAATAAAGAGCATTTTTTTATAGCAAAGTTAAAATTATAAAGGTTATAAGTATGTTTTTTATATAAATTAAATTTTTAAATTTCTTTTTAGCCTTTTACTTAATATAAATATAGCCTTAGCAAAGCTAATAAGCAGCACTTTTATATAATAAAGTTAAAAATAAGCATAAGGATAAGCATAGCAAAGCTAATAAGGAGTATTTTTTTATAATATTAATAAGTTATAGTTAGCTAGTAATTTTCCCTTAAAAATAAAATATTAAAATAAATAATTTAATAAAGAATAAAAAGGAAATATTATTTAGCTTTATTTTATAATAATAATAAGCAAAGCTTATTATAAATAAAAAGAATTTATAAAATATTTATTATTTTTAGGTTAATTAATTTATATATAGATTAGTTAATTAATTTAACTTTTATATATATTATATATACTTAAAAAGCAATATTATTAATATTATAATATAGTATTAAGAAAGGAGTAATTTTTTGCTTTAAGCAACTTTATGCCTTATAAAGCATATAAAAATTAATAAAAGGAAATATTAAAAGCCTATGTATATAATAAAGCATAAAATAAGTTTAAGCATATAAGAAAACTTAGCTTATTATTTAAAATTATAAAGAGGGTTAATCTTATAAGAAAGGTATAACTTAAATTAAATATAAATAAGAATATAATATAAATAATATTTTAAAGCTAAGGTATTTAAATATAGTATTTTATATTAATAGCCTATTTTTTTAAGAAAAAGTTTTAAGCTTATAAATAAAAAAGCAATGATATAGTAAATAGTTTTAAATAAAGAAAGATTAATAAAAGGGGAGTTAAATTATTAATTAATAAAATAAAAACCTATTATATAATGACTTTACTTAAATATTTCTTATTATATATAATTTTAACCTTTTAGAATTATTACTTAATAAATATTAAATTATAAAGCTTATAATAAGCTTACCCTTAGTTATTTAGGATTATTTAAAATATTAATAACATTTCTTATTTTTTATTTAAGTATTGCTCTTATTATTAAATAATAATGCTTAGGCAGCAATATTATACTTATAGTAATAATTATTTAAATACTAAATATACTTTACATAAGCATTATCCTTAAATTTAAGAATAATTATGCAATTTCGAAACTTAATAATTATAAGGTTAATGCACTTATTAATGTATAAATAAATAAAAGGTTTGCATAAGGCAATAATAAATATATAAAAGAGGTTTAAAAAATAAATAATTTTAATAGCAAGGAGTTTAATATTCTTATTTAAATATATATAAATAAGGATATTATGTAATTAAAGCTAAAGGGTAGTTATTTCCTTATTTTAAAAGCTAATTAATATATAATTATAAAAAATATAATAAAAAGAATTTTAAAATAAATATTAATAGCAAGTTTATTTAGCTAAATGCAATTAGTATTTATTATTATGAAAAAGATTGCATAAAGCTAGCTATTAATAATGCGCTATATAACTTAATTAAGTAACATTATAATTAGGGGGGTAAAAATAGCTATTATATAATGAAGATTAATTATTATTTATAAATTTTAATATTAAAAGGATTATATAATATAAGGAGGAGATTTAAATATATATATTATATAATAAAGAAGGAAAGAAAAAGAAAAAGAAGCGAAAGAGAAAAAGGAAGGATTTTATATTAATAAGTAAGAAGTTGCTTAAGTAATTAAAAGGGTTACTTCCTTAAATGGCAGTTAGTTAATTATATAAATAATTTATTAAAAAATAATTTCTTTCCTTCCTTTCCTTTAAGTTAATAATATTATAAAAAGTTAAAGAAAAAGTATAATAAAAAATTAAGTAAGTAAAGAGTTAATATTAACTTTATATTAAAAGCTTATTTATATTATTTAAATATAAAAAGTTATAATGTAATATATAAAGAGCTAAGATAAAGTTTAAAAATTAAGATAATACCTTTTATTTATTATTAAGTTAATTTCTTTCTTTTTTTTTTTATAACTTTTAATATTAATAACTTTTAATATTTACTTTTAATAAGATTTTAATAATATAGCTAATAAATATCCTAAACTCCTTATTTAAATAATATGAAATTAAGTAAGGAGTTTAAAATATTTATTAGCTTTTTTATTAAATAATAATTTTAATATATCTATATTAAAAAGAGCAATTTATTTATATAGAAAGATTCCTTATTTAATGGCAGCCATTATAGAGATTATAACTTATCTTTAAGGAAGAAATATTAACTTAGCCCTCTTATAACTTTATTTAAAAAAATACCAAATATAATATGATTTTTGCTTTTAAATTCTTGGAAATTAAAGATTTTAATAATATAAAATTTAGGTTAATTAATAGCTATTTAGCTTTAAAATTTATTAAATTATAGGCAAAGCATTATTTTTAAAATTAATCTTTATATATAATAGCAAGGTAAGTATATTATAAAGATATAAGGCTTAGTAAACTCTTTACTTAAATTAAATAAGGAGTTTACCAATCCTTATATAGCTAGATATAAATTCTTATTATTAACTCCTTATAATAGCCTTAAGTAGTTTTTATATGCCTAGCAAGCTAAATATTATAATAACTAATTCTTACTTAAAAGGGCGCTATATATTACTTAAATAAATTAGTTAATATCCTTAATTATAAAAAATAAATATAAAGAAAGTAAGAAATTAAATATAAATTATAAATATTACTTACTTATTTATATAATAATGCAGCCCCTTAAATTTCATTTTATATGCTTTATATAGCGTTAAGATAAAATAATTTACCCTTTTTATCTTATATTTACTAATAAAGCTTACTCTTTTTATAAGTAATCTTTTCTTTTACATAGCAATAAATTAACTTAATAATTAATTTATTAAGCTATACTATCCTCTTAAGATTTAAAGAAAAATTTTTTAATTATTTTTAGCTTTAAAATACTAAAATATCTTTAACTTTATTAATATTTATAGCTTTTATATTTAAATTAATAAATAGCTTTTAATTATTAATTAAAATAAATGCTTAAGTTAAACTTAAAGAAAGGTGCAATAAGCATAGGTTTTTATTAAATATAGCATTAAAGCCTATATTATAATCCTCCTTTTCCTTTTCCTTTTTATTTCCCTTAATATTATATACTTAATGCTTATAGATAAGAAGCTAAGCAGGTTAAATAAATTAAGATACCGGTATATTAATAGCTAGCTATAATATAATTTAATAATTTTTAGCTTAATTATTATATATATAATTTAAATAAGCACCTTTTAAAATTAAAAATATAAAATTAATATTAAAAGCCCTTATGCAACCTTATTATAAATTATGCTATTAATAATATTTATTATAAGCAAGACTGAATATATTAATAATTTAGCAAAGAATTATAATTAAGTTTTTATTAATAAAAAATATATTAAAGGTAGGGCTTAATATAAAAGCTGCATTATTTATATAATAATAATTATTATTAATAAGCTTATTAATTATTAGCAAATTTAATAACTTTTTAATAAGCTAATTATTTAGCCTTATTATTAAATAATATATAGCTATTATAGAAATATTTGCTTTAATATAGTTTTATATAAGCATTAAGAAAAACTATTAAAGATACTTAATTAAAAGAATAAGATTAATATTATATATGTTTTTAAGCCAATTAATAATTCCCTATTTA